TCACAATGTGGGACTGATACATAATTCCTTCAGAATCAGCTTAATAGCTTGATTCTGGTGATGGTGTCGTGTGCCAGTTATCCTCCTCCCCTCCCAGCATGCTACCATGCATACCTCAGACACCAAGATGATGAGGTTAGCTTCTGCAATCAAATGCAGCCAATTCCCCTTAGCACATTTTGCATAATCAACAATATCAACACCATCATCCCACATTGGATCCCCACACACAGCTGATCCCAATTCCAGCTTTGCATTCCCTTGGTGGCTATATCATTCCAAGGAATACACAGCAGATTCCCAAAGATTGCAAGGCAAGGGATTGTTTTCTGTGGCCTGGGATTTTTTTAAGGTATGCCACTTATTCTCATTGCTGCAAATAGCTTATGATGGCCCAGGGCTTATGGCCATTGCCTGAGGCACCAATCACAGACCATCTCAATGGCCATATTGAGGAGCAGGTAAACTACTGCATCGAAAATATTCAGAAATATGCCGATGTTGTCAATGGTTGGGGTCAACAAATTGACCATTTCTATGCTAGGTGGTGGGCATTGCATGGATTGTTGGGCATGCCACTTCAATAGTTTACATGTTTTTGACTGTGGAGCTGGTTGAATATACATTGCTGTGAATGTCAATCATTTATGAGATACTGCCCATTCACATGATGTCTAGTATGCCAGGCATGCTCTGTCACTGTCTACAGCTCCCACCCCATGCTCCAATGCTGAACCTGAAAATGCAATGATCATCCCTGGGTTGTAGTGCAGCCACAGATTCAACATTGGAATGACAAAGTCCAAGGGCAGGTAGTTGCCCACAGTTACCAGCATGTCATACCATGGATCCCATCCATTGATATCCCTGTGGTAACAAGTTGCCTGATTCACCATCACAGACATGCTGCTATATGTGGAGCTCCATATCAGCAGTATGGAGCTCATATCTGAATCTGCCCACTGTTCTGCCTGTTTGCCAAGGCAGATCAACACTTCCCTGCCATCTGCATACATTCATGGATGGATGACATGCAGGATTGCAGATAACAGGGCATTGGTGTCAGACATTTGGTCAACCCATTCCCTTGTAGAAGTGTTTTCTGTCCTGGATTTGAGCAGCTGTGAGGCTTCCAGGAAGCCATTTTGGGGCTTCAAGACAGATGAGCACTTTATTCACAGGGAAAGAAGTGATCACCCACCCCATGACCCTGTTGAAACCATGCAGGTGACAGGTTGATGGCATCTTTCAACTCAGCATTATTGCAGAAATATGACTTGTCTGTCTGCCATGCCTGTGGGGAAGCCTCTATGCTCTCCCACAGTGGTTCCCTCAGAAGATGAAGGTGGTTCCATATGTCAGCCTGCCATTGCATTAAGTCAGTAGAATATGAGATTCTGCATTCCCTTACCCTTCTTTTTGGGCTGAGAGCATCCAGCAAATACCAAATGTGGATGGTGTTTGAGTCAGTCACCAGAATGGATGGCTCAGTCACTTCCATGTATCTCTCAGCAGCTTCTGCATTGCAGGTTTTTCCACCCCAATTTTTTCCAACATTGACTGTGGAAAGATGAAAACTTCCATTGCACCATTATGATGGACTTACTTGGGTGACGATAGGCCTGTGAGATTACTGATGATATGCGATCCACTTCACATAACACCAGAAACAGAATTGATATATCTGGAAGGGTGTGAGATCCACTGAATACCTCCTCTTGAAATCTGGCTTTCATGTATGATGCAATGCAGTCTGTTGGTTCCATTTGCCATCTGTGGGGGGTTTTAGACATGTCTTGTGTAGTATTCATGCTTGGGGTGGATGAGGTTGGAGTTGTATAGTAGGTGAGCTGCTTGCAGCTTGTTGGAAAATTATGGCATGTCAGGACACTTGCCTCAATATTTTGCTGTGATCCAATCAATATGTTGTGACACTATACATGCTATTGGTGTTGGGCCCATCTTATGTTGCAACAGGGGTGGATCTTACTAGATGGACCCATCCTTGTTTTATGGCGATATAAAAGATATTACTGAAGGGCCCATCCATACATTATGACCACATAAATAATACTGCTGAAGGGCCCATCCTTATGCTGTGACTGCATAAATGATACTGCTGAAGGGCCCTTCCATATGTTGTGATGCTATAAATGATATTACTGATGGGCCCATCTTTATGTTGTGACAGGGGTGCATCTTACTAGATGGGCCCATCTATGTGTTGTGACACTGTAAATGATATTACTGATGGGCCCATCTTTATGTTGTGACAGGCATACATGTTGCTATTGATGGGCCCATCCATGTGTTGTGACCATGTAATTGATATTACTGATGGGCCCATCTTATGTTGCAACAGGGGCATATCTTACTAGACAGGCCCATCCATCTGTTGTGACAATGTAATTGATAATACTGACTGGCCTGTCTTATGTTGTGACATGGGTGCATCTTACTAGATGGGCCCATCTATGTGTTGTGACACTGTAAATGATATTACTGACAGGCCTGTCTTTATGTTGCAACAGGCATATGTGTTGCTATTGATGGACCTGCCCATGTGTTGTAACCATGTAATTGATATTGCTGAAAGGCCCATCTTTATGTTGTGACATGGGTGCATCTTACTAGATGGGCCTGTCCATGTGTTGTGACCCTGTAAATGATATATATTGAAGGGCCTGTCTTTATGTTGCAACAGGTACATCTTACTATGGATGGGCCCACCCTATGTGTTGTGATGGTATAAATGGTATTACAGAAGGGCCCATCCATATTTTGTGATGCTATAAATGACATTACTGACAGGCCCATCTTTATGTTGTGGCAGGGATGCATCTTACTAGATGGGCCCATCTATGTGTTGTGACACTGTCAATGGTATTACTGATGGGCCCATCCTTATGTTGTGACAGGCATACATCTTGCTATGGACAGGCCCAGTCTATATGTTGTGACAGGGGTATATTATCCCAAAGATGGGCCCTTCCATATGTTGCAACCTTCTTCATGATACAATAGGTGGGCCCATCCTGATATTGTGACTGGGGCACACCCTACCATGGACAGGCCCATCCTATGTCTTACAGTAGCTCAGCATACTTACTTGGTCATGGGCCTGTCCCTATATGTTGCAGCATCCTTACCCTCCACAGGCCCTCCCATATGTTGTAGAATTGTGCTTATGGGCCTGTACATATGTTGCTCTCACTATAGGCCCTCAGGCCTGTCCATGTGTCATGGCTAATCTATTTAGACAGGCCTGTCACAGGGTCTATATAAGTGTTGGCATTTTGGCATGCAGGCTATCTATATGTTGTGACTAAATGGACTACATGGGGTCTTCTTTAGTATGAATATTGACTTAGTTCCTACTCCCTCTGCCTCCATCTTCTGCCCATCGGAGTTACCTCCAACTGTCCATCTGTACTCCCCTCTGAAATATGAGGGCTGAGATCATGCAAGGGGGTAGCACACAAGCTAAACCCAATGCCCTCACTTTGCTCTGCCCTTATCTCAGCAGACTTCATTCCTGCCAACACTTTGCCAGTTGGAGTTCAGTTCTTTCTGTCAGACTTGCTTCCAAACCTCTCCCCAGACCTCATCCAGCATCAGAGTTGGTCAGAGTAGGCCTGGACTTGACAGTAGTGGCTCAATATTATACCACATAGGTTGTGCAACATGACTGCATATGATGGGGGATGGCCCTGCATCACTCATTGCAGTCTCCAGCCTAGTGGAAGAGGTAGAGGTTGCAGAAGATGAGGCACAGGATGTAAATGCTGAGGCTGTTTGTGGTGTCTATGGCGAAATATGCAGTGAATCATGGAGCTGTTTGCCCAAGGTATCAATGGGGCTTTCAGGGACCTCCATGACAATCTCCAAAGGTGGCATGTGTTGAGGAACACCTTTAAATCACAAATGCCAATGCAAGCCAGAATGAGGGGGTGTGCCTGCATATAGGGTATTTGAATGACCCTTCCACACACTTGGCACTCTCACCTACTAGCTTATGCTGTGCAATGAATGCCAGGAGGTGAGCCAATCACAATTGTGTAAAAGCCCACTTCATTATTCTACTTACTGATTCCCTGTAGCTGCATCAGGAAATTAACACTTTACTATTTTTGACCTTTTTGTGACTTGTTTTGACTTTTTTGTGACTATTGTGACTATTTGTGACTTTTTGGGAAGGAACCTACTATCTGTACTTTTTTTTGACCATATTCAGCATTTTGAAGAATGAAAAGAGAACAGAATCTATTGAGACAACTAAGTGATGATATATCTAAGCCAAGAAGACTAGAAAATGTCTGAAAATTCAGAGATATTGAGCCATTGGTGTGATGCACACTGTCTGAGAGAAAAATCACAATATCTCTAGTGGAACCTCCATCAATTTGAATGTATGTGGTATCTACTGAAAGCTATGAATTCAGGTGGTTTGAACAAGACCAAAATCAGCAAGAAAAGTGCAGCCATGCCTGTAGGACATGGTAATGATAGTAGATTCCTTCCCAAAAAGTCACATTAGTCACAAAAAGTCAAAAATAGTAAAGTGTTATTTTCCTGATGTGCCTACAGGTATATCCAACATATCAGTAGATTTTTCACTACTGAGGCTGCCTACAGCACCCTTTTCTATACTGAGATTTCTCTGACATCACCTTTGCAGCCCCTAGTACCACTGCCTGATACATGTTCACTATGTTGGCTGTACATATAAACCTTACCAGTTTGCCACCCTCTCACAATGAATGTCCATCAACATTCAGCAACCTTTAGATTGTAGGCATCAATTCAGATGACGAAAACAAGCCATGCTCTCGAGGCTTCCAACTGAGCACTGACCAACCATCCCGCGTCATCGAAGACGTTGCTTACATGGGAGCGATCTGATATTTGTTATCAATTCAATACGGCAGGATAACCTCGGGATAGTAGCCTATAGGTACAATATCAAATCCTCCATGCCATCAGGTCTATACAGGTCCTGGTCAGTATTCATATGGATCGAGATCCTCGACATTGAGGGATGGTTTCTCCTTCTTCGGGACGTGCTTCTCTGCAACAACAGCTTTGTATGCGATGTTCAGTTCTTCCGGCGCCCCCCTCGCACCACCTGGGATTCTGTGCAGAAATTCTTTAACTTGTAGCACTGCATCCTTTAGAGCGCCGATGTCGCGGTTCTTGTGGAACTGTGAGTCAGGGCTCAGCTTCTTCAGCAGTTCGTGCCCTTGTTTAAGGGTCGACCTCCAAGCAAGTGAGAAAATTTGCAAGCACAGAGTATTAAGACTCACGATATTTTACTCCTCTGACGTCCAAGTTCTTCTAAACGTTCATGGCCTTCTCTCAATAATAGTCCAGGGATTTTGGTCGTGTTTCTAACGAACGTAGCCATGAAGATTCCCTTCTTGAGGGCCAAAAGCAAGTGGGGCAAGGGTCCTAGGTACAGTAGGCGGTAAAACCCTGGGGAAAAGCCGGAAGCCTGAGCATGCTTTAAACAAGCGAAGAATACAGCAGATCTCTCTGCCTCGAGTGTGGACCTTTCCAGCAACCGCTTCTGTTTCTGACGGTACTGACCATAGACACGTTGTATTAAGCCGGCTGCAGACTCTTCCTCGTCTGTACCAACAACAGCCGGTACCGCCTGATCATCGTCGGAAGGAGAACTTTCTACATCTTCTATTGGCTCTCCGAGTTGTGCAGAGTCAATCTCGAGAGATAGATTAACGTGGTCTTCAACTGGTTTTGTCTGGAGTGAAATTCCAACCCGAGGCACGAAAGCCGGTGCTTCCACACGGAGTTGGGAGCGTGCGGCAATCAGGGGAGACGCTAAAAGAGTTGGTATCTCGTCGAGTCGACTATAATCAAGTTCCTGAATACGCCACCCTGTCGCGAGGCGGCTAGTCCCAAGCCTCGTTCCCTTGCGACGAAGATGAACAAGATTCGGTATAGCATGATTTTCATCGTAGGTAACTATTACGCGTAGATAATCGTCGCGTGCTGCTTGTACATAGCTACAATAGTAGTGGGGTCATTACTGGGATGTAGGGAATGGCGAAGATACGCACTGCCGGTAGATGTATGGTGTGGACCGAGCAGGATCATTTGATCTCAAGTTGGTAATGATGCTTGAAATCCTGGCTTTCAGACCGGCCCAATGAGGAGGGCAGTTATAACAAGCTAAAGGGAGTCAGTCGAGTCCAAACTCCTGAAAAACTACCTACCAAGACACAACATTCTACAGCTAGGCTATTGTTAGTTTCCTTGAGGCAGAATGATCGTTATATTACTCACATCCGTGCAATGAATATATTTCGGTGAACGGGCGTAACGTTCGTGTGCAACAACCAGAGATGTTCTGCATCAGGCGTTAGGTTGTGCAACTACTCGAGCGGTGCAAAAATAACCTTCTGTACTGTCAGACCGTAGCTTTTCTAAAAGGTACTGTATATCGTCCAAGAAGTAATTGATGATCCTGACATCTTTACGTGCATCGAGTTTGTTGTTCCTGATTAACCAGCTCCGAGGTAGAACGACGTCGTGCAGCGAGTCCGCACCGGGGTTATTTTTGAGACGGAGAGTTATCACGTAAGCACTGAGCACTTCCTCTACGCAGTCACAAAGAACAGATAAGTTCACTTGAATGTTATTGCGGATAGTGTGGCTACGACGGAGGTCATAAACCGTAAATCTATAAGGAGCGGAAATCTTACTGAAGCCCAAGAATGCCCGCAGAAATGCTTGCTTCGGTAGCAGATTGGTTGGACTCAATCATGTCTTCCACAATGTAACGATCTGGATTGCGGAATGAGTTCCTCGGGGCGGTATCTCTGCACGCAGTTAGCATTCTGCAAAGCGTCACTTTCACCAAATGCCGAGCTGAGCTTAATCAGCCTTAGTATGTCAGTAAGGAAGTCGGCAGAATATCGAGGTTCTAGAGCATAAATAGCGTCGCGAACCCAATGTCTCATAACTCGAATACCGTCAGAAGCTCCCTGGATGTTTGACCACTTGAGATCCGCAAGAGACCCTTGTGCACGGAAAGGTGGGAAGAATGCCTCATATAAGTGGGCTATCCAGTCCGCGATCTCCCCTTTCACGCTATATCACAAAAATGATCAACACACGAACACGCAATAAGCATAGGGCTACTGACGACTTCCACTCCCGCATCTCGGGAAATGCGGAATATACAAGTTGCAATATACGCATTTGTTGCAGATGGATTCCAACACGCGCGTTGTATTGTGTGGAGTCCAGAGAGGAAAGTGAGACATGCTGTTGCTCACACTTTCCATAGTTGCAGGAGCCGTTGACAGTGTAAAGGAGGCACTGAGAAAATATCTTCGCATTGTTGCAAAGTCGAGTCTCAATAAGGACTTGGTGGCGAAGATAGGAGCGTACGCGTTCTTTCAACACATTGGTGATTTGCCCGTGAGTGTATGGCGATGCATTTGTTTGTTCATCATTGCTAGTAGACACCAAGCTTGGGGTGGCCAAAATGAAGGAGCCCGCTTGTACATTGTATTGATCGTCCGAAAGCTGAGTTATTGCAAACAGCTTTCTGACACCGCGTCCTCCCACAGGATCATTGAAGGAAGCAACGGTATAGAGCAAATGAGAATACGTGTAGAATTTTTGGAGGAAGAGCGTAAAGTCCTCCAACTTCACTAACTCTTCCGCCGGCGGTAGACGCGAAAAAACGTGATTGAGACACCAAAGAGCTGCCGCGTTGTCAGCCTGCTCCATGAAGGATTTTGCCAATGCTTCCAGCATTACACGGTCAACTTCTTCTGCAGCAGCAGATTGGAACATTTTGACCTGGATGGTTGGACGGTGGAAATTCAGTCCGAGACTCCGAGCAAGCAGGCGATACTTACTTCATTACGGGCTCGAGGCAACAAAAGACCCGAGGGCAGCTGACGGCTGAAGGAGATAAGGGTCTTCGGTATCCCGGCATGGAACTCCTTTGGTGCCACTCCGAATGAGCAATGTTTCCACAAACAGTCCAGTAATATGTCCGCTGCCCGCCTCATGGCATGCTGGTTGGTTTTGTCCTTGAGAAGTATTCCGATCGCGTCCAATGGTTTATCTTCACTCAAATGCAGTTCTGCAGCTTCGACATATTTTCCATGGGACTCGTAGAGAACAACAAGTGCCACATCGAGGCCATAGGTCTCAAGGAAGTCCAGCTCTTCTTCGAAGGTGGAAAAGAGAGGACGACGGTGGTCTACGGCATGTTAGGTTCACATTCACGACAACGGCAAGACCACCTACTTCTCGTCATCCTTGCTACAGTAGTACAACCGACATACTGTGAGCAACTCGTCTGCACAATCAGGGGACATCTTTTTCGAGTAGGATTTGAGAACATCAACTGTCTTGTCGAATATGCCGGCCTTGCGGTAGCGTTTGGCTGCTAGTTCGTATGCCTCAGCATTCAGGTATGCATCCGCCGCCTTACGGTCGTCGGCAGCACGAATGTAGCACTCCGCAGCTGTATGGTAATACTGCAGCTTCTGCCTACCAGGTGCCTCTCTGCCACAGTTGTCGAATGCGTCTGCAGCTTTGGCGAACGCTCGCCGCTGTTCGCTGGGCAGCGCCACCCCCACGGTTGCGCGAGCAAGCTCTCGGAAATAGTACGCCTCAGCAATCCTCACTTCACGGGGCATGTTGGCACGCCCAAAGCAATGCATCGCTTGTGTGTATCGCTTGTTATGGAATAACAAGGCGACCTGATTCTGCCCATTCTTCAGGGGTAGAAGAGACTGCGAGATGCGGAACATCAGTCTCAGGACTACAGTTCTGGATTTGGGAACGAGACTATCCAGAATATCTGTCATAACCATCAGCTTTTTGCGTTGACAAATTACTCGGGAGGTATTCCTTACTCTCATAGGCTCGGCTTTGTCAGACTTGTCGACAATCCACATATTCTTACGTGCTCTTGTAATCCCCACGTATAGGAGTTTCAGCTTGAACAAGGCATTAACTGACGGAATGAACGAGCAGGAGTAGTTCCATTCACGTACCTCACTGCATACACCTGCATACCTACTTTCGTCCCTTTCGAAACATGGCGCCTGCAGCTGGCACGGACTGTGGCCGTCAACCTCACTGTTTACGGCGGCCAGCACCAAACGCCAGCGAGATAGATCCACATTTGAATCCTCAAAAAAGTTGTATAGAAGCACCTGCGAATTCCGAAGCTCAATGCTGCAGAAAGGAAATACTGGGTGGATAGACACCTACATCATTGAACTCCAGTCCTTTGCTTTCATAAAGTGTCCTGCCACAGTCAGCCTTCAGCAAGGTTTAGAAATGGAATGGTTAATCGGCCTCACATGATAAGTCCAATATCACCCACTTGCTGTCGGAGCTTTTCCCGAGCCTTTTCATTTCGCACAAGAATGCCTGTAAACTGTGTAAAAAATGGTAAATGATACTAGAAAGATCAACTCACACTGCTGTGCGCCGAATTCAATGTGACTGCCACTTTATGGCGGGACCTTGTCAGTGGGGAATCTTCAACTGAACGAAACAAATTACATACGAGGCACCGAAGAGGAATTGTTCATAACGGACAGTATCCTTATCCCATCCCGTGAAGAAGACCGGTTTCAAACCGTCAACGATGCCATGTTCAGGCTGGAGGGAATCAATGCTGTTCGGCCAGAAGCGAGAAATCAACTCGATCACTGAATGTGCGCAGTTCACTATGCCGCCATGGGACCGGTAGTTTATCGCAAGCTGGAATGACATCGGTGGAGCAACAGCCCGCTCCCTCACCATGTGCGAGGCTTGGTCCACCTGAATCTCATGTAGTTCGTAGACGTTACGGAATTAAGACCGCCCACCTCGATACGGTGTAGAAATGCTTTCAAATCATCAAACCTAAACGAACTGCCTGCAGAGATGGTCTGAGCAGTATCACCTGCCCAGAACAGGCCTTCCGGATTGCTACATATAAGTCTCAAAACTGCAAACATCTCAACCGTGGTCTCCAATTGCTAGATATGAAAAACATACGAAGAACATCTATGAGTAGGTTGTCCTGTGCTTCGTCTACATAACTGCAGCCCAATCCTCATCAGTAACATGTTCGCAGATATGAAGGATATACAAACAGATAATCCACTTGGCGCCCTTTGAACACTGTAGCGCCCAGTAAAGTCTTGAGAACGGCATGAGTCCTTGTGATGGATCAATCAAGATCACACTGTACTCCTCGAAAAACAGAAACAAACCTGTCTGCAACATCATGATGTTGGCGCTGACGTTTCAGCTTCGAGTAGGCTTCAAATAGAGCATAGACAAGTTCTCTTTGACCGGAGAAAGTCGGGTTTGAGCGTGATGGGAGACCACAATAAGTGTTCTTATCCAGTGTTCCGTCATCAAATTGAAGTGACATTTCTGAGCCTTTGATGATGCCTGTCGTACATTAGTACTCCGGTTACACCACTGAATCGACGGAAATACCCATAATCTCCCCAAACACCAACCACGGATCTGAACGCCTCGTCAGTCATAGAGTGCAGGCAAACCAACTACCTTACCAAGACCCTTCGTAAGAGGCTGAGGGAAGTGGGGCCAATACGTGTTGGCAAAAGTATCATAGCTAACAAAAGAGTCAAGGACCTCCGGGTCTTGAGACTGCATGAATAATTTTGCTACACGTTTAGCCGTTGGATGATCTGCGTCCAGGATATCCGCTGCAATCATCCTCGCCAGCTATGGAGTTGACTATGAGCGGTGAGTTCAGCGTATATGATCAACAATGCACACCCGGTCAAATGTTAAGAATAAAGGGAAGTGGTGGTCCTCGAGTTCACTATATCTCTGAGGAATACCACTTTGCGCGTCTGGGACATCGTCAGTATCAACCAATCCTCGGTCCATGTTTCTTGGCTGCAATCTTGCCAGTTCTTCCAGCGAATATCCTGCCAGGGAGAGGGACTCCAGGAGTTTAACGAAATACTCCTCTACCTTGCTTGCGAGGACCGGTGACTTCGTAACGAATATCTGCCTTGGCCGGGGCATGCCAGAGCCTTCAGATTGAAGTTGCCATGCCCTCTGAATCCCGAGCATCTTAAATAGCATGGTTGTCGTTTTCCTTCGAACAATGAGCATTGCATCAATCTCGATCATAAGAATCAGCACACCCCGTGCCACTTCGACCCAAAACATAGCACGATGTAGTACAATCGACGATCTTGCGTTCCTGTGGACTGTAAAGACATTTAGGAAGGTAAAGCGATTAGAGAAAGTGCACCAACGTAAGTTCGAATACATGCTGGACGTCCTTCCTCGCAATTAAACCTGTAATGACGCTATCACCTTGGCTGGATCATCAGGAAGGACAGCATTTCTCGAACCGTTAATCAGGGCCTACACAGCACATTTGAGAAATAACAACGACATAGCAGATCAATTCATGCTCACCTGGGAGAAGGTGACGTATTTTTCAAGGCTACCGCGGCGTCAATGAACTACAGTGAACTCGTGTACATCAAGACGCACACCAGGAGCGAGTGCAGCTGTAGTTCGAGTCAGCAAGCGTAATGAAGGAGGACAGCAAGAAGTTGAGATAAATGGACGCACTTGGTCCATCTCTCTGTCTCCGAGAACCAACGGTGGAGGCTTGACGACTACATCGTGTACCTTGGGTGGGAATCCAGCGGGCAAGTATACATTGTCTCCAGGATGGACGGGCGGGTTTCTGTATGTGCATCTGCAACGGTGAGATGAGTGAGCTTTGACATCTTCCTTTCCTCAGCGTAAAGATGGTGAGGTTACCGTTGTATATACTCTTTGCCTTTGCCGGACAAGTGGTGATTCATTGCATCCCAAATGCGATTGAGCTGAGTATGAGTGCATATCTCATATATCTTTATGACTTCACATAAACCCAATAAGCATATACGCATATAACCGACATGTAAGGTCCACCTTGTTGTTCGATCTGGAATCATTTGAGTGCAAGGAACAGGGAAGAGGGTAATTCACTTACTTCGCCGTCATGGTCCGGGACACAGTCGATTTGATACTTCATGTTACATTAATAATTTTTAATGGAGACACGAGGTGGGAACCCATACCACAAGCCTCAAGTCTCGTTGCATTTTTGCCTCAAAAATAGGCACGCCGGAACGGGCACCATCCAATCTCTTCTGGTTATCGTCTGAAAACTGACCATTGGAGAGTTCCCTACGCCAGTGTCACTACACAATAACTAAAGGGAGTGGTAGAGCACATACTTGATCTTCTTGACTACAATCTTGAACTTTTTTCCGTTGTTTCTGCGGAATTCTCTCAGCTTCTTCGTTGCGTTCGTCCCGATCAGAATTCTCCATTCCCCGAAACCGTCAGCATTGTCAAAGTACAGCGCAGCCTTCATTGGTTGAACCGTTGGGTATGCTGAGGGCCGAGTGTCCACGACAACGGAGGTAGATGGCTCCACCACAATCTGACAGCGTTCATTGGTACTATGATCGGATGAAGGAATATATGCGTTCCTGAGGGGTGTCGCAAGTTCAGGACTCGAGAGTGCACTCAGATAGAACTGTTGAGAGAAGTCAAGCCGGAGGCGTGATGGTTTCGAAGGCTACGTACGTGTAAGACTGATTTCAACTCCTCTACAAACTCGTCGGCCATTCTTCGGGCTTCCTCATTCGTAACGGGCACAGGGACTCCAAGTTCATGAAACGGGGCAGGATTAACAGCCGGGACCTCTCGCTTAACCTTCCGTCGCTGCCTCTTTACTTTCTGCTTGAGAAACGGGATGTCGATGTCCTCATCCACGAACTGGGGATCATCGTCTGCCGCAGTATTTTGGGTGGTGAAATCTGTGCGGTATAATATAGTCAGGACAGGCAACACATTGTCCACGTATTGCCTAGACTGGCCAATGTTTCTGGACAGGTCAGCAGACAAAAGGTCGGGAGGAATAGAGAACAAAGTATGAGATATCTCAATCAATATTTCACTTGCGAAGGACTGCGGTACAAGCGCCGGTTCACTCGGAAAGGCGGTGAAAATACGCTCCACCAACTTCTTCGAGCTGGGCCAGACTGGCCAGAATTCATGTGAGCAAGATTTCTAGGTGAGCATGGCTCACTTACCCGAGATAAGGAAACCAAAGAGGCTCGGGACAGACAATAACTCACGGACGATCTGTGCCACAGCGCCATCCGTGTTGGAGACTACCAACAACAGCTCAAGCTGACGAAGCGCGTCAGCAAGCCCAACAGGGTGTGCCAGACGTTCGGCAGAGAACATAGAAAGATCTACAATGTGTACCATGGTCGGTACAGGACCAGCCAACAGCTTGCTGGCAGCTGGGCAAGGGGTAGACGGTAGACCGTCGTTAAAAGAGACTACTACCTAATATATTAGTCCCACAAAGTGGACACGACCTCGTGTTACTGACATGAACGCGAGTCAAATTCAACACAGCTTTAGGGATTCAAATCAGCATCAGTAAAGCTAAGCGTTCAAAAACCTGGGTTTTCAAGCACTTGATGTTCGCCAGTGTCTGCCGAGATCGCAAAGAATTTAAAAACTGTCTTGTAATGTGTATGCTGTGATTTGGCTGAATTTACTGATCCTGCAACAACCCTGCAAGAGCCTTTCTAGGACGCAGATCTTGCTCGTAGCTTCCAAATACTACATAAATTTTAGCGGCTCGGCAGCTTCCGTGCCTTTAGCCGAGCTCGTTCACGTGACTTGATTATGTCAGCTGAGGACAGGTTACACAGGAGTAGACTTTGTGACTTGGAACTACGGTTTAATACTTTGCTTCTGTGTATGTACGTCTACAATGATATTTCTGGACTACTGACATCACCCGCAGACTCACTCCAGAATAATGCCTCCTCCACATTATGATTTTCTCATCAAGGTATGCCCTTAAATTTGGCTATCCTGACACGAAACGCATGCCAACCCCTTCTAGCTCCTTCTCATTGGAGACTCAGGTATTCCTCTTGTCTACAGGTCCGAATTAGTCGCCCTCTCATGCCCCTCTAACAGGCGTTGGTAAATCTTGCCTCCTCCTCCGCTTCTGCGACGATGCATGGACCCCTTCTTTCATCACGACCATCGGCATCGACTTCAAGATTCGCACGATCGAATTGGATGGGAAGAGAATCAAACTTCAAATTGTGAGGGCATTCCGTCGTGCGGATCTTACGCTGCCGACTTACATAGGAGCTTGTAGTGGGATACCGCCGGTCAGGAACGATTCAGAACCATCACGACGGCTTATTATCGCGGCGCCATGGGCATCTTGCTTGTTTACGATGTCACAGACGAACGCTCTTTCAATAGTAGGTTGTTGTTCAGCTATCAATTTTGAACTTTTTCCAAACAAGGATGCTCCAAACAGACATTCGCACATGGCACGCCAACATAGAACAGCACGCGTCAGAAGGTGTAAACAAAATCCTTATCGGTAACAAATCAGACTGGGACGATAAACGTGTCGTTACCAAAGAGCAAGGGCTGGAACTAGCCCAGGAGTTGGGTATCAGGTTCATGGAAACATCTGCCAAGCTGAACGACGGCGTCGAAGACGCTTTTTTCACTCTCGCACGGTTCGTCGCATCCTTTCTTTCTTTTTTTTGCGTTGTATAACCCTATGCGACAGGGATTGCAAGGCGAGATTGATCGACTCACAGGCGGATGCCGCTGGGTCTCCAGGCGGCGCTACAAATGCTGACGGATCCGTCAAAGTCAACCAACCAGTTTCACAGTCCATGTCGACCTGCTGCTCATGAACGTGATATACGCTATATCCCCTGTGTTCTGCTTTGTACCCACCACATCTACAGTAAGCGAGGCGCCCGTCAGGTCCAATTACTTCTGTTACTTCTACACGTTACACTCACCGCCTGTAGTATAGTCCCTTGCTCGTACCTATGTCTGAGGACAGTACGCGTGCACAATTTTATGAGCGTGCATGGATTTTTGACCTATCATGAAGGGGAGTCGAACTTCAAGTGTAACAAGGAGGCGAGGGGCGGCGGTGATGAGGGTGTAAGGAGTCTTAGTGTCCAATAGGATCAGGGGGTATAGTTGTAACAATATATTTATATTGATACCAAAGCCCTACGGGCGCCCCTGGACGTACCCTCTATGGTATCGTCGCTTGCTTGTACCTATATCTAAGGACAGTACAATTTTGTGAGCGTGCATCGATTTTTGACTTATCATGAAAGTGGTCGAATTCCAGTGTAACGGGAAGGCGGAGGGCCCCAAGGACAAATTATTGCGAATACTTCCTATCTACACACTCGTAAGCGAACTATTGGGCAGCATTCCAGTTCCCACCCCACCATCTCTTTATCCGCTCGCTGCCCCACTCCTCGTATTGCTGTCGAGTAACCCCTACATCTTTGAATTCCTCCGTGTTTGCAAAGGTCGCCATTCCCCTCCACGCATCCATCGCGGCATCTTGGGCCGTCTCGACGGGAAGGGAGTTCCATCTCTGGCGGAAGGATTGGACGAAGTGCTGAGTAGATTCGCTCACGAAGCCCGCGAAACTGAGAGGGACCACCAGTAGTATACACGTTCTGCGTTGACATCATGGTCAGCGGCAAAGAAATAACTGCGGGGGACACGACCTTACTTTTACTAACCGCGCCTTTTCTGCGTCCGTGAACCTCGCAAGGACAGTCTGCAAAACCTCGCCAATTCCAGCAGCATCAACTCCTGCCATCGACGGAGCAAAGTATGTTTCGCAGACACGCCAGCGTTCGGTGTTGAGGTGGATTCTTGCAGCACCAGCAACATCACCAGGACCATACTGTGGTCGGAAAGCAGAAAGTAGCGCAGAGCGTGCGGCTGTACGTGACGCATGTGTATGTTGAGTGGTAAAGGTCGGGTCATGTGCAAGGAGCTTCGATTCAACGAGCTGCAGCTGTTGGATGTCGTCTTCTTCGTCAGAGGATGGTGCAGCTGTATTCTGGTTACGTAGTTGGGTAATAAACTTGTGGGAGTAAAAGCATCTGGGACGTACGATTTTACGATATATTGCCCAATCTTCGTCATCAGCGCCAAACATATCCTCTTTCCATGCCCAGTCAGTCTTCGGAGGCGAACTCCGCTTGCCCGGATGGAAACTCACCTGTACCAGCCTTCCTCTTCTTCTTTGATACTCGATCGTCTGCAGCAAGGGAAGCGATGTTCTTCATCCGTGCCTGCGCAACAGCACTCTTCCTATCCGAAAGGGCAGCTTTGCGACGTTCACGCTCCTTAATCCTGCTCATGATCGCCTAGATGCAGTGTCACCAACAAGCAGTTGACGCAAAGGAATCGAATATACACACCTCTTGTTCCTTGCGCAGCCTTCCAGCCCAACCTACCAAAGTCAGTTTTCTCGTTCTTCCTCATCGCGACGTTCCTCCGCTTCCCGTTCTTCTCGTTCCTTTTCTTTTTCCCTGCGCGCCCGAGCACGCGCTTCAAACCCAGCCTTGAGAAGTTTTTGTTTCTTCTTTTCCTTTAGTCCCTCCTCATCGAGCTGCAGGCAAAGAGTAAACAAACAAACCACTGCGATCACTCCTCTAAACTCACTTCTGCGTCGGGAACGTCAACGAGGGTAAAAGTCGGTTCTTCCTGACTGTATCCAAGGAAGGTGAAGAGAAAGCTACATTTTAGGAAGAAGAAATCCGCACCGTAGGTTCATCTTGACCTTCCGATTCCTTCTTGCGTACCTTCTTGAGGTCTTGTTCAAGTTTCTTTATCGTCTCATCCAGCGCCGCGTCGTCGTCGAAGCCTTCCTCCAGCAGAGTATTCTGCAGAAAAGGAGGTACATTAGCAAGTCAAAGCATTAAAGATGGATAAGGGGGTATCATTGCTGCTTACCTGCCACTCGCGTTTGTTGTCGCCCTGGTTCTCCCGCAGATTAAGTAGGTACCGGAGGTCGTTCTCTTTCTGCAGGAGCTATACTTCTTCTTCAGCCTTGCCTTTACAGCGCTTGCACATATTACATGTGATGACGAGTTCTACGCACCTTCTCCATGCGGTTCTTCGCAGCCATTTCCTGTAACTTCTTGCCTTGTTCCTTTCTCCGCTCCGCGATGCGCGCGAGTTCTTCCTCAGTCTTTTCCTCCGTCACGAGCACCGTAAATGGGAATTGCACAACGCGGGCAGCTGCTCGCATTGAATTGGGGTCGCGGAGCGAACGAAGGGTTGTCTGGTAGTCGGGCGAGAATTCACAGAAATTGTGCAGCATCCACTGCTCCACAAATCGTATATGTAGTCGATTAGCAGAAAATCGAATAGAAGAGTCAGTCAGTGGACGGTGCAAATAGCTCGGACAGACAGACCGATGCCTGTGCAGTAGTGACTCGCGTAGGAAAGTTGTGGTATTTTAGCTGGCTGAGTTTCAGGAGATACTCGGTTGACTGTTGGGCTCCCCATGGTATTCTGGAACACCAGAACACCCTACGTGAACGGTGGGGATGGCCATGGGATGAATACCTGCGTACCGCTTCGCATGGCTCAGTATTCCCTTGCCGTTGAGAATAGGAATGATGCTCGTCGATGCGGTGTTGAAGGAGATGGCCAAGCCATCGACATCGAAGGGTACTTTTGGCCGTTGGTACCTGTAGTAGAACGACATGAGGGCATCGATGCAAAACGCCAGCGATGGGACGGAATATTGTTCAAACATGAGTTCGGACGTGACTGCCAGTGTGCTCGAGTCAACCAAAAAAAGAACGAAACGCGGTGGGCGAAAGCACTTACGGGCTCGAGAAGTGTAGTGGAGACGCGAGCCGCTCTGTCATTAACACGGGGTGGTCAACGGTGTCCGTGTCGATCCCCAATGTGATGAACGCGCAATCTAAGGCATGTTCCTGTTCGCGTTAAACATACCGTAGGCATACCAGTACGCGCAGACCGCGAATCCCTGTTAGGACCTAAACCACGCAGACAGAAAATGACGAACCAGTGCATCGAAATTGAGGAGTACATCACCCTCCCATGGCGTACGCACTTGACCTTTGGCTCCGCTGTCCGCATCGATGCCGTCTCCGAATAACAGCAGTGGCTGGTTGGTCTTGCGGTCCTTGTACCGTGCCACGACATTGGATACAACATGGGGCGTCTTATTGGTCACATATTCCTTCTTGAGAGTCAACGATGGAAGGACATAGGGAAAACCCAAAACGTAATTGGGATGCGCCGTTGTCGATGATGAGTGGGGTGTCCTGTCCACGGTATGCATTATACGAGTCGGGTAGCACGGCAGCCGGAAGGGTCGGTGTTGGGACCTGGAAGACCTCGATGGGTTCTTGTTCTGACATCCTCTGCAGGGCGCTGCCTGTCCGGACTTGGTTCGCTGTTCACTTCCGTCGACCAAACGACATGAAACAACTCTATCCGAAGGCATGAATATACAAACCTGGATCAAAGACTCCATACTACATAGATACATGAGTGGCGGGTTTCAACTGACCTAGTTGTATCATGAAAGCAGTGCTTCAACAGTGACCAACTACACTATAGTGAAGGTCCTAATCTTGCTTTGCAAGAGACTAGCCGAGTCCACGGGCTGAGCGACAATAAGGGTGGAAGACGCGATCCTTTTATATTCGTCGTGAGGCAATTTGGTCAACAAAAGGGCATTAAATGGTCGTCCTAGTGTCAGGATCACATGTTCTGCACTGGTGGCTTCTGTCCCGGTGGATTGACTGAGTAACTTTGAATGCCAGGGGCGAACAAGATACAGAGTACCTGGCGACATTGTCAGCATTTTCTAGCTCGTGCGGCAACGCGATCTCGAGCGGCCGTAGACCCGACGCCTGGATTTCGTACGTGCAACGCTCAGCTTGCGAGTTTGACCTTCTTTAGTTGGACCATTGTAACACGGTGGACGAGGCAAGGTAATATAAGGCGACGATTGATAAATCGTGGGAGGGGTGACTTGGCAAGCGAGTCATGCAGCTTCCGCAGTGCTTTGCTTGGTGTAAATTTCTCACCCATCGTCGATGCACGTTCTTCAGCGTCAGGTTGGTGATGTGGTGATAATGGCAATGTGCGGTACGAAGTGATGTGGGCTGGGAAACAGCTGTGGAAGGTTGATGCCTCTCCTACCCAATCCAGAACTGAGATCTCTCCGGACTGCGATATGATTTCTGCCAGAAGGCGACCCAAGGCGTTTTCAGCAGATTCGCCATAGAGAACGGGTAGATGGAGGTTGAAGATGCCGAAGAGTGAATAGGCGATATCCTCAGGGCGGGTGGTACGCCGTGAAGATGCCCATTGCAGCCTCGAACGGGCGTCATCCATACCTGGAGAACAGTCTATCAGAAACGGAGACACTATTCTCGTCGTACTTTCGAGCTCCCCGATCACAAGGCTGTCTGTTTTATGATTTGAAGATGTAAGATTCTTGTAGAGCGACCAGTTTTGGGTGTAGAATAGTACAGTGCGGGGGGCCAGCAATTCTTGGAGGGTCCATCCCCGTCCGAACCATTTGCTACTGGAAAATGAACCGGCATCTGACACGTCCGCGAGATACACGATAGTCAGCGCGGATCGTCGATACCATCTGAACATCGATCCAATTGCTTCTTGCAACTCGGCACTGCTATCTTTGTCTATGCAACATGTATCGCTCCATGCCCATAAGTAATCCTTCTTACAGGCAATGAGACAAAAGGCTTGGAGCTTTTCATGACCGGCCTTTGTTGACATACTGTATATCGAGGAGCCCTCGACGTCACGCAACGATGGCTCGTCTTCGCCCCAGCGGTGGGAAAGCATAACATATCGGAAGTATGCCAAGACGGCAGCACGAATGGATTCTACTCGCTGATCAGGGCAGCATGCCACGACTGAGGAGAGTAGCTCATTGCATTGTCGACTGCCTAGAAAATGCGATATCTGGGTATCCCGATCGCATAGGGTGCCGGTTTGTGTGTGAAGCAGTCTGGTTGGAGCACTTTTTAGGACGTCAAATGCGACATCCCGGATAAGTTGTTTAATATCGACTTGATCAACACGTGAGACACCAGAGATCGCCATTCCAACTCGCGGGCTGATTTTCATTTCGAGATACGTCGTAAGACTGTCCAGAGATACATGATAATCTGGTTCTCCACGCGTAAACAGCCGCAAGGCTTCTTGTTCGAGTGCGATAGCCTTGTCTAAATCAGATGTGGCAGCTTTGTAACGAAACCTGTCTGCTAGACATTGTGCAAGATCATGGAGACACGAAGGGCGTCTAGGATGACCGGTTGGACGCAGTTGCAGCACATATCTGTGAAGTGTAATGGCCTCGTCCAAGTCGGTAATTGCGCGTTCATTTCGAGATCTATCCCGAAGGAATTTTGCAAGGGAACGGAGATCCTCTGCTGCTCGGTCGAGGGCGGGGGACTGATCCCCACTCGGTGCCAGACGTAGGTGGTGAACCCACTCTCGAAGGAAAAGAGTGAGTTTTTCAAAAGAAAGAGCATGATAGGGGTGCCCTGATGGTCGGAGCTCCATTACGAAGGCTGCAAGGCTAATGGCCTCATCCAGGTCGGCAGGTGAAGCACATTTTCGAAACTGGTCCCAAGAACGTAGTGCGAGGTCATAGAGTGATGAGGCATCACGCTCCGTATCGCCTGGCGGACGGAGCATCAAAGATACTCGAGGAAGGGTCGACACATTCGATATCGCAGACCACTTCGAAAACCTGTTCCGCAGGTAGAATGCGAGGGTGTGAAGAAGATCTGTGCGATCTGCATGCCCTGGTGGGCAGATGACCAATGCAGATCGTGCTAATGCAATAGCCTCTTCTAGATCACCTGTCATGCGAAGGCTCCTATACCTGTCCCAATAGCAAAATCCGAGACGGCGGACAGATAATAACCGCCATGGATGTCCAGGGCGGTGTAGTTCCAGTGCAGTACGGTGCAGCTCAATCGCCTCCTCCAAGTCGCGCATTACAGTTTGTTTGTGGAACTTCATCCAGAGGGAGGTGCCAAGGCTGTCAAGAAACAGGCCACGATTGGGATCTCCGGGTGGACAGAACCCAAGTGCTGCACGTTTGAGCAGGATTACCTCTTCCAAGTCGGCAACCACCCCCTGAATGTTGTATCTATGTAGCAGACAGAGAGCAAGTCCAAGGAGCAATGAACACCGATAAGGATGTCCAGGAGGGCATAACTCCAATGCAGCATTGTGAAGCTCCATCGCCTCCCCCAAGTCGTGCATTGCGGCTTGTTTTTGAAACTTCATCCGGAGAGAAGTACCAAGGATGTCAAGAAAGAGGCCATGATCAGGATCTCCATGCGGACAGAGCTCTAGTGCCGCACATTTGAGCAGGATCACTTCTTCCAAGTTGGCAACCACTCCCTGATTTTCATACCTACGTAGCAGACAGAGAGCAAGGCCATGACGTGATGAATGCCGATAAGGATGTCCAAGGGGATGTAACTCCAATGCAGCGTGGTGGAGGTCAATCGCCTCTTCTAAGTCACGCATCACAGCTTGTTTCTGAAACCTCGTCCGAAGGGAGGTTCCAAGGCTGTCAAGGAATAGGCCACGATCTGGATCTCCGGGTAAACAGAGCTCTAGTGCTGCACGCTTGAGGAGAATTACTTCTTCCAAGTCGGCAACTGGCCACCTGAATATCATACCTGTGGAGCAGACAGAGAGCGAGGCCAAGGAGCGATGAACGCCGATGAGGATGCCCCACAGGGCGAAGTTCCAGTGCTGCGCGATGCATCCCAATCGCCTCCTCCAGGTCGTCGATTTTCCACTCTTTCCCGAATCTGTAGTAGAGGGCCCTCGCCAGTTTGTCCAGGGCATTGTCTCGATCATTATGCTCCAGACTACAGCATTTCAACTCCGAGCGCTTCCTGGAAACGTCGTCTGCGGAATGCATTCGGTGCTGTTGCACTAGGTAGGGATGGGCCTTCAGAGGCGAATTGGACAAAGCACAAGAACTTACCCGGTAAAGACGCGGTTTACAAAGCAGATAATCTGATAACGAAGTGTGATAAGAACTATGTACGTGGGGGTTAACGAAAGTTAAGTAACACAATGACCCGATAGGGACCTCACCAACGGGCTGAGGCTACGCAAAGCGCAAATTGGTTGATGACGCGATGAACAACCAGGCTGAATATTGCTCAGCTACTTGGAAGCTGGGGGGAAAAAAAAACTGGAAAAGAGCTCACCTAGTGACTCGAGAGCTGGTAGACGTCGACGAGAGAGGAGTAAAGAGTTGTAGTGTACTTACGAGAAGCACAGGATTGAAATTGCCGCCCAGCTGTCTAACCTAAGCTCTGCTCAACCACTAAATACGTGCATTTCTGTGGCTTCATCATTTCTTAATTAGATTTAGTTTCCCTCAGCCACAGGAATTGTCTCGGAATTAAAGGTGGGGTGTCCACGGCCAGGACTCCACTGCTGGTAGTGCTTGTCCAGTCACAGTCAGCAGCAGCCGGCCACTGAATACTGCCGCTCGCTACTCATGCGCGCCAAATAGTGGGACGGGACAAATTCAGGGACATTGAAGTTGTTCTGAAGGACTTCGTCGTTCTTTCTGCACGGATTCTAAAGCTCTGAGTCAAAGTCTCCTCAAGGACTTAGTCGACTCACATGACACATTACAGTCAACTTACAGTAAAGTAGTCAAGTTTGAATATTTGAACGTCGAGAGAACTGCGCCAGTGATGCTATTGGAATCGCGATTGACAACAGGAGTATTTGAACTCTTGACAAGTACTTACACTGAAAAGGAGAACCTGCCCGGTCCCGCATTCAAATGCTCAACACAGTCAATGCTCCGAGAACTAGGGAATCTTGGATTTTGCTAGCGCGATGGTTTTGCTTTCTGTACACACACGAGTCGGCCCCGAAAATTCCATCCGTCCAGTCCATCTCATCGTGGGGTAGCCCTTTATTATAGAAAATTCGAACGCAAGGCTGCACTGACTAGCTACAAAGAGCCTAAAAGGCAGTCAGTCAGTGATTTACGTTTGACGGCACGTATCATGGAAATACGTACGAGTTTCCTCGACAACCTTGTTATTGACGACCATGACGTCCGCTTTCAGAAGGAGCGCACCAAACCGACTGCTCGTCAACATGTCAGTTTGATATTACCCAGCCTTAGCCCCCACATCCGTCCGGCAGCGTTACGGAACTGTTCCCGAGTGAGACTTGCGGGGCACAGCACGAACCTCTACGCCGAACGCTGAGCACCCTGTAGCAAGCGCTGTGTGTAGCAACACGTTGCCGACGCCGTATCTGAGGTCAACCAGAAGTGAACCTGCGTGCAAGCCAGTCTGTGCAATGGTTTTGTCGGTGAAGGAGGGCGTTAACTCTCCGTAAGCTTCGATCGTGAATACCGAGTATCAACCCAGTAATCTGATGTTGGGACCGACAATACGTCAATACATCTCCTCGATAAGAACTCGCTTTGGGATGCCTCGATAAGGTATGTATATTAGAGGCTGACTCGGAAGTGCAGGTTCAATCACATCGTCCGGAAGGAGCGGGTGCTTCAGCGAGCGCAGGAGATGTTGCCTGCCGTGCGAAGGAGCAGCAGACCATCCCGTCGTCAGACGGCACCTTGGAGGGTACGCAGATGATTCGGCTGGGCTGTGTTCTCTGAGTTGTGGGAGGATTCACAAGTAAAGACAGAGTGCATAGAACAGGCAAGTTAGAGACTGGAGCTTAGTGAAAATAACGCAACGACCCAACGGGGACTCCTCCTGGATGGATCTGACACTCACCGTTAGGCTCAATGGTCGACGAGAATCTCGCGCGGTGAATGGGCTCTGTCGAAGGACCCACGCACACCAACATCGATGCTCGGTATTCCTTCTCAACATTACTGATTCACTGTTCTTATCGTTTTCAATAGTCATTGGCCTGACGGGCGGTATAGCTACTGGAAAGTCAACAGTTTCTGCTCTTCTGAGAACTTCCAGTATCCCCATCATTGATGCCGACATCCTCGCTCGTGAGGTCGTTGCTCCCGGCACTCGTGCACTCTCCAAGATAGCGGCATATTTTGGGCCTAATATCATCCTTCCTGACGGCTCACTCGACCGCAAGAAACTTGGTTCCATTGTCTTCAATGACGAGACTAAACGAAGAAAGTTGAACTCCATCGTGCACCCTGCTGTAACATGGGCGATCATGTGGAATATACTTGGGTGCTGGATGCGGGGAGAACGTATGTGTGTCGTTGACGTACCGCTTCTCATCGAGGGCGGACTCTGGAAATGGATGGGCTGCATCATCGTGGTGTATTGGTGGGCGCTAAGCATGCATCTTCCTCCTGCCTTTCTACACAAACCACATATACAGTTCCCCAGAGACCCAACTCCAACGCCTCATGGCCCGTGACAAATCCACTTATCCCGAAGCCTCAGCTCGACTCACCTCTCAACAGCCAATATCCTCCAAAATTGCGTTTGCAGACATCGTCATCGATAGCTCTGGATCATGTGCTGAACTGGAAGAGCAAGTTCGACTGTGCCTGAAGCGGTTGGAACGTACGGTTGGTCGAACGTGGGTTGTGAGCTGGCTCTTGCCTCCTTTCGGCTTGCTGTCTGCTGCATGGACACTTCTTGTGCGTGTGGCATTGTGCATGAAGCTGACGAAGAGGATAAGGTGATAAGACCGAGGAATAGCAGTTGAGATCTCGTATTTCTTGCTTCGAGATTTTCCAAGTTGAGTCGCACGGATAAGTAAAATGCTGTAGGTCCATGTAATTACTAACTCAAGGTTTCATATTCTCTTCGAGGTACACGACAAACTTGTCCGCAACGCTCTGCTCACTCCAATCCACCGCACCCTTCTCTGTTGTACCCAGTGTAATCGCCTTCTTATGCAACGTCACAAACTGTCTTTTCAACCTCTGCAGCTCCGACAGTGTCACATTACGTGGGGGAAGGGTTATGCGGACTTGCAGCGTAGAGGAGAGAGTGACGGGGGTGATGCCGCCGAGCGAGCCGGAGTTGACCTGTTCGGAGACGAGGGCAGAAACGACCGAAGCAGTGGTGTGCTCGAGCGTACGCAGGGCGTCGGTCGGGGCTTTTGCGACCTGCAATAGAGCAACATTAGGATGCAAGACTGTGTACAGCACGATGGCGGACCGACAGCTTGTGTTCCCGTGTTGGGGGGCTTCATTATTCCTTCGGTTATCGCTCTCCAGATGTCGTCTGCTGGTACGTCTTCATCTGTCCATGACACGGTAGAGAGAGAGGAGTCCCATCGAACCATCGAAGAGGGCTCTTCATAGCGCTGCAGCAGGTTCGCAAGGCTAGTGACGTGAGTGTGAGTTTGCTTGTAATGTGCAAGAAATCGACGTCGTACGTCTCTGGGGCGTATACTTCTCCATCCGTGCGTTCGCTGTTCCATTGCTTGCACAGATCGGGCATAGCGAGCACGTACACCCAGGCCTACCTCGGTCAGTCGCAGTAGCACATGGAACGAGGATGCGTTAGATACTCACCGTACAGACGCGGACTTTGAGCTCCCTCGCAGCACAATAGATCTGATACCGGAATCCCTTGATGTAGTCCAGCGAATCGACGATGACAACCTTGTTCTGAGCCAGGTTGCGCTGGACAGCTGTGAAGAGCGTTCCGCGAGCTGGTTTTTCTGATCTCGAATCTGACACATGGGAACCCCTCTCATCTTCTATTCCATAGATGACATCAGAGTACGTACCATTATAAGAAGATCGGTCAATGTTGAGAGTGTCGTCGAGGACAGCGACGGACAGCGATGGTCCCACATAAGATGGGTCTTCCAGCCGGGCCTCGATGTGTCGTTTGATCTGAGCTGCCCGCTGTGATTTTCCAGAGGACGGATAGCCAGATATCGTGATGAGGGCCGTCTATTAGAACAAGTATGACGTCAAGCTGGGAATGTTGCTCCCATCAAATATTCAGCGTGTCTACCATTTTCTAGTGTCGCCGTTATCGCTGTACGTCGACCAGACATGGTGCAAAACACTCCGGGCAACGCGGGTGGCCGCAGCAGCTCAGCTTAAACGACCACGATGCCCTTCCGAAGCGGTCTACAAAACCATCCGCGAAACGCGAACTTCAAGTGCACGAGCCAGTGCTGAACCCCACCTACCAAGCAACGACAGACGACGAGACCAGATGACGCGGGCACGACTACAGAAGTTTCCCTACGTGCGTATGCAACCTATGGAAAGTCGGTCCACATGTATCTGCCGCAGGAGGTGTCGAGAACGCCGTCCTTAACGCTGCTCGTATCGGGTATGTCTCGAGTCCTCAGTTCACCCGTTTTACCGCATTCTTTGTATTCAAATTCATGCCTGTCACCATGCCACAGTGCCCAATGCCTTTGCCCTCTTCGTCAATCACAGCGTAAATGAGCAGCCCCCCCTCTCACCGAATCCAACATCTCCACTTTCAAGGCTCGCTGGACCGAGCTCGGATATTCACCTGCTCACGCACGTTGTTTAGAGGTGTATGTTTTGGCGTTACATGCTTTCATCCGTGCCGCATTGAAGGTGCATCCGAGTTCTTGTCGTCTCCTTATTTTACCATAACTCCCTCCTTCAGGGGGAAGCCGATACCGAACATCCGTTTTTCAGCAGACGCCCTTCAGTGCAGCACAGCTCATGAATGCAATCTATGACAAGGCACTTAAGCGAAGAAATTATATTAGTGTCACAAAGGAGCTGGCAATGGAGACTGATGATGCATCTGGGAAACAGCTACGCGACACGGCTGTTGACAACTCTTTCGCACTTGAGCAAGCCCTCTCATTGGTCAATAAGTATTTCACCAAGCGCGAAAGGAGTCTTACGACAAGTCACTTGCAAACGAAGGTATCCATACGCTGCTCATCCCCTCGGGTAGTTTTGCAGATGTGCCAAGGAATTCAACAATTCAGTGGACTTGGAAGCTAGCAAAGTTTCCACTATTGTTGAAGCGACCACCTTCTCTATGGAGGTGTGTCAAATCATCTCGAATGTGTCAGGATTCCGTGACATAGGTGTCCGCAAGGTCCTCGAAATTGCCCTTGCTTGCGCTATGTTGTACAGGTAACTTTTTTTTTCCTCCCAGAGAACCAGTTAACCTATTCACACCCATAGCATCATGAGTTCTGCAGCATTCACGGGTTTTTCCGTGTTTGGGCACTCCACATTGTAACACTGGTCGAAGCAAGGCAATATAATGTGGCGACCGATGAATCGTGGGTGTGCCGACTCAGCGAGTGAGCTATGCAGCTTTCGCAGTACTTCGGTTGACGCAGACCCCCGAGCCATCGCCAACGCACGTCTTTCTGCCTCGGGTTTGGGACTGGTGACGAAGGCAATGCACGGTACGAGGTGAAGTAGGTCGGGAGACAGCTGTGAAAAGTTGATGCCTTTCCTACCCAATCCAAAACGGAGATCTCCCCAGACCGCGATATGATTTCTGATAGAAGGCGACCCAGGGGGTTTTGAACAGGATTCACCATGAAGAACGGGTAGATAGAGGTCGAAGATGCCGAAGGGTGAATTGGCGATTTCCTCTGGATGGGTGGTACGCCGTGAGGATGCCCATTGCAGCCCAAAACATGCGGTGTTCATAGCTGAAGAAAAATCAGTCAGAAACTGAGGAGCTATTCAATAGCTCCTCAGTTTCTGTTGTGCATTCGAGCTCTTCTAGCACAGCGCTGTCCTTTTTGTGATTTAAGGCTGTGGGGGGTCTTGGCTGTGGGTGTAGAGTAGTACGGTGCGGAGGACCAGCAACTCTCGGAGGATCCACCCACGTCCGGACCATTTGCCACTGGCAAATGAGCCGACATCGGGAACGTCTGCGGGGCACTCGACAGCCAGGGCGGATTGTCGGGTACCACGTGAACATTGACACAATCGCTTGCAGCCCGGCGCTGCTATCTTTGTCTATGTAACAGGTATCACTCCATGCCCATAAATAATCCTTGCAGGCAAACTTCACTGGCTGTTCGCGCTTAGCTGCACCATTCCGGCGTGGAGGAGGCAGCCGTGGCCGTGCTCCCTGGCGCGAACTCAAGAGCCACATATGAGATTGTTTAATCCTGGTCCACGAACGTCGGAAGAACTGAACGAGGACGTCATAGATGGCGTGCACGAGTACGTCTTCCCACTCAAGATTCAACAGTCAATACACCGCAGGATGATTAGATTTTGCTAGCGTGAAGGTTCTGCTCTCCGTACATACAATACATACATAGACATGTCTACCTCGAAAAATGCATCCGTCCAGTCCATCTCTGTCATCGTGGGGGTAGCCTCCCTACCGTCGCCCAGCTCTCACACTCCTCGCCCGCGCATTTTCGAACCGTTCCCTTATGCTTGCATACCCCATACGGTCCACTCTGTGGATATAATAAGTACCGCCACTACTCCCCCACGAAACGTCACCCGAATGATACGGTCGCTCTTCCACGTCGAATATGGCGCAGATATCGTCCACGTTGCGTTCTGTCACTCGAGCGTTTGGCTGGACAAACGGTTTCATAGATATGACGACGGCCCCTTCCTTTAAGTCTAGAAATTTAGGACGCAAGGCTGCATTGACTGGGAACAAAAAGCGGACAGTTAACAATTTATGTTGGATAACATGTATTGAGGAAATACCTACGAGTTTCCTCGAAGACCTTGTTATTGACGACCACGACGTCCGCTTTCGGGAGGAGCGCATCAACACGACTACTCGTCAACATGTCCCCTTCCTCTAGTTCGATATTACCCATACTTAACCCCCACATACGGCTGCGTGTACGAAGTTGCTGGAGCTGTTGCCGAGCAAGGGCCGCTGGGCCCGCCATGAACTCTATGCCGAACGCTGAACACCCTGTAGCAAGCGCTGCGTGTAGCAACACATTGCCGACACCGGACCCAAGGTCAACTAGAAGTGAGCCTGCATGCAAGCCGGTCTGTGCAATGATTTTGTCGGTGAAAGAGGGCATTAACTCTCCGTAAACTTCACTCGTGAATGCCGAGTATCGACTCAGTTGTCCGATGTTAGGGCCAACGATACGTTGATATGTCTCCTCGATAATACGTAGTAGAACTCGTTTTGGGATGCCTCGATGAGATGGCTGTATCCAGCATTCACGTGCGTAAGTTAGAAGCTGATTCGGAAGTGCAGGTTCAAATACATCGGCTGGAAGGGGTGGATACTTCAGCGAGCGCAGAAGAAAATTAATGGTGTCCATCGTGTGAAGGAACAGGGGTCCATCTCGTCGTCGGATAGCACGTTGAAGGGTGCGCAGGTAATTGGGCTGAGCTGTGTTCTCTAAGATGTGGGAGGAATTTGAAATGTCTCCAGATAGATCAGCAATGGAGGAAATCGGGGGAGAAGGTGGTGGTGTGTGATCTGTGGGAAGGTCCGTAGGCAATGTTCCAAACAACGCTTTCTGCGGTGGGGTAAGATAACCTTGGCGAGGGTCATAGATAATTCTATGATATGGCGAAGCCACGTACATTCAATGATAGTGTACAGTGAGTCTACCAAGCACATAATGGGGCTGTAGTGATCCGGGTCCTTAGGTACCAATAATATAAATCTGCCAAGAAGCGTTCCGCTCACGACCATGTTCAATGAGATACATAATAATATCGACTCACGTTTCGCAAGAATGGTTGTTGGGATATTCTAGCTCGGTAGATGGCATGGCCTCGACCTCGAAAGATTTGTCGTCTGGGTCTTGTGGGTTATTGAAATCTACGGCAGGAAGACATTTAAAAAAAGTTTGCTACAGTAGATCTATCACAACTCACAGCTTTTGTATGATTTAACGAGTTGGCGCACGACGACAGCTGCACTGACAAGGTCAGGTCCTGGCCTCCCGTCATCATCCGTCCACCAAACCCAGTCAGCCTTTTCTCCTGGGTCATGTGGAATTCGGAACGTAGAACTCGAACGCGAACTTGATGAACGGTATATCGGTTCGTCAAGAGCGAGAGATCGCTGTCGACTTACAGCCCGGGAGGACGAAGCGGATGGCCCAGCACTACTGTCAGTAGGGGTATGATCACGGATGACCCTTCTGGCGCGGATACATTTTGCTCTGCGAGGCTTTGGTTTTGGTGGTGCTGCGACGGCGTTTGCTATGCGTTTCCGCTTTGGAGAGGGTTGCCAGTAGTCGTCGTCTGACAAGTCGGAGGTAGTAGTGAGGGGACTAGAAGGAGTCGAGCCAGGCAGAGAGAGAGCGTCCATCGAGGGTGGATTGTCTGGATACGAGTCCATTGGGCCTGTGAACTGACACGCTGGTATGTGACTCTGGCGTTCCCGCTGCTCCCGTTCCTGCTCGACCTGCACCCGCCATGCATGGCGCGTGGTGACGGATACTTCACCTGATGCCATCAGCCTTGCATAACCTGTGAACACGCAAGTTCCAAGACGCGTCCGAGGGTGGATTCCGACAAACGAAAGACCCGATTCCAACGTGTGCTGGCTTCAGCTTTGCAGTGTCTCGGATGTTCCTTCATTCAATTCCGCATGTGTCGCGTCCGCCGTCGTGCACGTGACTCATACATACAGCCTTGCTCAATTCATTTCAATGGGATCACTCAGCGGACTCGCCGCGACGATGGCAACCGACAACGAAGAGGGCAACAAGGTGGTAGACTGAAACAGGTTTGTATGGTAACCTTGTCGATCCGACCTGCTACTAACCAAAGACGAACAAGTCAGCTGACGCTGGCAAGAGAAAGGATAAAAAGAAAGACAGGCATCGAAAAAGAAAACAGTCTGACCCAGCGGACGTGGAAGCTGTTCCAGAATCACCTTCGGGTACGTTGTGCACAATCCAAGGCGATCAGCTTGACCCATGTTGCTTTACAGAGCCAGGCAAGTCCTCGAAGAAGGATCGCAAGCGCAAGCGTGAAATTGAAGTTGGTGATACCACTACCCAGGAAAACATAACCAAAAGCAAGAAGAAAAAGAAACACGATGCGGATGCCCAAAATTCTCCGCAGCTGGTCCCAACGATTCATGCTTCACCACCATCCTCATCAGAAGGACAAGCTTTCCTTGAAAAACACTCCGTGACCATTCATGCACCACCATCCCTCCCTTCCTCTTTCTCCAGTCACTTCTTTCGACCAACTCGATATTCCTACGGGGCTCAAAGATGCCTTTGAAGGATTCAAAGAGCCGACCCCGATCCAGGCAGCCGCATGGCCATGGGCTCTGGCCGGTAAGGATGTGGTCGGAATTGCTGAAACGGGGAGGTGTGCACGGGAATATTCGACGGAGTAGCCCTTCTTGCTGACACGGTTACTTATAGTGGAAAAACGTTGGCCTTTGGCATACCTGCCCTTTCCCGACTTATCGCCACAGGGTCGAATGGGAGTGGTAAAAAATCTAAAAAGTCCGCGAGCGATTAACGTTCTTGTGGTTGCACCCACTCGCGAACTTGCGATTCAAACACATGACACCCTTTCTGCGCTCGGCGCTCCTTTCGGTATGGCCAGTGTTGCCGTGTACGGTGGAGTCGACAAGTCCCCGCAGATCAAAGCCCTCTCAAATAATTCAGAGGACGGAAAAACGACCCGCATTGTTGTTGGCACTCCCGGTCGGATATTAGATCTAGTCAACGACGGTGCTTGTGACTTATCTAAGTATGTTCCGTTGAAACGTCTGGAGTGAGCTGATGATGCTGACCTGACACAGGGTAAATTATTTGGTCTTAGATGAAGCGGATAGAATGCTAGACAAAGGATTCGAACACGACATCACGGCAATTATTTCCCATACCATGCAAAGATCTGACCGCCAGACCATGATGTGTGCGTCTGATGCCGAGCTCCATTCATCACCGCCTCATACTTCTCCCCGTTTTGTTTGAAACAGTCAGTGCGACATGGCCAGAGGCTGTTCGTAGACTTGCGAGTGCATTCTTGCGTGATCCTGTACGAGTGACGGTCGGTAGCGATGACCTCACTGCAAACAGCCGCTGTAGAGCAATGCATCGAAGTCTTGGAGGATGCACGAGAAAAAGAGTGCGTACATTATCTCATCTTACGTTTCAGGCTTCATTCCAAATGTTGGATTACAGTGCGCTCCTTGCCAAGCACCTTGCCTTACTCGGTTGTGCACGCAAAAACGGTACGTCGACGGGACCGACACGCAGTACTCGTTTTCGCTTTGTACAAAAAGGAAGCGTCTCGTGTAGAAGCCACGCTTAAGCGTGCTGGGCACGATGTCGGAGCTCTGCACGGAGACATGGCGCAGAGTGCACGAATGGCTGCACTTGAGTGGTTCAAATCTAGCCAGAACTCCGGTGGGGACGGCAATCCCGGAAAGGGAAGAAAAAACACGGGGCTTCGGCTCTTGGTGGCTACGGACGTGGCAGCTCGTGGGCTGGATATACCCGAGGTGGGAGCTGTGGTGAACTATACCTTTCCGTTGACGATCGAAGATTATATACATCGCATTGGGCGAACAGGTGGGCTTGTTGCCTTCACATTGCAATAATGTATGTTCACGTTTGTCATTCACCAGGCCGCGGAGGCCGCTCTGGGCGTTCGATCACGTTCTTCACGGGTGATGTTCATGAACGCGCTCTCGCCGGCGAACTTGCGCGTGTACTGCGTGATGCTGGGTTTGGGGCCGAGGCAGACAAGCTGGCGCACAAGTTCCCGATGACGATAAAGAAAAAGACACATTCTGCGTACGGTGCTTTCTTCAGAGATGACGTTGGAGGAGCTGCGACGAAGATCGTGTTTTAGGGTGCTTGGAGGATGAGGGGCTTTGGTACCACCCATGTTAGAGAGTCATATAGCTGTGCAATTGAATACGCACACGACTAGCCAAGTTGGATGACAGCCTGCCAGGATGCCTAGAGTCATCAATTATAATCAGCTAATAGGCGCCTCAGCTCATCGCTGCCGTGTCCATCGTGTGCCCGTCTGCATTCCCTGCCGTTCCCAACGTCCCGTTCGATCTTCGAAATCAGAAAACACAGCATCAACGGGTTCGTCGCAGCAAGTTGGGTCCATTTCGACAACAACTCGTGTGGCGAACGCAGTGCCCGCATCTGCCACACCGCAGCTTGACATCAGTACAGCTGGTTTCTTAGTGCGATCATCTAACAGTTTATATTCAGCGCGAAGCTCGTGGGCGTCTCATTGCCATCAAACATGATGATGGGTCTTTTCAGCCAGGCCGGCTCCCAATTGCGTAGGGCACGCGGTTCCTCCGTGGTCGACGACAGGGCACCTGAAGATACTGAACCTGATGATACATCAATCCTGTCCGTGTTTCAAACTCTCTTCTCCGCTCCTCCTCATCTCTTCTCTGCACCCGCTCTCCCTCCTCCATCCCCTCCACCCCAATGGGCTACGCACATACTGACTGTGATGAATACAGAGACGAGAACGAGGGCTCGATCATCACGGCCCTGATATCGCAGCTGAGGTGCGTAGTTTCAGAGATCTCCCACCCGCGTGCAACTCACGGACAACTGGGTGGTGCTCCGTACTGCAGAGTAGGCATGGATCTCTCAAAGGTCACCTTCCCAACGTTTGTCCTCGAGCCACGAAGCATGCTCGAACGTATCACGGATTTCATGTCTCACCCGAATCTCATCTTTGGGTACGTCCCGTCTTTGGCGTTGCATGTTACTGCGTGCCCTAAGCCCAGCTGCGTTCCCTCCCTCTCCGTGTCCTACTCCTGCGACTGCCCTACTGATGCCATGATTTGCTGCGCGATGCGGTGCACACCCTGACTCCAATGATGACGCATTCTCTCAACGATCGGGGTAATAATTACTAGCTCAGAAAACTGCTCGGATCCAGAGGAGAGGTTTATCAGGATACTCCAGTATTACCTCGCCGGGTGGCATATCAAGCCAAAGGGCGTAAAGAAACCGTGAGTCTACGGATCACGCTTGTGCACAATATCGATATCCTAGACCCGGTGCCGTATGTAGGTATAATCCTGTTTTAGGCGAGTTCTTCAGATGTCGGTATGACTACGCCAATGGCACGCGAGGGTACTATGTCGCTGAGCAAGGCAAGTGTTCTCCGCCTTATGTCCGCCAGCTTAGCACGACCCGCTTACTATATTCGTTCCTCAACAGTATCGCATCACCCGCCGATCTCAGCATTCTTTTACATTTCGCCCGCGAACCGTGTATGCATCGTAGGTGAGCTACGACCCAAGTCCAAGTTTCTTGGCAACAGCGTGTCAACGACGATGGAGGGTGAGAACCGCATTACACTGCTGGGTATACCAGAGGACGGAGGTGAGTTTCTTATTCCCGTCTCAAGCGTAATGTCTTCGACGCTGGAACGGGCCTGCCGAATCTCAGAATACGTCGTGACAATGCCAAACATGTATGCTCGAGGCATCCTGTTTGGGAAGATGGTGCTGGAGCTGGGGGATACATGCGTCGTAAAGAACGAACGACATCGATTGACGTGCGACCTTGAGTTCAAGACGAAGGTAAGTCAGTGTTACAGCCCGCACACTACGCATTTTAAGAGAACGGACGTCTGCCATGCGTCAATGTAGGGCTTTTTTTCTGGAACCTATAATGCCATTGCAGGTCGGGTGCGCAGGGGCGGTGCCGAGTTCGGCGAAGTATTGGGACGATGGAGCCACGTAATGGAATTTAAGAATTCAAAGGTATGTGTGTCATGACGTGTATTTGTTGTTGTCCTGGCCACCTACGGTCATCTTACTCCAGACCGGTTCCAAGTCCATCCTCTTTGACGCAGCTAAGGATGGACAGAACATTGCGCCCATGTATGTGGCGCCGGAGGAGGAACAAGAACCTTATGAATCAAGACGGTGGGTGTCGTCATTTGCAGCCGTCGACCTCTTATTTATTTAATTTGACCTTGTCATCCACCACAGACTGTGGCACAGACTCACGCTGGCGATCGAAGCACGGGATATGGAGGCTGCAACGGAGGCAAAGTCCGCCGTTGAAGATGCACAGCGCGAGCTCCGTCGGAGACGCGAAGAACGAGGAGAGAAGTTCGTCCCGAGATTCTTTGAGCTTCGGGGTGGAAGGTGGGAGCCGAAGCTGTCGTAAGCATTTCCGGATCCTACGGCGATCTATTCCATTCATTCCTGATCTGCAATTACGCCAGGATCCCGACCGATGCGTCCTCACACGCAATAGAGACCGTAGAGAATTGGATATGGCCACCTGCATGACCGCAAGTGGTTGCCCAGTGTATACACAGATTTGCATGCATGGTAACGAACACGTTCCCGTCCTCCTTCAGTCATTGAACCCGCTCAGTGCCGTTCTATTAAGACTCGCAGCTAATACATCCATCCACCGGATTTGTACCTCGTAGCAACAACTTGATGGGTATATAAATGACAACGACCGATGTAAGATGAGTACGTGCTTGTGTCGCAAATGACCATACCATACCATGGAAAATGAAAGCCTAAAGTGACTTTCGCAAACAGAACGAACAATTAAAGCAGAGATGACAGTATAGATCGGAATTCAAGGAAAAAGAAAGAAAGATATACAATTGCATAGATGGTAATCAACAAGTTTACGGGAAACGGCTCTAGAAGTACCAACCGTCGGAGTGCTTACTTGGGGTCAAAGAGACAGTGCTTGGGGTCGGGGAAGCGACAGACTGTCTGAAACTAGATCGGGTCGATCGGGCTAAGGGAGTGTATGTGGCGCGCTCCGGTCCAAGTCGTGGGTAGCGTTGCCTCGGTGCATGCATAGAATCCCATACAGACGCTTGTGGCGGAGTGTCGCTCCGTGGTTGTCTGTCGTCCCGCCCAACGGGTGTCCGTGAGCGGTCGGTATATATCGTGCTTGCACGAGAATCAGGTCGAGGCGGTGGGGATGCATCTTGGGAGGGGATCGGTGCCTTCTCAGCGTAGGGAGTATGCTTAGGGACGTTGACCCGGTTATGATTCCTCGCCTTGCTGAGATCAACCTCCAGCCGAGCAACCTGAGCTTCAAGCATAGCAACCTGTTCACGAAGTTTGTGTTCGCGGTCCTGTAGAACAGAATAAGTATGAAGCAAATATAAATCAGGGAACCACACTACTTACTTTGACCAAGCGATCTTCCGCTTCTTTTTCTTCAAGTTGAAGCTTAGCAAGAGAATAGTCAGCGTCGAGCTGGTCCTTCGTCTGTTCTGCCTGGTCGAGTCTGTTCTGTGTCAACTCCAAATCGCTCTCGTATTCCTTCGCACGTCGTTCCCATTCGGCGGCACGCTGCTGGGCCTGCACAAGGCTCTGCTTGGCGGTATTGGCGACCCGTTCGTTATTTGTAGCCTTCTGTTCCTGTTCTCTGAGTCGTTTCTGAAGTGCAGCATGTTCGCTCTCGAGTTGCCGGTTTTGATCACGAATGCGTCGAAGATCCTTGGATTCTTCGTTGTCAGCCTGTCGCATGGCATTTGCGAGAGCCTCGATCTGCTCAATGTTGCGGCGAAGGTCATCCCAGTGGTTTTGTTGGGCCAGGGATTGCTCGTGCTCTTGTTGCAGTAACTTCAGGGACTGGGCTGTCAGCTCCTTCTCATGGGTGGCCAATCTGAGCTGGAGTTGTAAATCATCAACCTACATGGGTCAGCCCGTGTCATGCGTCAACGAAAATCGCTCCCTTACCTGCGACTTGAGACTTGCTTGCTCAGCTACCGCATCACGGTTGGCCTTTTCCACCTCAGCAATGCGTTCTTGCTGTGTGTGGGTTGCGACATCAGACGCCTTGAGTCGTGCAAGACTCTGCGATAGCGCCTCCTCAAGTTCAGAATTCCGAAGTTCGATAGCGGTGGTTTCGGTCTGCTGGTTTCTTATCGACGCTTGCAGCTCCTCCACCTGGGCACGGAGGCACTCACGTTCATTTTCGATGTCCTTGAGGCGTTCCCCAAGGTTATCTTTCTCGACGCGAACTTGACCATGCGCACCCCGTGCCTTGGCAAGCTGTATCTGAAGATCGCTGTTCGCAGTTCTTAGCTTCCGAATCTCATCGGCATCGTGCTTCGCTGTTTCCCTGGAAACAGCGAATTCGGCGTGGGCAGTTTGCAAGGCCTGGACAGCAGCGGTCAGAGACTCGGGAAGAATGTTGATGCGGTCACCGAGTTCCTGGTGGAGGGATTTCTGATGGGCAACAAGTATATCATATTGTTGGTTTCCAGAAGCAAGTCCCGCGGCAACATTTTCAATGGCACTCTCAAGTCGCCGCAGGGTAGCAACGATCTCTTCATTTCCGCTGCCTGACCCTTCCTGCGGCACAATACCCCCAGCGGTCGCCACCCCACGTTGGAGCACTTCTAGTTGAGCAGGGACGCCCGAAACCAGAGATGCGACGGCGTCCTGTTTAGCAACGAATTCGTCGTTCTTCGCGGATAGTGTCGACTGTAACTCCAGTAACTTATCAAGCTTGGGTATGGAGTCATTTACAGAATGCAACAGGCTCGTTACACCCTCGGTGACCTTCGTGGCTACTGCATCCACGTTGAACGCTCGGTCACGGACAGCTAGGCGGGAGTCAAGGCGTTCCACGACAAGGTCCGCAACTTGCTCCTTAATTTCGTGTGCATCGACAGGGGCAATGATCCGTCGGACTTCGGCCGTGATCTCGGCTATGACAGATTCTGTATCCACAGGGGACTGCGCGGAGTTGGGCAGCAACGGCAGGATACTGTTCACGATAAGACCTGCTGTCTCGCGTTTGTCCGCAGCGAGATCGATTAACTGCTCGATGTTGGGTTTAACTGCCTCGCTGAGCTGGGCAGTGAGAAGATGGTAATCGACAGGCTCTTGGCGCAATGCGTTTAACCTTGGCGTCAGGGCAGTCATGATTTCTTCAACAAAGGAATCTCGTTCAGTATTTGTCCGCGAAGGGGCGAGTACGCATGTCAAGCTTGCCGGAGAGCTGGCCGAGGGTATTTAGGATAACCTGTAAACTTCTGTGGTTTATCTGTTCGATGATGGGAGCAACATCCACATTGCCCTGATGGAGTGACTGGCTGCCTCGCTTCTTCGACGCGAGAAATCGCCTCACGCAATTCCGTTTGGATGAGCAACAGGTTTTCGGCATGACCCTGCTGCACAACATCTCGGATAAGCTCCAAGTCGAGTTCTCCCCGTGCGTCGATTTGACTATCATCCAAACCCCTCGCTGCCGACTCTTGGAGTTGGGTTCTGAAAAGCGTGAACCACTTCAGTTATAGCGTTCTCCGTGGTGGGGACTTATGGAAGCACCCGAGTTGCGCTCGCGATTCTTCGCCAGCTCCGAGCGTAATGCCGAGAATTTCTCCTCCAAAATGGCCTCCAGCTTGTCTTCGAGTGCTTGTGCCTCCAGACGCTTCGTGAGGTTGATGGCAGGAATCGACACGTTTGAGAGGCTAGAGTTATGTGTACTATGCAGGGCCGGCAAAGATGAACGACGCTTGATGGCGGGCGTGAAGATGTCCGGGGACTCTGTCTCCACCTTAATGCCGGGGTCCGTGACCAGGCGCGCGCGAGATCTGTTCTGGGACGCAATAGGAGGTACGGAGAAGTCATCCAGCGAGGGCCGTTGCGAGTGTTCAAGGGCATCACGGGAACTAAGACGCGAACGGACAGTGCGGCGTGTTTTCTCATCACCAACAAGAGCCTTGAAGACGCCCGCGGGGACGGTGTTGGTGGCAGAGGAATTCTTGAAGTCCAGAGGAATAGGGGCACGACGTGATTTTGGAGGTGCTGCAGCACGGAGGGCGCTGGTTTCGCTGATGTCATCATTCTCGAGCCCTTCAACTTCAATGCCTGGCAGATTCTCATCGTTCTCAGCTCCGTTGTCAACCCCTTGTGAAGGCAGCGTCGGAAACCCAGAGAATGTGAGTGGTTGGAGAGGAGTGTGGAAATCTTGCGAACCTGCACGAGGGGATGGTGGGGCAGAGCGGCGGACGCTACGAGGGGTCTCTCCGATTGCAGGGAACCGGAACGAAGCCATGTTTTCTTTGCCACTATCATTGCCATCATCTGTCGTGGTGAGGGAGCCTCGGCGTTGTCTCTTTTCTCTACCTTGTTGCGCTCGGGTGGAAGAAGATCGTACTGGGGGAAGCGGCAATGGACGCGTTGTGGGCTCCTGTGGTGGAAATGGAAGTTGAGGCACCCCAGGCGGAGGTCGGAAAGTGAAACCCGTAGGCTTGAATTCTTGGGCTGATGCATTAAGTGGTTTACCCAGGGACGGTAATCGAGCATGACCAAGAGTGGGTGCTGGTGGGGGAGCTGCGCCATCGACTGACCACGAATTGGACCCACGGCTGGAACCGAATACGAAAGGCTTAGCGTGAGGATTGAGACTTCCAGAAGCAGCTGCTGGAGGTCCAAATGCGTAATCAACTTGGAAGTGATCAGATCCAACACGAGAATGCGCAAGAGCTGGGTCATGGATAGTAAACTGTCCGGAAGTTCCTCGAGAGTGAGGTAGCGGTAGGCAATGGTCGACGGCCAGGTGTCGATGTTGATGATGGACGGAGAGCGGAATCGAGAGGGTCAACTACCAAGAAACGACTCCCTGCGTTCGGCGTTTAGTCCTTCTTCACTTGGATTTGAAACAAAGTCGTAGTCGCCCCGAAGGGAAACGCCGAATACACCCGTCGGAGGCGCAGGGAAATTGGGCAGCCGCCTCGGTGTTTCGATTTCCTGTCGTCTCTGCCGAAGTGACCGGCGTTGCATCCTCTCGTGACGAGCGCGCTCTTCGTCGGAAGGATTCGACCACTCTCCGATGCTCTGCTAGTGGAATGAAGTCATGAAAGAGACGAGAATAATCATATGGAAATCTACCTCATCGTCAGACTCGTCCATACGCAAATCCTCTGAACCAGTCCACTCCCCAACGGCTTCCTTGTCCAAATCATCAATTCCCGGATTCCCAACGGGGCTCCGTACAGGCACAATGTCAACCTCGTCCGGCGTAACGCCATTGCGCACACCTCCAACGGATCTCAAGGACAACGTGTGTGACAACCTCGAGACGTGCCTTGAATGATGTGTGCTGGAATTTCTCATTGGGGCCACCATGTCCTGGCTCCACTTCAGGCTGGCTAATGGGTTGCGTGATTCCTTCTTCATTTGCAACGCTTCTGGTCCACGCCAGGTGTCTCTTCCTGAGGCTCTTCTTCTTCTGGAATATCCAAACCGAAACCACGAACAAAATCAGGACGGCTGCTGCCACGACTGATTCCTGCAGTAAGAGGCAGTAACGTCACAGGCATACGACCTTGGGGTGCGTGAAGGCCATCAAAATGCGTAGACCCAAAGGGCGTGTCAGGCTCGATGCTGTCAGATCCAAGAACAGCACTTGGGCCGAAGGGGTTGAACGCAGCAGAGGGGTTAAAGTATGCAGGGTGTGCCATAGGCTGGATGGGCAAGTGAGAGGCTGTAGCCATGCTTGTTCTGTTGGAATGCCTGCGAACTAGGGGACGGCGACAAATTCACCGGGGGTTGTGGAGAACTTGACAACGAGTTGGATGTGGAAGCATTTTGCGATCGGCGCAGCTCATTTAATTTGAAATACAACAACGATGGATCGGCCGGGGATGATATCTATGGAAGCATGCACATGAGATGAGCTGAACACGTTGACCATAATATGGAGGGTGCTTACTGAGGCTGCTCGAGCATGCGGTGCATGAATTGGTAAAGAACCTCCAGATCCTCGCTCAACACCCAACTTCTCCAGCCTCTCCTCTATCAGTCTTTGTTTTAAGGTATCCCATGCAAACTGACAATGCAAGACTCAGTGTTCTACAAAACTACAGAACATTCACCTGCCTTACCTTTCCTGGTAAGAAGACATCGATAGCATTGGGTATCGCATATCGCCAAGCATCCGGGGGGAACAAGTTCCGCGGTATCAATTTCTGGAGGATATTATAACTGGTTCTTCCGTGCTTGTCGTCGGCATCGGCGTTCGCGCCCATGAAGGACGCGAAGGTGGGTCACCGTTTGTTCCGGGTATCGTCTCTACTGGGAGGTTAACGACTATTTTCTTCCCCTTTTGCATAGTCGGTGGGGGTGGTTGAATAGCCATTGGGCTATGCTTACGCCCGGGACCTCCAAGTGGTGCCTTAGGTGGACCTCCGATGCTTACACTGGGTTGCCTTCGGATTCTGGGTATGAAAGGCTGACCGAAAGATGGTGCCGTGAATATGCGAAGGAAATCCCTGTCCCAGAGGTGTGATGGGTATCGCAGTTGGCGGTGGGAAGCCGGGGTAGTGTACCATGCTTGCATGGGCTTTGTGAAGAGCGTACGCAGGACGACCTGGGGCATTTGGCGGTTGCGGCTGGAAAAAAGGTTGCATGGGTGTCTGAAGTGGAGGATGTCCTATCGAGAATGGGAGCGGAGGATGATAGCTCTGCTGCAGAGAGGTCGGCAGCCCCGGAGAGAACATGGCTTGTCTGCCATCAAATGGCTGTTGCATACCAAGCGACGGGGGAATACTGAGACGGGGAGGAGGTTGTCTTACTTGCGAGGCCATATTTACCCGTGGACTGAGATGTCGTGGAGCTTGGTTGCTATTCCGGTCGTCCCGTATGATACCAGAAGGCGAGATAGCGAGACGAGCTTTGCACGGTGCGGTGACTCGAGAACCTAGCTTGTTCCTCGCCAGGTGGGTATCTAACGTCGAAGACAAGCGTTAGCGGCGACAAACCCAAGGAAAAGTTCGCCCTGTCCGCGAAAAAACTCTATCCGTGCCAAACGGCAGGGGAGCAGCAGAAACAAAATGCAAAAGACAACTCAATAGACAAGGAGTACCCAGCCCGACATTTCGCTTATCCCCCCCACCACGTGCTCTCCACTTACAATGGGTCCCAGAAAAAAAAACTCGTCACATTGTAATTGTATAAGATAAATTACGAGGTCATTAAAGGCGTCTGGATAGTACAGCGAAGAAAGACCAAGGGATCAGTCATCCTCAAACATGTCATCATCATCATTATCATCATTATCGTCGTCAGAGCCCGAGTCAATCTCGATGTACTTCTTGGCCTTGTTCGTCGCAGCGCGTCTCGGTGCAGGCGCACGAGCAGCCACTGTATCACTCATAACGATTTCGTCATCGTCGCTGGCTGTCTTCTTGGATGGCGGCTTCTTGGCAGGTACCGGCTTGCTGCCCGACGGTTTCCGTGCAGCGGGTTTCTGAGCAACTTCTGGGGGCGTGGAGGACTTCTTGTCGAAGAAATCGGTTACTGACGCCTGACCAATCTTCTTTTTCTTCGTCGCAGGCCGGACATAAGCCTCGTCGTCATCGCTATCATCTGCCGTGGTAGGCCTAAAACGAGGATAAGACGATAGTTCTATTCTGCCAAGCACTAGACACGTACGATTTCCTCTTGGGCCCGTCCTCCTGTGCTAACGCCTTCCCTTTCCCCTTGTTCGGAGCAGGAACAGCCATCTCAATATCCGAATCAGAGTCGAGCAGCTTCAGTGCTTTCGCAGCTTTCTTCGGCGGAGGGCCAGTAATCTCCAGATCGGAGTCCGAGGCAGGTTCGGCCTTCTTCGCCAGGTTTTTGACAGGGGCCTTCTTAGGCGCGGGAGCAGGCTTTTCGTCTTCGCTCTCGATCTTGGAGGGTCCAGCAACCGCAGGCTTGGGCTTGGGTTTGGGCTCAGCCTTCTTCTTTGCAGCAGCCTTGGACGGTTTGAAATCATCCTCTGAATCATCTGAGTGGAGAGCTTTACGAGGTCTAGCGATTGTCAGTGATTTTCGGTGCTCTAGGGTAGCCTGCTTCTTCTTAATCTTTTTGCCGTTGGCGTCAAGTAAACTTCGGCTCTCATACTCCTGACATGATTTCTGGTGCAACGGTTAGCTGCAGGTGTTTGAGGTATGGAAGTCCCCTACCTCCCATTCCTTCAAGAAGTTATCGAGGTCTTCATTCCACAATCCTCTGGGTGTACGCTCGAGCAAGGCTAATAATTCAGCTTCTTTCTCCGCGGCTTGTTGAAGCAGTTTTTCAATCTAATCACCCGTGTCATAAACCAGGAATACCACAAAGCATTTTGGTACTTACTTTCTCCTTGGTCAAGCTCCAGATAGCCATGCCCAATAAGTAATCATAATCTGTGGAGCCAGCGGCTTCCTCAGCCTCAGCCGCATCATCGTCTTGGTTGATGACTTCTTCAGTCTCTCCCGCGGCTTTTGCCTTGCTTACTTTTGGGAACGGACGGAATTTGAGCTTGCGCAAGTCGGCAACAATGTCTGCCTTCTTGCGGTTCGAAACCACCAGTTCCTTGTCCACTATCATCTTCACGAATCGAGCCTGATTGGACAATCGCTCGAACTGAGTCTGCAACTCGTTGGCCAGGAAGTCCTATATCGTGATTTTTCAAGTCAATGGGACTATACCCTAAAGCAGTCAAATAACTGACCTTCCGCTTCTGATAATATGCGAGTCGCTTGGGGTAAAACTCTTCGATAATCTCCTCTGGGGAATCATACTTCTGAATTTTGCCCTCGAAGTTGAAACAAATCATGTTGCTGGTATTGACCTTGCTCGTCAGCTTGAAGAATTCAACAAGCCCTTGTTCCTCAGCCTTCTCCAGGTCCTTAGCTCCCATAGTGATGGCGAAATGCACGTTCACATTGTCGTGGTGTTCCTTGTAATCCTGACGAGTGGATTAATCTTAGTGTTCCGCATCGTGGAATGCATGAAGTACCTTGATTACACCGTCACCTTTCTCTCCAATCATAGCTTCCAACTCCGCCTTGTAACTCTGAGTCCATTTATGAATGGGTAGTTCAGTTATCTCAACAGTTGTATCATTAATTTTGCGTGCGATACCGGTGACGTCGTATTTGTGGTCGCCAACTTTTCTGACGGTACCCTTGAATCCTTTCCACCAAGGTAGCATTGGCACCATCTCTTCGCCGTCCATGAGGCGACGGAGGTTCGCGATAATGTCAACCGGATTGTACGAGGGGATATTAGTGCTCCAACCTATGAAGTTTAATGAACACCTCGCTAGACACCAAGGCGAATGATTTACCGGTTCCGATACCCTCAGCACCATTGACAAGTACCAGCGGAATAACTGGCATATAATACTCCGGTTCGATCCAATCATTGTCTTCCTTCAAGTACGTCAGGAGAGGGTCATCCGCGGGATTAAAGATCGTCCTCGTCCAAGGTGACAACTCAGTGAAGATATACCTAGCCGAAGCGTGGTCTTTACCACCCTGATCACGTGTACCGTACTGCCCATTAGGCAGTAAGAGGTTAAGGTTATTGGATCCGACGTAGTCCTGCGCGAGGTTCACAATCGTCATTGTAAGAGAAGCCTCTCCATGATGGTAGGCCGCCACTTCCGAAATATAACCAACGAGTTGGGCGACCTATAGAAAAAAGCAAGTCAACGATACTGTAGAACAAGCCATCAACAAAGGCAAACCTTTATTTCTTTCTTTAGTTTACGCTTGAAACAACCCCAGATGACTTTGCGTTGACCCGGTTTGAGACCGTCAGCCATGGAAGGAATAGACCGCACATTGTCAGCCATCGAGAAGAGGATAAGTTCTCTGTTGATGAAATCAGAGAATGGGATTTCATCCATGTTGTGATCCAGATATGTCCCCGGCTGTGTAACTTCAGAGTATGCGCTATTGCGAATACGGTCGAGCTTACTTTAAACTGCCGTAACCATTCTTTGCGTTCGTCCGCCTTCTTCTTACTGAAAGCAAGTTCAATGAGATCTCTATCGCCTTCTTTCGTGGTTGCAAAAGGTATCATGTGCTTCGCCATGTTGCTAAAGTAGTACCGTGCATCTGCATCACTGGAAGTACCGAGACCCTTTGAACATCAAATCACTACGAGCCCGACGAGCATCAGAAACACAGATTTCCTGACCTTGTAATACTTTGAGTCCCATTTGTGTGCATCGGGTGTATTTTCAAGCCATTGTTCATACTCCGGGATTGTAAAGAAGTCGATCCGCTGTTTGCCTTTGCTGACCTACACGCATGTAGCATGGGCATCAAAGTGAAACAAGAGACGGCGATCTCACTTACCCTCACAATTGGCGTCACGAATTCCACCAAGAAGTTGGGAACTTTTAGCAACGACGGGAAGAAATGATCGAGAAAGTTAATCAGGAGGCCCTTAATATGAGAACCATCGTGATCCTACGTGACCAAGCTTCACCAATCAGCACGTGCACTGAATCTAGCGACGAACCTGATCTGTCATGATCATCAGTCGTCCATAGCGCAAGCTGCTGACACTGATATATTCTTTGTTGTGCTGCAATCCCATGATCTTCTTAATATTTTGAATCTCCTCGTTCTTCATGATTTGGTCGTGTTTCGCTTCGCGAACGTTGAGTAATTTTCCGCGTAACGGGAACACGCCGAAGTGATCACGCCCAACTACACCAAGCCCAGCAACGGCTAAGGCTTTGGCAGAGTCTCCCTCGGTCAAAATAAGCGTACAGCGCTCTGCGTACTTTGTGCCCGCGTTGTTCGCGTCGGCCAGCTTGGTCATACCAGTGAGACTATAATATAATCAGAACTAAATGCACTATGTAGCTCAGTACGCGTACCGATTACGCTTCGACCCATCAGTTTTCTTGATTTGCTGGTCAGCTTTAAACTTGGCCCAGTTCAACACTTGATCGACGATGGAAGACTTTTGAACTTAAATAACTATAAGCCACGATGACACGCATATGGACAGGTACAACCGAACCTTTCTTCATGAAATCTTCCGATATTGTGGGTTTCGTTCCGAATTTTGAAGCAGTCAACGTCAGTGTCTCCTTTGTCTGACTGTCAAAGGTGGGATTCTCGATGAGGGCATTCACGAAGATCCACATGTGATTCTTGATCTGGGCGGGCTTGACGGTAGCACCTTTGTTCTTCTTAGTGATAGCGGTAATGAGGTTCTTCGCTATTTGATCTGCCATGAAGTTGACATGGGTGCCACCCTTCGTAGTTGCGATGGAATTGGCAAACGAGACTTGTTGGAACGTCCCATCGGAAACGGCGAAGGCGACTTCCCACCGATCACCTATTTGCTCGTGGATCAAAGATGGTTTCACCAGCGCAGCACCACCGGATGCTGCAGAGGCTTCTGCTGCAGCAGATGAGAGATACAATTCAACGTATTGTTTGAAATTCTTGATCTTCAAGCGCTCGTCGTTGAGGAAAACCTTGACGTTCCTGACCGTGCCCGCCAGGTCGTAAACACGCCGCTTCAGGAGAGACACAGTATCTTCATCGATTCTACTCATGCCAAACCGCTTCAGGTCGGGTTTGAACGTGACCCTAGTGTACTCTTCGCCTTTGCCATTCTTCGTTATCTTCGCATTGCCGCATTTATTCATATTATCGGTCCAAGTTTGCTTGTACTTCAAGCCAGTATTCTTGTCAGCGGTGTCGACGGTGAATTCGAGAGAGTATATGTTTGCTAGCTTTGCACCGTATCCGTTGCGACCACCAGTGAGTTTCTTTTCGTCATCGTCGTAGTTAGAAGATGAAAGAAGGTGACCGAAAATGAGCTGAGGAATGTACATCTTCTCTTTGGAGTGCATTTCGATGGGTATACCACGACCATTGTTGTAGACTGATATCGTTCCTTCCTCTACATCAATGTTCACTTTGATGGTATCCATGGTGGGATCATTGATCTTCATACCGCTAAATTAACGCATAGTATACTCCTGGATAGCAGACGTACCTTGTTGTCGGCAGCATTGACAAGGATTTCGTCAACGATCTTGAAAAAGCCAGGTACGTACTTGACCTCTCGGTGTGTCATACGATTGTTTTCGGAGTCATACGTCCACATTGGCTGTGTGATAGTCTCGACACTACCAATGTAGGAGTCTGGTCGTTTGAGAATATGCTCGAGTTGAGTCAACTGTTTGACAAAGATTCAGCTGAGAGCCTTGACACCACTATCGACAAATAATCAGTTTCGCACCTTTTGATACATTTCCGACGCGGTTTTGTCCTTCCGGCCATTCGTCACTGCGACGGGCCCCGAAACACCGTCATCCGAGGCATCCTCCAGGCCGTCCAACCCGTCGCCGTCAGCGTTTTCATCCTTGGGGGCAAGTACTTTCTTCTTAGGACCCGGCTTTGACTTCGCGGGGGGTTTGGCAGCTTTCGTAGTCGTCTTCGCGGCCTTCTTAGCGGGTGCCTTGGTCTGGGTGCACAAAGTGGCTCGCGCGACACGATCACCCAACAGAAGCAATTTAGACTTACTACTTTCTTTGGTGGAGGCGAGTCGTAGTCGCTCACACTCTCGTTTCCAGAAATGGCGTCGAGGTCAAAATTCTCTTCAGACGAACTCATCGTGGCCGTCGATGGTTGAGCAGTGCACGACTCGGCACGGGATGCCAAAGACGTGTTTTCGTCACGTGACGCTGTCGACGCGACAATCACGTGCAAAGTATGCAGTACACTACACGAAGTACAAGTACGTGGTAACCTCAAGGACGTGCCTTCACATTGCTTACAATAAGACTCTGAGGAACGTTTGGCCATATTAGCAGCCGAATTGACGAGCATATACACACTCACCTTGTAGCTCTGCACATCACCCATGAACTTCGAGACGGTTCCATTGGCACAAACCCATAGCTACAGGGGGCAATAGGCATGAAGAAAATCGGCGGTAAAACCTTGCACTAACCTCCTTCGCCACTGAGGTAATGAATCGCTCATCGTGCGAGATCACAATAACTCCTCCATTCCAGGTATTCAACACAGTCATCAGAGCATCCAAACCCTGTGAGAAAGTTAATCGGACACGACAAACATATAGAAAGCTGGTCCACGCACCTCGATATCGAGATGGTTAGTAGGCTACAAAGAGGTCATCGTGAGTCTGACCCCCATACAAGAACAAAGTCACGGGTCCCCACCTCATCCAGTAGCAAGACATGAGGTTTTTGTAGTGACAAGACAGCAAAGGCTACGCGCGATTTCTGACCACCAGAAAGCGTACCGATGAGCTGCAAACTAACACAACATTTCGGACAAGTGCGGTAACCGAACATCAAAAAACTACACACCCTGTCATTCCACTAATTTGGAAGTTACCCAGGTGGCTCCGATACTCCTGTTCTGTCCTTCCGGGGAACTTGGAAGCCAAAAACTGGACGGGTGACATCGTGGGGTTGAGTGTGTCAACGTGGTGTTGCGAGAAGTATCCTCTACACGGAGACATTTACATACCGGAAAATGGGTAGATGAAGGACCACTTACATTCGTAGTCGGCCATTTCTATTGCAGTCTCCACTAAGAGGCTTCAACTCCGACGTCAGGAGCTTGATGCTAAAAGTAGCGGATGCATGAGTGCGCCAACCTGATGAAGCTATTCAGGACATACAGCGTAGACTTTCCAGCACCGTTAGCTCCGACGATAGCTATTCTTGAATCCAAGCTAACGTCGAAGTTGACGTTCCTCAAAATAGGTTTATCTGGATTATATCCGAAGGTCACTTCAGAAAGCTGAAGCAAGGGTGGAGATATCTTTTCTGTTTCTGGGAATCTAGGGAGCAATGCTTAGACATCCCCGTGGGGCAGGACAACTAAAGGGAACACACTTGAATTTCTCGGTCTCTTCTTCTTCTGGTGGTTCCAGATCAGGCAGCTAGGACTCCTCGTTAGCAAGTATCGCAGGTCTTCGCGAAGGTCTTAATACCTTTTCCAGTATCTTCAACCTCATTTGAGCTTGTGCAGCTGCAATCACAGTGTCAGACACGCGGCTCAGGAACAGATAAAACGAGAAGGACTCGCCTCGGTTGGCGTTGTATCTCCATCTGTCTACGAATGCCTGAAGGTGTTTGCGATATTCCATTTGGTTTTCGTATTCCTTCCGCAGATTGCGGTCTCGCTCCGATTTAGTAGAGTAAAATTGAATAAAGTTTCTGCAGAGAATTTGTTGACAATCCAAAGGAAACGGCTCTTCTCGACATACCCTTTATAATAATCTAGTCTCCCTGAGTGTTGATGGACTATGTCCGTGGCAACCGCATCTCTAAACGACAGTGTGAACCGACGAAGACGCGGAACCGCGATCACCAACTCACAAGAAAGCACGGTCATGAGACCTTAAAGACGTCGTTCAGTTAGATCAGAGATGGAGAAGAGGTGCACGAACACTACGAGTAACGTGCCGGGCCATGTCTGCAAGTAATCCTCCAACCACGCCAACGCATTTAGATCAATGTGATTTGACGGCTCGTCCAGTAGTAGCAGTGCTGGCTAGCAGGAAAAAGTCGGTTTATTACACACTAGCTCTTTGGGTTGAGCGTACCTTCACGAATAGAGCTCGAGCAAGCGCAAGACGCATACTGCGAGGGAATTTCTAGCGATAAATGTTCGTGAAGGCAATAATAACACATACCGCCAACCACCACTGAATGATTTCGTCGGCTTCGACTGGTCTTCTTCACTGAAACCGAGACCTTAAAACAAGGCAGATTAGACGTGAAGCTAGTCAACGTCGTAGGAACGCACCGGCAAGTAGCGCAGCAGCTCGGGAAGGGCCGCTCTCTGCGTCCATGTCACTTAGCCGTGCATGGACTTCTGCCAGTCTCGACGAAGCTTCTTCTTTTTCGTCCTCTACACGCTTGTCATCCCCCTCTTTCTCAAGCTCTGTGAGCTTGGCATTTAGAGCTGCTTCTTCTTTGAGTAGATGATCTCGCCACACGTCCGCTTTGAGAACAGAATCCAAGGCTGTGGTATCATCGCCAACGATCTAGCAGAAACACCTTAACACCGTCACCATCCATCTCACCAGTGATAGACGAACCTCTTGTTCCACGAACAGAATTGTGATGTGTGGTGGAATCGGCACTTCACGCATAGCAATATGTCTGAGGAGAGTAGATTTTCCAACACCTGACAGACTTTTCAGTCAGCCAAATTCGAGTGAGAAAAGCTAGCAAAGCATCCACCGTTGCGCCCAACCAAGCCATAACGGCGACCATAGGCAAGGGTAAGAGTTGCACCGGACCTAACGGAAATTATGAGTTAGTGATCTACATGCATGAGAACATTTTGACGTACAGAATACGATTTGAGCCAAAGTTGACGTCGATGTTCGTGAGATGAATGTCTTTGCTTTTGTTTTTCGCACTCGCAGCAGCCTCAATAGGATTGATCTTCAAACCGTGCCGGTCAGAACACGGACTTCTGAGCAAAAGGGGAGACATTACCTTCATGAACATCTCTTCATAAGATTGCTGCATGGAAGTGAGATACGAAGGAATCGCAAACAATCTGGGAGACCTACCTGTTTGCGGTGCTGGTCAAGGAGTTTAGATCCCTCATAGAGATCCCTCCGCGCACGTTTCTCGATTTTGGCCTGCAGATGGCATGTTAAACGCAGGAAAAGTCCGTTTGAATCCCCAACCACTGCTCACCCTGAGTTTGGCCTCTTGTTTTTCGAGTTTTTTGACATCGACACGGGATGCCCTGTCACAGATGAGACGAGCACCAGTGCAAAGGGCTCTCTGCGCTCACTTTGCCTTGTTGATGCTTTCGAGGTCAACAACCCCTTCCCCGAGAGCGATGGTATTGGATATAGCACCGGCTTTACTCAAGTCCACGACTTTATCCAGCTTCATCAACTTCGGACGAGTGCTGTTCTTGGCCCGTGCTGCAAGTTGTTCAGAGAGGAGCTCTCTGAGTCTAGCCATGAGCTTCTGTACGTCCTTCGGACGGTCTATCCCTAGCGAGTCGAGTATATCATTGGCAACTTGAAGAACATCCTCTTCTGCGCCAGCGTCATCCACGAGATATCCAGAGAGGTACTGGACGATGGGCTCTTCGGTGCCCGGGAACACGGACAAGATTTCCTTTGATATCTCCTGGGTAGACATTCGCAGAATGCCAGGAGTGACGGCTGGTGACAGGTTTAATTCCGGCTTACAGCGGGAGGATCGAAAGCGTTGATTAGTGGAGGTCAGGACTCTTTAGAGTGCACTGCACTACCTAAGTAGCAGCGCCGGGGTGAAATCCGACTCGAGATCAGATGGTATTGAGACTACTTACAGTCCGCTGTGTGCAGGGTAGTAAAACTCTTCCGACGTAGCATGACCATACTTTGGTATCAGTTCCTCAATGTAAGCTAACTGCCCCATAGTACGGCGCCAGTAAACGCATAGTATTGTATACATTTCCTCTGGCCGAGTACCGTCTTCGAAGTGCTTCTTTACTTCGTTACGGCGCACTTGCATCGCTGGATTACACAGACCCGCATTATAAACCCAATTATGTTCCGCTCTCCAACCCACGATGGAGATGAAAGTCCCAGCTCCTCCGTATTTGACCTCCCCGTACAGCCCTCCACTAATTCTACTAAACCCGTTCTTCAAAGGCTGCGGACTATCTCAGACACTGATGTTCACTCCGAATCTCCACCCCAAGTCGTCGTTATATCGGGAGGGTCTGGCGGCAACGCTATCTGCAACGCTTTCGACAATGCGTGTTTCGCCCTCCCTGTCTCTGACGACGGCGGGTCCTCGAGTGAGATAATTCGCGTTCTGGGTGGCCCTTCAATAGGTGCGGGAAGTTGTCGTCTTCGACTCGCATTCGTGTCGGACGGTAACTTCGTAAATCGAAGGTGACATCAGGTCCAGGCTGGTGCGCCTAATACCGTCTGCCCGTCCGTCTTCAGTTCTATCTGCTATTCGGGAAATACTGTCGTATCGACTTCCCGCTAACGTGTCCGAACGGGAGGCTCGTGATGAGTGGAGGGACATTGTCGAAGGACGCAGTCCTCTATGGGCAGGCGTCCCGAACGACCGCAAAGAAACTATACGAGGTTTGCTTCTTCAGTGATTGAAACTCTATTGCATCGCACCCTGACGCTGTTGTGTTTCATGTGGCCAACGCCAGGTTTCCTTGTGCATTTCGAAGGTGAGGTCCTCAAACGAGCACACAAGAATTTCTCATTTCTCAACGGAAGGTATGTAATCGATTCCAGGAGCCCGTTCCGGTGACGAACTTGTGCAGCATTGGAAATTACTTCCTATCTGGTGCACAGATGTTCTTCCGATCTCTGCCTTCGGCTATTTTCCTGTTCTCATCTATCACAAACAGCCAGGTCAGTAATAATCTGTATCACTGCTCACGTCAGGACCCTTGCTCACACGGCCGTGAATGATGTATCGCAAAAGGCAAACATTCTCCCTGTCATAGTCACCAACCACACGGTGACTATCGCCGCAGAGCTTGTGAGTTCAATGCATTCCACTGACCCTTGCTGTGCCTCGCTTAGCCCCTGTTTCCAAAGGAAAACGGCGCAAGGCTTGTGGGACAATGTGAAATATCACATCCGGTAAACCCGTCGCCGTCTTTCGAAGAAGACGATCCGAATGAGCAGCTTTTTTCTCCTCTCGATGGCATGGCGTCACCTGTTCCCCACCGATCAAACGTGATGTATAGCCAAGACAATAAGGAACGCGGTTACGAACCTTTGAAGTCCCGAATATGGAGTTCGACTCTTCAGTTCACTCGTATGACAAGCGTCGTGCTCATGCGGTAAACAGGATTGTATTACATCAATGCCTACGGTCATGAAGTCCATCCCACGCCGAACCCTGAGTACATCAAAAACTTGTCTACTGCCGAAGCTCTCGTGTATTCCTGTGGTTCGTTTTGGACGAGGTAATATATCTCCTCTTGGAGTTCCAGGGCAATGCTGAGCGCGATGCATTTTATGGATGTAGCATCGTCTCGTGCTTAGCGCTCCGTGGCGTTGCTTCTGCGATAGCACGATCTAGGTTCCTGCGTGCCAAAATCTTCCTCCGTAAGTGCATTACGTCGTTGACCAGCATGTGATGTCAATCCGCATAAGTAAATGGGAGAAATGATAGGGAAACGGATGGTTACACCGCCGTTGACTATGTCAGGTGGGATTCCGTTTAATAGAGCACGCCTCTATTTTTGACGTGACGTTGGGTCATACCATAGGGCCATTGTTTCCGTTTTGAATTCACCCTATCAGAAGCCGCCTCACGGCCTGGGAAACGTACAGACGATCTACCCCATATCGGCGTTCATTACTCATCTTGTTTACTTGGAGAACACAAGCATCGCTATTGACAAAGAGGAGTTGACAGTATGAACGCCCTTTTCCTGCTTTTGACGGCTTCTGCTAATGACCAACAGGCACTGGGTGTGCAGTGTGTGGGGGTCAAAGGAGTGAAGGCAGACGGTGCCCAGTACGATGACGATGTTGTCAGGAAAGCCGTCTGTCGTATTTTAGCATAGTGACAGACTTGTGACAGCTATGATAGAGTGTTACTTGGCATTTGGACTTTGACTTCTCCAATTCAGTTGCAATTTTGGCAACAGTATTTGCCGGGAAGATGGGAAGACCCGCTTACGCCCGCCCACCCATCGTCTTTCGAAGTGTGCCTCCAGCCCGTCTGACGGTGACACCGTCCAGTTGGACTGGAGATGACTTGTATATTCAAAAGATCCGCTGCCCCAGCCTCGGGCAGTGATCATACGCTCATGCAAAATGGTTATGAAGGTGAACTTTGACTGCGTAAAAGATCCGGCCCATCTTGATCTCATACTCACCTCGATGATAGCGAAACCCATACCAGATGATACACTTTCAGTGAATACCCGTGTCTCTGACCTCCCCACCGACAGTAGACGTTCAAGTGTGGTGCTGGACTCGGAAGACGAGGACCGTCGCGAGAGAATAGGAAATATGGCCCAACGCCCTTGGCAAGCGGCGGGTGCTATCGATGTCCAGCAAAACAATGTGTCATATGTGAGTGGTGGGATTCATTTCATCGTGACATTTCCTCTTCCTCGCAGCTCATCCAATGTGTGCATATACCCCTATCTTATGGGCGTGGATGGGTGTTCAGCACGACCCGGAACCCCAAATTTCCCCGGGCAGGCCTTCTCCACGAGTCCGATTCAGATCTCGCGTGCGGATTACAGCTGGGGTCCGTCGTCACAGACGTCTATCTGACGGGCTCTCCTCCAGCGCATCCTCCATTTCGGGATCACCCTCATCGTCCATCTCGGCACCTCTGCGCACGCATGATGACAACTCTGGGGGCAGCAAGGGGTGGGGCCCGCTGGGGCGCAGAGTCAACTTACTGGCATCACAAGTTACACAGGAACGGCGGAGCCGAGCCGGCGTAAAGGTCAACGGAAGTGGCAAGCCTCGGAAGATGTACTCGACGTCTCTTGCGGACTCTGTTGACGAACGCTCCCACCTCGTGTCTTTCTACACCGGATACTTATATACCACAACTGTCGGCCGTGGTGGCATGTGCCACCTAGATCAAAATGTGGAGTGTGAACAACTGCGGAGAGGACAAACCACCGGTGCTTCCTTTGGCGAATGGCCATGGAGGCTGCTAAATCGACACGTGCGTATTCGTTTGATCCTTCCGTGAATCATTCATCGTCATTATATCTCTTCAGTGGTGGTGGTGGCAGTTGGAGCCTATCGTCTGTTGTTTCTACCTCTGCGACGATACAGAGGACGAGTGATTTATGAAACGTCGAGCTCCATTACCATGTATATCGTCACCTGCGTTGCTGCTTTCCACTATGCTGTATTGTATACATGCTGTTATATTGCTAGTACACGAATGCGTACACGATCTATGTTAACGCCTCAGTGGGTCTTGTTGAAAGATACACTATCTTTAGATACGTAGGGTATTTACTGAGGGACCTCCTTTCCCTTCGAGGGCATCACCATGGTAGGAGGGAGGGTTGTAATGGGCGGAAGGAGACTTGCCGCGGTCTTACGCGCGTTCTGTATGAGGAGCTGGTCCATGACCACGATGGCTGCCATCGCTTCCACAATAGGCACGGCACGAGGGACGACACAGGGATCATGACGGCCTCTTGCCGCGAGCGTTCCAGGCGTACCATCGTACTGGGCCGTGTACTGGGGTTGCGATATCGTGGCAGGCGACTTGAAGCCGATTCTGGGAACACCCGCGGGCAATAAGCGACATTGCTCAACTAAATAGATGAAGGAGCGACCCTACCGGAAGAAAATGTCTTCTCCGTTGGTAATGCCTCCTTGGATACCGCCGCTCCAATTAGTCGAGGTACCGAGTTTACCATCCTTGAGCACGAAGGGATCGTTGTGCTTACTTCCAGGAACTTCGGTGCCTTTGAAGCCCGATCCGACCTCAAATGCCTTGGTTGCGGGGATAGAGAGCATCGCGTGTGCCAGTTTAGCCTCAAATTTGTCGAAGACGGGCTCTCCCAGACCCGCAGGGACGTTTCTGATCACACAAGTGACGGTACCGCCGATGGAATCACTTGCTTCTTTTGCGCGGATGATGCGCTGCGTTATTGGACAGCGTGTCAGCGGTGAGCCAAATCGAGCACGCGATATCTACCTTGGTCATGAGTTCTGCCGTTTCAAGGTGTGGACACCGCGTAGGGTGTTTGTCCACCTCCTCTCGTGTGATAGTGGCCAAAAGGTGGCGGAATTCTGGTGTGAGAGCGTCTTCTGCCTCGTCGCTGTCCTGATTGCCGTTCGGTGCGGTAGAGGGCGTGGCCACATGAGCTGGGAGATGAATCTTGCCGACTGATGATACGAATGCGACGATCTCGATGCCATAAACTTGTTTGAGGTACCTTTCGGCAATGGCACCAGCAGCAACTCGGCCTGTTTGAGGTCAGCGTTACGGAAACATGTGGATATTAAATGACATCTACCAATCGTCTCTCGCGCGCTGCTCCGGCCACCACCACTGCTAGCTTTGATGCCATACTTTGTGAGGTAGGTGTAATCGGCGTGGCTGGGCCGGGGGTACAGATCTGTCTCGGAATAGTCTTTCGGCCGTTGATCTTCGTTCTTGACAAGGAGACCGATGGGTGTTCCGAGAGTAACTCCTTGCTCGATTCCAGATTGGATGTAGACCAAATCTTTCTCATCCCGCTGTGGGTATATGTGAGTGAGTATGAGTACCGGAGCCGACAACCGGAGTAGAAACTCACCGGAGTGGTCAGATTACTCTGTCCTGGCCGTCTCCTGCTGAGCTGCACTTGGACATCAGCAGCGGACAGTTCAAGGCCCTACAGTCGTTTTTTTTTTTTTTTTTTTTTTTTTTTTTTTTTCGTAAGTCCGAGTGGGTGGCAGACACCATATGACTCCTACCGGAGGGCAACCGTCGATGATAGCACCGACGGAAGCACAGTGGCTTTCGCCGTAGGTAGTTACGCGAAACAGAGAGCCAAAGGTGGACATTTTGCAAGCCGATCTTGGAGGTGGGAGGAAGTGAGGTTCAGATGGGTGGTGAGGTCTGTCTTATATGACACGGTTCGGGGACGAGGCGGTACTTGATGAGCCGAACTAAGGACGACTCTGAGGCTAGCAATGACAAGGCTCGCTGTTTAGGTGGCTGCACGACTGAGCAGGCCGGCCACAGCGTTGTCCCGAGTTTATTATCGCTGAGGCGCTGTGGGAAAGCCAACAACTTGTTATCTCTGCACTCTTGAGTACACAACGCGTCTGCACCATCTACCCAAGCCATGTCAGCCAACGGTGCCGCCTCTAACGGTGCAACAGGTTCAGGCTCGCGATCTCGCCCACAAGCAAGAAGGAAGCCAAACGACGATGCAGCGTACACTGGCCCGTCCTCCACAGGCGCTAAGAGGCATGCAACAGACAGAGCAGAGGGAGAACCGCGCGTGAAAAGGAAACGCTTAGACCCGGCCTCAGCAGCTGCGAGGCGGGCAGAGAAAGCGGAAGCGGACGAGGAGGACGAGAAATCGATTGTGAGCCGTCATCTCTCTACTGTTACACCCGACATGAATGATTCGGTCTTCGCAGGTCGACTTCAATAAACTGCCCACCGCGACCTTGCATCGATACCTCTCTCATTTTAACCTCACTCCGTTCATATATCCATCACAGTTGACGTCAACTCCCCCACCCGCACCATCCATCTTGCTGGACCCGACGCGCCAGACTTCGCGTGGCTTGAGTCCCCTAGCCATCACCACCTCTGCAAGCCGACCGAGGAGAGACCCAAAGAATCAGAGCCGACGGCGCAGTTCGCGTCTGCTTGAAGAAAGCGAGCCTCGCGTACCGATTCTCGCAGACGTTGCAGATGTCCACTCTGTCCTCGCCACTCTGGTAGATAAGCACTTTCAGGAGTACGTTGCGAACGAGATCGATACCCTTGCCTCCTTCATGGTCAAAACCAAGAAATGTGATAATAATCTGTACGTCTCTCATGTATAGCACATCGCTTGCCGCTTGTCGTCAAAACGTGTATTGTGCAATTCACGAACTAGTTCATTCATAGATATTATCTTGTCTCACAGTAACTGCCACTTGACCACAGAATTATATAAGCCATAATACACTCTCAGCGTGGTTGTGATGGCGGTGACGACTGATCGAAGTTTACGGAATTTCGCAATGTCTCAGTTCCATGACATGGTCGTGAATCGACGCAACAGTTGTGAGCTCGGTGGTGTCGGTCGCAACAGATTGTCGCCGTACCTAACTTTTTTTTTTTTTCCAACTGAGACAGTTTTTTCCCCGCCTACTGACGGTCTACGCCATGCTAATTAAAGAGCGATGGCCACACCCAAATCCCGTCTCCTTCCCCTTCTTCGCTCGTTTGGCAGCTACAGGGCTGGCCTACCCTGTGAGTAATCGTCCCCAGCTTTGATGTGCTCCCGACGTATTGACGAGTCTAGTCCTCCTTCGTGTGCTTCCAGCTTCTTTCACGCCTCTGATTTTATTTTCTATTATTTAAAATGAGGTTGTTGATTTCGACCGTTTCGATCCTTGCTACTTCTTCCGCGCTGGTCGTGGCTTCTGCTGTTCTTGGCCAACCCATTCTAGTCCGAGATGAGGGTGGTGGCAAGGGTTCCTCCACTCAAACTGGTACGCCGTCAGTGTTTATTGTGGCAGCGGTTGCTTACCTCTCTTTCAATCCGGGAAGCTTCGGCAGCCGCTGCTTCGGCCACCTCTGCATCGAACGCCACAGGAAGTAATGGCGGTGGAAATGACGCCCAGACGTCGCTAAGTGCGTTGAATATCTTTCTCTACCTTGCCGCTGTTGAAAATTTAGGCCCTTTATCAAGCTCTCGACCCGGCTGTCATTGCAAGGGGCTTCGAGACCAATGGTCTTGGCCAGAATGGTAGTGAAGCTGGAGAAGTCGCCTCGTTGACATCTTCAAACAATTTCATCAACTTCTGCTTGACGGTGCCCAACCTACCGATTACAAACGGGCAGCAGATTGCGGGTGGATCCTGCAATCCTGCACCGATGGGTGTGATCCCCTCGTCGTCCAACATGCCCTCGGCCAAATTTGTCAACCCTGCTAATCTCGATACGATTCCGCCTAACCAAGATTTCACGGTACAACTTGCGATCCAGAACATGCAAACCGGTTTCTTTGTCAACGCAGACGCGAATTACTTCGCAGCACCGCAACAGACGAATGCGCAGGGCCAGATTCAAGGACATTCGCATGTCGTCATCGAGCAGCTGGACTCGCTCTCGCAGACGACGCCCCTCGATCCAACCAAGTTTGCGTTCTTTAAGGGACTGAATGATGCCGCCCAGAACGGTGTATTGAGTACGACTGTCCAAGGCGGTTTACCGGAAGGCGTGTACAAGCTGTCCTCGATCAATACTGCGTCGAACCACCAGCCACTTTTGGTGCCCATTGCTCAGCACGGATCCCTCGATGATGCTGTATATGTAAGTTGTGACATTGTTGTCTTTCGTCTGTTCGTGGGTATCTATGCTGGTATCAAGTTCACAGTGAGCAACAACGCGGGCAATGGTAATGGGACCGGCAATGCCAACGGTAATGGTAATGGCAATGGTACCGCCAACGCCAACGGTAATGGCAATGGCAATGGGAACGGGAACGGAAACGAGAGTGGCAATGGGAACGGGAACGGGAATGGCAATGGGAATGGAGGAAATGGAGGGAACGGAGGGAATGGTAAAGGCCAGCGTCGCACGTTCCGTTCTGGAATGGGGATAGGCTTCCATTAAGTTATTTATGGGGGGAATTACACGTGGGCTTGTCCTGGAGATGAATGCCCTTGTAGCTATAGCTCTGCATGTAGCATAGATGTAGCCTTATGAACGACGGAGATTCCTTTGTTGCATATACAGTAGAGATATGGCGAACTACCAAGAGCATCGATTTTTTTGCCTGGACCTCGCGACAAACGTTTCCGGGGTTTGTAAAGGGGTGGAAAAAAAGTAGATACTGTTGGCGACGGATGCTGAATTCAGTCCAATACAAGGATAAAATAAATGTGAGAGAGCGGGAAGACAATAGTAAGAAATGCTCGCCAATTCCGCACAGCTGTGTACAGTGTTAGTGAGTGCTGTATCTGGCACTCGTAACCTGAGCGGAGTAGGTCTCGAGCGGCAGATACTGGACTCGAACCCCGGACCCCGTCGCATGCTTGGCTAGCGGCTCAGGTGAAAACGGTACTAAGAGACGCTAATAATCCTGCAAAACCATGTGCATGATGCTCGTTTCCGGGGTACATAGTGGGGGGAGAAGTGCAAATTGTTGGTGAAGGATGCTGGATTCGGTTTGGAGTCTTACCACCTACACAGGGGTAAAATAAATGTGAGGGAGCAGGGAGGGCAGCGTACCTGTACTACGAGATGCAAGCAATCCATGTGCAGTGCTAGTGAGTGCTGTACCCGGAGCTCATAACCTGAGTTCAATAGGTTATGAGCCCCGGATACTGGGCCCACTGCCAGCCGGGACCAGGACTCGAACCCGGGACCCCGTCGCACGCGCGGCTATCATTATTCGCGCTACCGGTCATCCAGAAGGATGCGGATTTGTTTCGAAAGTAAGCAAACCCTTGTCTTTCCGCCTACGCGTGCGGCACAGGGGGAAACGGTACTATGAGATACGGGCAATTCTGTGGAGCCGTGTACAATGGAGCCCCGGATGCTGGACCCACCGTAGTGCCAGCTGAGACTATTGATAAGCGAGCCTAGGACCACCACACGGCTGCCGGTCATCCATGAACACTCCTGTGTGCTTGGGCCCCCACCGCCTTGGTCACCAAGTTGAGTCCTGCTGGTTTGCCTGTCACGGTTTTCAGCCACTTGGAAGGATATGGATCGTTGTAGCCTATTGCCATTCACGCGTTGAGTTTGAGATTTAAACTTTCAGAGAACCTGTTTCAAAACATAACCGCGAAACCCGAATGTTTGACTAGTCGGACACACTCGGTGACCGAGATCGTGACGTAGAGATTCTATTTCCGAAGAGCAAAGGAAACGACTATTAATGAGAATAAGACAGGGGAAGCACACACAGGGGTGAGAACAAGTGTTGAGGATGACAAGGATGAGAAGATGACAGACCGATTCAAGAATGAAGGCACGACCTTGTCGCGGGTCAGCCCCTAAGCTTACATTTTGTTGAAAGGGACATTTGATTTTGTTTCACTCCCACCGTCGAATCATGCCCTGGGTCCTGGAATGATTTTTCCGAGCTAAGGAGCCACCCATGGGACTAAAAGGTTTTCAGATCGTCTGTTACACCAAAGCGCGCTGCAAAGCATAATGTAGGCTTGTAAAAGTGTCAAGCATACCTCGGGTTGTGTGCTGAGTGTGCCGGACTGGAACTATCAATGTGACTCGACAGAAGAGCGAGTTCAATCAACAGAGTGAGGAATACCTAGCAAGTGCAATTGTGAACTTCGTGACTGGTCGTTAGGTATCGTGATCGCACGATCGAAAGCACAGCCGCGTACGGCAAGCCTACACTTGGATGCGATGGAATTTGTCAACGCAAGTGAAATTTGAAAACGCGAACTCTCTCTTTTCATTCCGATTCAACGTGCGAGATATGGTATTTGAAACCAAGAGACCACGATGAAGCAGTGCACAACTATTTCCAGACCATCGATCGCGATGCGGCGTGCGGGCCTCCAGGGGGAACCCGAACTCTCAGTGCACTCCATTGATTCGTGATCGCCACGACATGTATGCGGCAATTGGTGCCCCTCCAATCGTAAAAATCCGGACTGCGGCAGGTTGCATCGCCAGTGAATTGCCAATATCCCTGGAAGTCGGGCTCAAGGCTGATAAGGAGTTACCGTTTTAGTGCATTTCAGACAGTAGAAGTGAGGCAAGCTGTCGTCACATAGCAGCTGAGTCCAGTAATCGAGATTACAAGTGATTCGGACACGGCAGCAGTACTAGTGATATGTGATTCGAGAAAAGGAAACCCGTACGAGCCATAATTACCTATGTCAAATTTGATACTGTCAGTGTGCTTGAGGCAATGGCTGGGCGAGGAACATTAGATTATCATCCAAGCCCAATGATTCGGTCATTCTGAGGTATGATCAGTGCCAGAAACATAAGATGCGGTAGAACTAATCGAGTAGTCACTGAATGCCAATCGGTACTTGCCGTTGGATCTGGTTCTGAGCGACCAGACCCACGGCGTCAATTGGTAGCTTTTGAAAGGACAATGCCCTACTTTGAGTCGGACTTCGTTGCGGAACGTCGCGGGAAGTGAAACTCGTCAACATCTCCGACGCTGTGAACGCCGGGCGTAAACTAGGTTTGTGATCACTTCAACCTCACAGATGCGGATAGCGCTTGATCCATATTCCTCGATTTTCGATTGGACCTGCTCTTTGCCGTATCCATGTGTCTTATTGGACAGGGAGAGTCGCACTAGTTCGGGTTGGGCTTCTTTCGCAATAGAAGCTTAGACTTGGACAGGTGCGTTAGTTCTTCATCAAATCAATGACGCCCAACTCATCGTCATGACCACAAGGTTGTCGTTCGCATTCGATCCAATTCTGACGTAGACCGCCTTGTATGGAAGCTCTGATGAGTCCTCGCCACGTGTCAGGTAGGTACTCGTGGACGGTTCTTACTAAACCAATCTCAGGTGTGGCCTATAGATGCTGTATTGAGTAGGGTGCTGGAGCGGTGCTCGCTACAGGAAGACCATGTCACCGATCACCATCCGTCTATCCATGCTGCTACCCGCTGCTCACCATACCAGAAGATCCATCTACATACCGCGCTTCTGCGCATTGGTCCGAGATGCCCTCCTCCTCTCAAATGCGATGCAGTTCCGTGTGTATCTTATCGTGAATTCTCACCATACAGCAGGGCGTTGGTCGCGAAAACTGCTCATTTCCATAATCGGAGATCTGCTGCCACCACAGCACTCCGTCATCACCATCCACGCGAGAGCATTAATTGTTGCCGGAGTAATCGAGAGATAGCCCGCCGCGCCTCCCATCATAGTGCGCTCGACTTCTGCCGGCATATATATAAACAAACGGTAGCACAGAACCAATGCTGGTGCAGCAGAGCTCTTTAGACAATGTCCTGAATAGAACGGTTTGAAGGAATCCAGGAAGAATTGCGCAGTATTGAGTTGGTAGGGTTCGTGTTCATCACCACCATGTGCTGTCGCCTCATTCATGAGTCCATACACGCAGCATGGAAAATTTCTTATGAGGTGAAGAGGAAGAGGAATCCTTTACTGCATCCCGCAAGGGCTGAACTCTAATGACACGCAGCTTCCAGGCTCCCTTCAAAAAAACCCTTCACCTCAATTCCACCCAACCCAATTACATGTCAACCGTCCGCACCTTCCATTAGACTGTGTGTACATATTCTCCACAGATCCGTGTAACTGATTCCTTCCAGTCCATTTGAGATTGGATCCTCTAGTGCCAGCATGGAGATAGTTTTTCAGAGGCGTCCCTAATGAAAGCAGCTTCCAGAATCTTTGCTAGCAGATCGGCTGGCAAAGCTCCACTTGTGCCGGTGGTCCCTGGAACGCAGTTAATTGCAGGCGTCTATGTCTCATGCAAGGTGGTGGAGACAGGGTATGAAGTGGTGCGCATCGCGTATGCAATCGTAAGCTCACAGAAGCCTGGCGCTTCATACACGAACCATTACTACTTCGATGGCGCTTTCAACTATGCAAACGTTACTTTGGGCCCCACCAAGGTTATGGCACGTCCGCCCTACCGAAAGCCACCAGTGTTTAGGTAACCGAGGAACTCAACGCCACATTCGCCAGCCTGCCACACCGCCGTTGATAACGTTGGTCACGTGTGCTATTGCAGTCAGAGCAATAGCAGCATGCCAACTGCACCGACGCCGCCGGACACAGGTCAAATTGTCCCTGCCTGCTTGATCTATGACTTGTATAGCAACGTTTAGGGTTTATTTTCGTTGTATCGTCTGATACAGTGACTTTGGATGTTATTGTACTCATTACCCGGAAGAGTAATTTTCCCCTAAGTGATATGTACTAAAGCGAACACTGTTGCTAGATGGGCCGCGGTCCAGGGGTAACCGTCGATTAGTCGATCCTATCATATCCTGCTTGACGACGCACAAAGGGCTGGATACTTATTTCAAATACGGTGAAGCGTAGCGGAACCAACGGGATGCCCACCGTTATTCTATAAGTAGATAAAGGTTGGGTTACCCGTGTTGTGGCGACTGGCCGCCAGCGAGGAGTGGCGATGGGAATTGATCCATTGTCTGCAGGCTCAAACCGAGGAGGGTGCTGTACCCGTGCCTCGCACAAACCAGCATACCCGAGAAATGAACAGGTACGCGAGCGGAACAGGGCTTACCTTGAACTTGATTAGGAGCAGGGAGATATTACAGCACTTGAGGTCAGGGGTGCAAGGGATTCATATGAACCGACCAAGCCACCCGACGGATGGCCTCATCTGACGCGTGCATCGTGCTTTCATAGCTCTGCCAGAATAAGGTTATGGTCAACAAAGTACTCAACATCTTTTGTATTCGAGAGATCGGATCAAATTTCGCCACAGGGTACAAGTTCTTATCCAAAGGAGGATCTGGCTGTAGGTTTATCAACTGTCAACGTAAATTAATGGCGGTGGAAGCCATGATGCAATGGAGGGCGTAGCAACAGCCGCATCGGTTTATAGGCGAGGGATCGCATTCATAGCGGGGCTTCCATGTCCATCAAATGGATCTATGGATGGCAAATTTACGGATGAGATTCATCTCATAGATGAATGAAATCTTCAGCGCTGAATAGATAAATCATCACCGAAACAGAAGCATAATGAACCTCTTCCACCGCCACGCTGCGCGTGTACATAGGATTCTCAGCGAAGCGATCAGCTGGATCGCGAAGTGCTGCGGCATGGAGTATATAATGATGCTGAGCGCAGGCTCAGCAGTCTGAACGTAGCACGGAACCGAGGCAACGAAGCGAGCTGCGGAAAACGAAGTCTTCGAATGATCGAGTATCCAGGTGTGTGCTGGAGGGCATGACTCGTGTGTACATGAGCCTGCGGTGGCAACGCGTGGGGAGCAAGATTGCGTAACCAGAGGGTAAGCTTCTCTGCCGACACTTAAAACGAGGTATCCAACCCTCATTTACAGGTGAAGAGTAGTGAAAGACCGTCCTTCCGCAGTTTGAGTGGGTGAGAAAAGATAGCCACCTTCTCTCTAGAAAAACAACATTTTGTGACGAATCTAAGTACCACGCAGTCGGACCAGTCACGTGTCAATGAAGGTCAGTGTTGGAAACGCATTAATTAGGAAGAAAAGATGATATGCCGGTTCAGGGAGCAAAAACTCAACAGCCGAGTTAGGGGTTTCAGGTCCTGGGTGACGCATATCAGCCGTATCAGGCAACAGAGCCGTCCGTGTTAGAACTCGGTCGCTTTTCTAGAATCCCATCCACGATTCCAAACTCTACGGATTCTTGTGCTGTAAGAGGGAACTTCAGTGCTTTCGTATTGACATCATAAGGCCAACTCCGACCTGTCATGAAGTAATCACGCTCAAGGGCTTTCTCTGGAAATAGAATGGTGTATAGTGAGTCAATACAATATCAAGACGTCAACATAAGTGGCCATACCAAATCGTGCTAACCCTGCAACCTCGGCTTCTCCTTCTTTGGCGCAATGTCTTTGATAGATGCCGGTCAGAAGCCGGCGCACGCGGAGAATCTCCTTTGCATGAATGGCAATATCGGATGCTTGTCCGGATGCCCCACCAGAGGGCTCTGTAGTAAAAAAAACAAATTGGTCGGAGTCGGTGGGCATCAGTGGCGACCAATACATACGATGGATCATGATACTAGAATTGGGAAGACAATGACGCTTGCCCTTTTCACCTGCAAGGATACGTACTCCACGTTATGGTAAGTCACAGAGGGTGACATACCTGCCGCTAATAACAAGGACCCCATCGAACACGCTTGCCCAACACAATACGTGTGTATGGGTGACGAAACGTACTGGCCACCGGTGAAAGAAAGACGTCATCTCGCCGAATGAACCCCTTCGCAGAACAACCAACCTGCATCTGCAAACCGTCAGCTCAAGCCTTAACTGACCAAAGGTGGGTTGGGTTCTCACAGTGTCATATATGGCCAGCCCTGCAGTTACACTACCTCCCGGCGAGTTAATGTACAAGTGAATCGGCTTTGACGTCTCTTCTGCTTCGAGAAAAAGAAGCTGAGCAACGGTCAATGCTGCATCTGTATCTTTAATCTGTCAGGTGCGAATTCAGACAGGCCAAGAATGAAGAGGCGTAGTTCCGCCCGCCTATTGTGAAAAGACTCACAGGTCCATAAAGCATGATAACACGCTCGCGTAGAAGTCGTGAGAAGATATCATACGAGCGTTCTCCGCGACCCTGGCAATATAAGGATGAGTGACGCGTAGCAGGAGTAGAAGTCATCCCCACCGTCTGCTCGATGACAATGGGCACGAGGTTGGAGTTTGGGGCTGTCCAGGTGGACATCAGGGGATGGTAACGGCGACTTGATAGCCTGGCCAATGGCGATGCACTATGTATCACCGTCTTCCACGCGCGGTTCAGCATGTTGTATATGAGTAACTAACTGTATTGGTAGTCTGAAGGACTACATATGTGCTGCTTTCTGAGCACGTGACCAACCGCAGACCATGGCACGAGCGCGTCGGACTCGTAAGACATTTGACCGCTACACATCGTGTCACTCGCTGGCCACAGTGAGTGTCCCTTTCGTACACTTTGTGAACTGTTGTGCATATTACATTCCAGGGCTCTGCACAGAAGAGCGCATGAAAGACATGACGAACGCTCGTTCCAGGTCAACCGAGGCTCCCATGGACTTTCAGTTTACGTCTCGGCCTAGCAGTGGCTCGACGCCAGCCTGGGCCGTGCCTACCAATGGCGACCCAAGCACCCCGCGAAAACGTACGTGCTCTATTAGCGATTGTGTTTCAACCTGGGAGAATTCATCCATCGAAGGTCCTTTTCAAGATCTGGGCTCTGCGTCACCCGCATTCCCTGGATCACCTCTCACGCCAATGTTTGGCGAGAATCGAAATGTGCCATTCATCTTCGAAAGCCGTCCACCTCAGACGAATCCATCACCGCCATGGGCCCCACCACCAAATTTCTCGCCTCAAAAAGTATTCTCTCAGCCACAACCTGCTCAGGAGCTTCGTGATGTCGACATGTCGGAGTTGAGCCCTCCGAAGCCTGATGAAAGCGAGAAGGAAAATGGACGAGCGGTCGCCACCGGTGCTATGAGAAGGGTGTTCAATTCGAGGCGTAAGGCGCGTGCCAAGATGCGTGATCATGCAGATGGCTCGAACGATGAAGACAGTGAAGACGACCGGGATAATGCTAGATCCCTGACCCGAACTACGTCAACTCACTATACCCTCAACATGCCTTCAGCCTCGGCTTCTCCATCGGATACACCGTATGTCCTGCTTGGGTGAGGATGGGCTGCCATTCCAGGCTTTTGCTGTTCTTGTATCTGATGGTGGCTCTCTAGCTATTTGCAGTTTTTCTTCAATCTCTCGCTGGTGCTGGTGTTCCTGTACCTGCTGGTGCAATTCATTCTTACGGTCCAGCGTGATGTAGAACACCGCATTTCGGAATATTCCATGGGTATGCAACTCCGCGCTGAACAGTCATCAGCCCTGCGTGCTCATAGGAGGCTCGCTCCACAGATATCGTTCAGGAGATTGGCGTTTGCGCTGCTCAATACAGAAATAATTTCTGCGGAACGAACCAGATCCCTGCCATGGCACAGCAATGCGCTGCCTGGGAAACCTGTATGAACCGTGATCCGACGACGGTGGGTCGCGCTCGCATCGGCGCTGAACTAATTGCCGAAGTCGTAAATGGTTTCGTTGAACCTATCAGTTGGAAAACTCTAGTAAGCGTCTCATATGGACCTTTTGTGATAACTATTCTTATCCTTCATGAAACCATTCCACAGGCTTTTACATTAACGTCCTTATCCTTCCTAACGTTGTTCGTTAACTCTCTATTGTCCCTTTACCGGTCACGTCATAACCCAACTTCGCCCCCACCGCCTGCATCCTTGGCCGTCCCACCTGGTTTTCGTCATGCTTATCTCCCTTTGGGTAACGCTCATTTCGCGGGATCTCAGAAGACCAAAGATGACGAATCGTCAGAAGATGCACCTCGCAGAAGGCGGCTGGAAGGCGGGCAGGCCGTTAAAGTGAAGTGACTGATATAAATTCCGATCAAAATCGACAACGTACTCTAGTACTTACATACAACAATGTCATGCCAGGAACTACAGCACCATACCGTACTCATAGGTTTCTTTGCATTCTTCTAACCGTCGGATGAATTACTTGCGGTAATCCATCATTTTCCCGGCATTCAGTATGCACATTGATAAGCGGGTTAAATATATACCCCTTTCTCTCTTCCGCCCTCCCTCCGTTTGCTAGAGCAACAGACCGTATAATTAATACAGAAACAACGTTGGTCAGCCAACGAGGACAGGCGTTAGCCTTGTTTTAGCATAGTGATGACGTATCTGAGTTCATGTAACGCAAAATCGTCACCATGCCTATAGTCGTATTTTCGACACCCCCGTGCAACGCGGTGTGAGATGCATTTTGGGTTAGCAGTAGAGTGGGGTGTGATAGGGGCGTGCATCATCCGCCCTATAAATCCATTACTCAGATCGTAATGGGATCCAATCTGCCGCAACTTGCCACTGGTCGGATCCACTCAGGACTTGTCAAATTTGCGCCACATTTGTTATTGCGAGAGGGTGGGCAAGTTTACCCTAAAACCTCCTTTTACACTATTCTCTTGCAAGAACAGGTGCTGTCGACTTCTCTAGTTTATGATCTCCACGGTACCACTATCGGAAGCCTCGAAATGCCGAGGCAACCTGATCAGGACATGCAGATACCGCCTAAACGATGACCTGGCAGGTATAAAAGACATTTGATCAGTGCGGTGGTACCCCAGTGATCCTGTCACGGAACATGGAGGGAAGCCGTAGCATTAATTGTATCGCCCACTGCCTATTTGATATTTCCAGTTGGAAACGAACGCTTGGTGGGGACCTCGGATCACCGGTGCGACACGCAGCCATCCAAGGAAGAGAAGGTATCGTCACGTAATGAATCACTTGCACCCAGATGTGCGCAGCCCACGTTTGAGTGTACTGCTATTAACCCCGTAGCCTTTGTTCGTAACCTACCTTCCTACTAGGGGAGAGCGGAGAAGGATCCAAAATTAATCGCCGCTGGCCGGTAACAGCCACCAGAGCAACTGATCACCGGAGTGGGTTTCCGGCCCACAACTTTGGGGCCACGCCAGAAGCTCCAGGCGTTACGTCGTTCTGGTTGAAGGCAATACTGATCTTCCACGATTGGAATAGAGTAAGTACTTACGTGGACCCTTGGACCGTCGTTGCCCGTGGCGGAGGCACCGAACTTGACCTTAAGTTGATTGTGGCGTACCTTGCCCACACACGTAGTCTCTGATAGTATATATATGATAGGGTCATTTCCAGGTCTTGCCTTGCTGACCCTGGTGTGGCAACTCACATTGCGTGCTGTGTCATGAGTTGCCGATACGTATTGCGTACAAGTGATCATCCAGCACACGTCATCGCATGCACCGTACTAGTCAGGTTCGTGCATGAGAGGGTCCGTCTTACGGCAACGGCATCGGTGCGGTACTCCCCGTGACCCACGCCGTTGCTAAAATGGCACGGAGATGGGGAGGTGTAAGGTGCTATTGTAGCCAGTTCAAATCAAAGATGTCGGCATTCTACCCTTTGAGTTTCGGCCGGACTCATTTCTAGAATGGGCTTTGGATTGGCTGGTCTCCCCTTGGGTCTAGCCTCTCGCTTCTGGGGACGCCAACGCAACGGTAGTAGCGCACCACCCCGATTAATTATCACTGATGCCGCGATCGAGCGGTGCATGGATCGGAGCATGATTGAGTCCATGGTAATAAGCACCAACGACAAGCATGTGGTTGACAGTGATTTGGGAGTATCATTTTCATCGCCAGGCTGTCGTTCCTGATGTGACATTGACAGCTAACCCAGGGGGAGCTTGTCAGACTTCCACCGAGTTTATTTTGAAGGCTGAGCCTGGCTGACTGACAGATCAGAAAATGAAGGAGGGTCGGCAACTTACGGACGTGTATCTCTAACTGTCGCGCAGAGAGTGCTCCCCCTGCCTGCCAGTCAATTATTGACTGTCATTGCTGTGAACGTGCTGTCCATGCATGTCTTTTGTCGTAATCAATGAGGATCAGTGCCACTGGATAGGTGCCAATTAGCCTCTTGAGGGGTTGATGTCCACGCGTTCAACAAGATGGATGTTGATAAGTTTCACAATCACGTGTTGCAGCCCTTGGGACGCAAGGCACGGCACAATTGCGGAGAAAACAGTATGACGAGTACCCTCGATACGTATACGTTGGAGCATAGCACAGCTGACTCTGCGGTTGCCGAGCGGATATGTGCGTGCGACTCTACAGGATTCTGCCTTGCCGTGTACTATGGGCGTCGGGGGATATTCGGGGATATACTCTTATTCCTCGCCGGGGTTGGGATTGACCAGATGTCTGGACAGGGTCCAATCTACATAGGGCCATGCTTGGCGCACGCCCAAGGGTCGTCCGCGGCAAAAAAATACGCTAACTGGTATGCCAAATAACCGTATCAAATGGATTATGAGATTGAAGTGATTGTTTAATTAATGACGTTTACTCCAGGTAACCCTGAGAACGTAGGCGGCGTGCATATGTACCAGGGCATGCACTCCGTCAGACATAAAAAGTATACCCGACATCACCGCATGTGACTCCAAGAAGTGAACGTTTGCTGCGAACCAGCGATAGCAGAATTCAGTTGCCAACCTCTCACGCAATCAGGGACTGCGCACCACTGCGACTGCGGAGCAACAGGGACTAAAGCAAGGTCGAATTAGGGTCAGAGGGAAAACGATCAACACTCCCAAGGACGCAGCCCGCCCGCATTTAGTTCTTTGACAATTGGGCATCAAGCCACATCTCCTACCGCAATCTATACCCGCATTTGAATTTGAGCAGACTCATCTCTTCCTTGGCCCCATCGGCGCCGAACTCGTCCCCGCGTTTTCACTGCAGTTCAACCTCGGGTGTTGTCGCCATTGCATATCAGGGTTCCGTTAGATCGGAAGGAAGAACACATGGGTGGGAGCCATGTGCCAAGTTAGGGATGGAGTAAAGCAGAACAGCACGGTTATACTTAGGTGTCTGTAAACGGAAGTTATTCCGCAGATTTGGCGTTTCCAGCCCGCGGCGACACTGGTCATACACTCTAGTGGCTTCCACGGTCTATCTCGTGTAGCCTTGTAGAGCCATCTTCTCATCGCTTTGGGATGGGTCGGACCCGGAAACGGCGAAAGCCTCCGGTTTCACCACTTCGATCGACCTGTTCACTGGCGCCAGAGTGATTGAACGGGGCGCAACCTCGGCGTCGGTATATGATTCCCTTCCGAGACCAAATCTGGGTGACGCAGCTGCTGTGGGGAACAATGTAGCCATCAACAGAAGTGACCTGTGACCGTGCTTTTATGGGCGGCTATCCTGTGATTCATATAACATAGCTTGTCTGGATGGAGCATAAAAGCCACAGTGGGACTAGTGGGCCGGCTTTGCCCCGTTCTTTCGTGCCCAGTACGTGCCGAAGCTTAGTACCTGAATACCGGTATACGAACGTGGGCGTTGAACGAGAACTGCGCCACATGATGTACGATGGTGATGGAAAGGCTGATGGTGGCATGCTGATTATGCTAGACTGACACGAGTTCAACTGACGAAATGGGCGTCTGGAGAACAGTTAAAACATGTTGGTGCTGGTAAGCAGGGCAAAATGGAAGTGACGAAATTTGATGGATATGGACACACAACAAAGTGATGCAGGGTCAAGCGTTTGATAACATCTAGAATTAAATGCTCCCACCAAGATGACCACCCCATCACTGAAGTTAGATTTACCGGAAGAGAAATATGGAGATATCACGACGGCACGTGTGATCTAGGATGAAGATGTGCAAGCAGAGCTCCAGGAGAGCCCTACCACGGAGTCGGTGTCACTTTCCTTTCGCCGCTCGCGCAGCAGCTTCCTGTGCGGCCTTGATTTCATCGTTCTTCTGTATATCCAAATCCGTGCACGGCCAAGAGGGACCCAAAAAAACGATCAGTCTACCAAGAGTAAAGAGGAATAGATAGAGTCTGGGCATGCCTTCTGCTTGGCCCTCAGGATCTCTGCGTCACTGTACGGAATGGGGAATGCATTTAAATAGGGTTGATAAGGGCCGTGTGAGGGTGTGCTTACGCCTCCTTACGCTTTGCCAGAGCCGTGCTACTTTCCTTTGGCTTCGACTTGTTCATGGCCGCCTGCTTCTTGGCTGCCTTCGCTCGATCCATTTCTCTCTGGTTGCCTCCTGAAATTTTTGGCCAAATCCGTCAATGGATTCAGGAGGGACTATAGACGAAACGTACGGGTCATGTTAGAAAGTGGGTAATGTTACAACAGCGACTACAGCGATATGGTGGGAGAAGTCCTTGTGCCAGCCTCATCGTGGAAGACGACACATTCGAGCGCCCAGGCAGCCAAACATGCGCAAATACGCCTTGTTAAACCATTTTGGAAGGGTTCTGGAAGCGCTGAGCCACGCAATTGTATAATACAGGATGGGTGGAGTAATGATTAAAAGTGTCCGCCCCAACTGAGGAGGGTTGGATCCAGAGAAGCATTCCAAAGTTAGGATGGGATGTCCTACGGCCTCCGTCGAAGAGTGTTGAATTCGCGAATGCTATCACAGCAAGTTGATGTGGCTGATGTGCTTTGTCCTGTACTAATCATGTAATAGAAGGGCTGTTACTATAATATGGGCCGTTCAACACGCTATACTCATTGCAGCGATCATCCGAACGTTTCACTTCTTCCCCAGTAAGTCTCGCCCCTCGTGTAACTACTTACCGCGTCTAGCGCAGGGAAGCCACACCTTCGGAGCTACTTTTCCTTTTCCTTTGTTCTCTCTCCTTTCACACATATCTATCTAACACGGATCTTCCCATGCCTCCTAAAGTATCCACACATCACCCACGTGTATCATGCTGTGCATCCTGGAATTTTGGAGGACGGGAATGGGTAATAATATATGTGTTATGTGTGTGTGTATGATGACGGGTCGCTGACAGAGACACTACTGGAATGATCTCACACGGATCCTTTGTCGATCAGATAACGACGTCCGATTGTCAGCACGTCCTGACTGGTGTAACAGCGTTCGGAACGCTTTGCTCCGAAAAGGAGCGCGACGGTCTCTCTTGGAAATCATGACCAATGTGACATGTGTATGTTTCTGAAACCTCCTGTGCTTGGGAAGTCCTTGTGAAACGCCATCGACGTCGATCGAAAGCAGGAGCGGCAATACTTTGCAGTGCCTGCTCGTACGCCAAGCGCAGTGTCATTTTAGCTCGGATAGGGCGTTTTTGCAAATCGGGTGGGATTCAATAGTTTCATACTCATCAAACGGTTTACTTGTCAACTAGAAGGTCTTTAATTTGCTTGCGATCATCAAGCCTGTTGCTTCTACTGTCAATCTCGGCTTCCACGTCGCTGGGGTTGACGACGTTGAACGTCGAATGTTGAGGGAGTGTGATCGATTACAGGAGTGTTACAGGCCTAATAATACGATCCTATTACTACTCGCAAGTATCTCAGGGGGGCGAGACAAGTGTGCTTCCATATGAAATGCTTTAACCGACACCTGTCATCTGTCGGCGACCCCTGTCAAAGCTGTCAGGGAGACTCTAATTTTTTTTTTTCCCGCGGAGTTGGGTTTATTAGAGAAGGTTGTCAGATGGCAGGGTATGACGCTGCATCTGTAACATTAAACAAACAAAATAAAACAGGTGATTGCGCGACTTTTGCAGTACTGCGCAGAAAATTTGCAGGTGGCTGTGCTCACAGCCACTGCAAATGACCGCACAGCCGCTGACTAAGCAGGGCACGTGCACGGGGAGCGAGCGCATCGGGTGAGTCAGGGCTACACGCACTCCTCGCCTGTTCCTTGGGGCTCGTTTCAATGCTACTACTAGCCACTGTACATAACCCATGTAATAATGGGTATTTTGCCAAGAAACGGGCCCAAATTCGCTAGGCCAGTGATGTTGTGGTGCGGAATGCGGTCACATACGCCCTCGTAGGCGACACTTCGTTCGAAAAATTGGCAGTGGCAGTGCCGTGGGAATTTCCCGAAGGGGCAATCCCGCCACCGCCACGGGGCGGGGGAGGGGGTCGAGCGTTCGAGTGGGTCCTGTGGGGCATCACGGCCTCGTGGGTTGGGCGGGGTGACTGGGGAGGGTGCCGACGATCTGTGTTCACGTCCTGTCTACGTTTATCTATGTTTATCTGCCCTCCTAGCTAGTGCAAAGTGGTGCAAAGTGGCTATGTTAAAAATTATGCAGGGGTAGTATAAAAAGTTGCGCAGAAGCAGTACTGCAAAAGTCGCGCAATAACCTGTTTTATTTTGTTTGTTTAATGTTACAAATGCAGCGTCATAGCAGGGGGCCAGGTGATGGATTTAGACCTACAGCTTCGTAGTACTGTGACCGCCGGATGCTGTCAGATGCTGTCATGGTGCGTTTTTTGTTCCTTAGGGCTACGGCAGCAAGCTGGAGTCGACTAACTCCGCCATGTTTCAATCCGAGATGGAGGAATGCATTCGAATGAATAGCTGGTGTGTGGGTTCGCCACCCCGCAAATTCCCCACGTCACGCGGCCGCGGGTGTGTGCGAAGTCACCACACTGGGTGACGCCTAAAATATGAGCCACATGGCCGTGTTTCTCCGTTTGCTAAACAAAGAGGTGCGGCTCGGACCGGTGGCCGTAGGGAGAACCCTGACGATCCCTCTCAATCTCCTGCGGGTCGAATCAGAGAGAGGGGATATATAAAGAGGCTCATTATCCGCGTATATTGCAACTGTGGGCGGTCGTAGCCATTGAATGATGGCATGAGGTCGTGAATGAGGGTGATCGGGTACCAGGTGCGCGCACGATGACATCGTTTTAGCTGCGTGTCGGAACGAGAAAAAAAGAAAATGGAAGCTGGATACATAAATGAACTCGGAATATGCAATGCGATAGCCTCATCATATCGGGGCTTTTCCAAAAGCGAAATAACGTTCCGCTGTCGCCCCATCTATCCGCTCGATTGATTACTATTAGGCGGCTGTTGGCAACAGGGACAGGGTGAAGCCTTTTGAACGGAGATCTCCCGGGTAATTGCAATATAAGGTGCCACGATAGTGCGGAGGCCGTCCGCGTGCTCCGAAGAGCCCGCGCGCGAGAGTGAAAACTGCCAATTAGTACCTGATCACGATACTGACGTAATGGATCCAAGAAAGAGAGGGTGAGCCGATGGATTGGTAACCCGCTATGCTAGATTGTCTGGAGGGTTCATCGCCTCCGAGATCTGAGATCTTCCGTAATAGTCCCGAGGTGGGCTCGGCAACGCACCTTCTGATCTCTGATCGTGCGACATCGACTGGGGAGGGGGCTTAGGACAGCTCACACACACATGCACACCCAACAAGGGTCGCTGATGTCCTTGTTTCTCTGACTCCGCAGTATATATATCTCCATCCGAGAACGCTTGTCAGCTTTCTCTCCCCCCTCTCCTCGCCGTCCCCACCAATCATGTCCCACAGACGACAGCCTGATAGGGACGTCGTCCACCCCCATCCTCACGCCCTCGTCACCCACCCGCCGCTGCCCCCCCCGCCCCACCTCAATGGTAACTCCACCGTTCCTCCCTCGACGCCAGGCAGCATCTCAAATGGCTCCAACCACACCAACACAGCATCGGCCCAACTGGTCTCGCCAACCGTTGTTCCCTCCACTGCCCCCCCTCCCAACGGGGTCCCGACCAGCACCATCCACAAGTTGGCCCTCGCCAACGAGCAGACCTGGTTACTAATCGGTACGGGGAAACGCTTCTTCCTCCGAGATAAGCGGTCGTTTAAGTTATCTCTTTCTCAGGGCGCGTCGCTGAGCAAATGGGCGATCTGGAACATGCCATCACCGCATACGAAAATGCTCTGCGGCATAACCCGCTCTCCCTTTCTGGCCTAACCCAGGTGGCGGGAATAGCTCGAATCAAGGAGAATTATCCGAAGGTATGTCTTTTCTCTTTTCCCCGAGGATCTCTCCAGATCTCAGATTGACACATGGCTGACATCATCCTGCCCTTTTCAGGCAATTGAGTATTTCCAGCGGGTGCTTCAATTACAGGAAGACAACGGCGAAGTATGGAGTGCATTGGGTAATCGCTCGCTTGTCACCGTATCAACACCCTGTCTAATGTCCCGATGGGGATCTAGGTCATTGCTACCTCATGCAGGATGACCTCCAGAAGGCCTACTCCGCATACCAACAAGCTCTTTATCTGCTTCCAAATCCCAAGGTACTGCCGCTCGTCACCTGCCACATCACCACCCTCCCTCACACACTCACAGGAGGATCCAAAACTATGGTATGGAATAGGCATTCTGTACGACCGCTACGGTTCTTTGGATCATGCCGAAGAAGCCTTTGCTTCTGTTCTCAAAATGGACAAAGGTTGGCTCTTCCCCCCTCTGCCCTGGCAATTTGTTATGTACTGATGCAGAACTAGACTTCGACAAGGCAAACGAAATCTTGTTCCGCCTCGGCATCATTTACAAGCAACAGGGCAAATACGACGATTCCCTTGGCTGCTTTGACCGCATCCTTCGCAATCCTCCCAGTCCTCTCGCCCATGCCGACATCTGGTTCCAAATTGGCCACGTTTACGAGCAACAAAATGAGGTAAGAGCGCCCGCTCGCATGCCTTGCGTCGTCGACACTCACCTCCCTTCCTCAGTATGCCCGTGCAAAGGATGCTTACGAGCGTGTAGTTGCTGATAACCCTGTCCATGCAAAGGTTCTCCAGCAGCTCGGCTGGCTCTACCATCAGGAAGGATCCTCTTTTCAGAACCAGGAACTCGCTATCCAATTCCTGACCAAGAGTCTCGAAGCAGGTTCGTCTATGACGTTGACTGGCTGCGAGCTTCTACTAACTAGTATCCCAGACTCTTCGGACGCCCAGAGCTGGTATCTCCTCGGGCGAGCGTATATGGCAGGTCAGAAGTACAACAAGGCATACGAAGCTTATCAGCAGGCTGTCTACCGGGACGGCAGGAACCCTACCTTCTGGTGCTCGATTGGCGTCCTTTACTTCCAGATCAACCAGTTCCGCGATGCGCTCGACGCATACTCGCGCGCTATCCGAATCAACCCGTACATCTCTGAGGTGTGGTTCGACCTAGGAAGCCTGTACGAAAGCTGCAACAACCAGATCTCTGACGCCATCGATGCGTATGCTCGTGCCGCCGAGCTCGACCCAGGCAATGTTGTTATCTCTCAGCGACTGCAGTTACTTAAGAATGCCCAAGCAACCGGTGGTCAACTTCCCGCTGCCCCTGGTCCGCAGGACGTCCACCCGAATGCCTATGCTAACCAGTCTACACTTCCGCCAGGTCTGAGTGGCCCTCCGCTCCTTCTTCAGTCGACTTCCACCCGCCCCCTACTTAGGTCCGACTCTAGAGGTCCGGGAAATAACGATAACCTCCATTTGCCCCCGCCTCCTGTGCCTGTTAGCCGCGCCTCTCCTCCATTTAGGGGTCCTCCCCCTCCCGTCTCCATCGACGAATCACGGCATCCCCCCTCTCATACCCCGCTTGCCCCCATGGATGTCGATCGCCCCCATCACCGCGACTTCTCTGGCCCTTCCCGGGATAGTGTTGCTCGTGGCCCCACTGGTCACCCATGTCTCTTGCTGCACCACCCCGTCCCGCAACAGCAGCTCCCGACAGAAGAGCTGCGATCTTCCACCAACCAGGATCTGGCACAGCACTCGGAGTACTTCAACCGCCCACTACGTGTCCCTTCGGGATCCGCCTCACCTGCTCCCCATCCTGCTCGCCCGCGCTCTCCTGTCTCCACCTTCCCGGCTTACCCTCCTCCGAGTCGCCAGCCAATCGGGCCGGCTCAGCCGAGCATTCCGGCTTCCCAGCGTACGCCGCCTTCGTATCCGCGCGAGCTACGTGCAGCAGATCGCGATATGGCCTGGGATCGCCGCGGTCCTCACCCGGAGCACCATCGTGACTGGGAGGATCGCGACCACCGCGGACGTTCTGAATATCCGACTCACCCTTCACAGCAACCTTACTACGCCTCCCGCTCTCCAGGACCTCGCCGCGCCCTGAGTCCCATGGAGACGTCGCCTCGCTCTGCCCATCACTCGCGGCCTCATTGGGACTCGAAGCCCCCCGGTGGCCCGTCCCATCAACCTTTGGGTCCTCCCGAAAGCGGGCACTGGCGCTACGATCCCGCAAGATTCGACGCGCGCGAACGTCCGGTGGAGCGAGATGTGGAGTCGAGAAGGCACTCGAGTTCGGTTGTCAACTCACCAGAGGCCGTGCCTCGCGTTCCGCTACATACAAATGTTCGCATGTCTGTGTCTCCAGAGCCATCATCAGCCGACTCGAAGAACAGGAGGAAGCAGCCGCAACCGACGAAGGACAAGGATTCGGACACGCAAAGTATCGGTGGATCGATCCCTAGTGATGCCCCGAAGAGGAAGAAGCGTCAACGTCGGGCCAAGGATGACTCTGGCTTACCCGCTAATCTACCTGCGTCATTCAAGGTTCCTTCCTTCTCAGCGAAGGATGGGCAGGACACGGCAAGTTCGAGCGGTTCTGGAAATCGTTCACTACAGCCGTCTCCGACTGGTGCCACCCCACGCCTGCCGTCCCGAGTGGTAGATGAGGATTATGATGAGGGTGTCGCTGATGCGTTAGTTAACTTGTCCCAGACCCGTCCTGCCGAGCAGTCGGCTTCTGCGCATGACAACTACAATGCGACGATGCACTCGCCGACGCTGTCTAATGCAAGTCGCCACACCGCCAATTCGCCACGCGATGCCGCCCCTCATCGTCGATCTACGTCGTCCTCCAACGGTCCTTCACCTGCTTCGTCCGGAGCGTCGTCCCTCAAGCGCCCGCTCAGTCCCCCGACGGAGGAAACCGACAGTAAGCGCACTCGAGTCGAGAGTGTGAAGCGAGGTAGCGGTTCGTCTTCTGGACGACACACCCCTGTTCCATCTCGCTCGTCTCCCTCCTTCCGCATGCCGCCTGCATCACACTCACCCGATTCTCATCCGCACAACGAGACTGCGCTCTCTACGTTCCCGAGTCCTCCCAAGATCGCGGTACCTTTCCCTCCCCACCCGCGACCTATTGGGGCGGCGGTGATGGCCCTGCCACCCATTGCTACGCTCTCATCTTCATCGACGCCCTCGCCAACGGATGACAGGATGGCGGTTGATCGTCGCTCCATCACGCCTCCATCGAGAGGCAAGCTGTCGGAAGTGATGAACCCTGCTGTTGATTCGCCTGGTGCTCGACCCGTTGCATCTTCACCCCGCGCCCATGAGAAGAAAGATTCACCGTCCTCCGCTTGAGCATGATAATATGTCATTATAACCTCCTTTGGCTTCGTTCGATATCTAACGTGTTCACGACTTTGCTCATGTCCCAAAAGTGTTTTATTCTACAGCTTGGCTTTCTATCTATCGGCATAAGAACGCACTGCATGTATATGTATCTCCATTCATAAGAATTATAGATATCCGCACATTGTTCTTCCTTGTTCCATCATAGTTCGTTTTATTCATTTGTTAGGATGACTGCACACGGTCCGGATGCTGCGTGTGTGTTCCCACGCTTGCCAACGAGTCTGATTACAACTACCAGGCTTCTCAGGCTAGTTTCTGACAGCTCGACACTACTTCTCTGAACCGCGACAAACTCAAAGTCAACCGACTCGCTGCCGTGCGAAATTGATACGGGTCGCGCTTTCTTCACTAAGCCCTCCAAGGAAATCTGATTGTTCGATGCGCTAGCGGATCGACGAGCACGAATACCACCACGGGTCGCAATGACAGCGGGACTAACGCGAACGCAATCGAGAAAGTTTAACAAAAGCAGAGGCGACGAGCGCGGGAACTCGCCAGGCGAGGGTAGTAATAGTCATCACAGTCGTAATGGCGTGGTGCAGAGTGTCGTGATCGATATCACAGTCGCACATCCTGTCATTCCTCCACGGATTTCCTCCTTAGCGTGGCACGACACTGAGTCAAAGGGTAGCAGTATGGCGAGTTCCACTAGTGCTGCTGCTATGGACGGGGACGCCATGGCACCGCCGAATGGTCACCATGACCATGAGGTTGGTGCAGGCCCGCCACTACCACTACCACCACCATCACTTCCGCAGACACCCCGCGTATGGGATGTTGTGACGACCGAGGATACTACTGCAGATTTGGGTTCTACCTCTAACTACTCCATAACAATTCCCATGGAAAACACGTTCTTCAAAAGTGATAACCTCATCCCTAAGTTTCCCGATACGGATGCTCTGCAACCTGCAGCACCACCAAGGAAGGCGACGCCACCACCAGCATCCCTCCCACTTGTGGTTACGAGTCGCCCGTCCTCTGGTTCCTCTCAGGTCTCGCTCGCTCCGTCGCACTTGTCTGCTAGGTCGTTGGCAGCCGGCCCGTCTTCCTTGGCGACGTCGTGGGCGTCTAAGGGAAACGTCGGCAACGATTGTCAAGCCGAAGGCGAGGTAGGGTTAGAGTTGGAAATGAACGCAGAAGAGGGGAATATGGTCAGGAGTAGTGAGGTGATCGATTTAGTTGGAGAAGAGGGTGAAGAGGAACAGGAACGTGCTCAGGAGTTGAGGCAGCCACCGGAGGAGGCGTTAATACTGCATACCGCATTACCCACGCCGGGGATGCTAGGGTCAAGAACTGGGGGAGAATCGGGCAAAGGAGGGGCAGTGCTGGAAGGGGGTGATCACGTTGCGCCTCCAAATGATACTGTGGGAGAAGCGGATATCGTGGACGCACTGTGGCACCCCCTCTCGAGCGATCCACTTTCGGACGAGAGGGATCACAGCTTCGATCCTGATGGCGATCAGATAAACAGCCCACCTGTTAGGGAGGTAGAAACGCGCAGGAGAAGCGTTCAGTTCTCGGAAAGCTGTTCCTCTGAAACAGACGAGAAGAAAAGGCCCGCGGAGTGCCATAGGGCCTCACTCAAACTTTCTGCATCGGAGAAGCTGGAGCAGCTGAAACTCAAGTTGAGGTCATCAGAGCCGTGGGATCTTGGGCTTCCGCCGGAAGATAGTAATTCAAGGGGTTTGGGTGGTGGTGTGGCATTCAGGGTTGGAGATGGGGACAGAGACCAAGAGGGTAATGAGCACCCGAGTTCGGACTATTATTCAACACTGAATTCGAAGAACTTCGCTGTGATGCAAAAGAGGTACGCGGTTGCCTTTTTGTGTTTTATACCAGAAATTCCACTCCTGCTCTTCCTTGTCCCACGTTCTGCTCATCTCTACTCGCCCTTCTTGCCGCTTTCTCTTCCTTCTCCTGCCATGCACCTGTGCTGATCTATTGCATGACTCACGTTATCCCCCAATGCAGCCGCCAGCGTCCTCTGGTTCCACATTCTTCATACTATTTCGGACCTCCCCCTCCTGACTCCGCTTATGGAACAGCGCCAGTAGGCCACATCGGAGTGCATCACCCGCGTGAGATTGTGAGAATCGAGCGGGACTACACCGGCGGAGAAGTGGTACAGTTCATGCCCGTGTTTCCATTGGAGTTGGAGGGTCGGGTGAGTGTTTCTCGTGCAGTTGGCTCTCGGGTGCATTCACGATGGTGCGACGGTCTTGTGTGCAGATAACCGCCACCCAGTTTCTCGAGACCATCAACAACATCAACGAGATCTTAATATCGGCTTACAGCCTTCGACATTCATTCGTATACAACGTTATGGCGGTCGCTACACTCCAGCTGTCGACGCTGGTTGTGACGTCCCATTATACCAAGGTGCGCATTGCGCGGGTTTATGGTTATGGCGTGACAAAGCTTTAAATAATGCCTACGTTTTTCTCTTCCTTTCTTTGGGAAACACAGGAGATGCGAAGGCTGGAGAGAAAGATCGATGAATTAAACACACAACTTTATAATCCGGCTGGTCTCAATATATTATGGCCCCGGAAAGTAGCCTTTCTCTTCGTAAGTCTCCTCACGTGTTCTTGAAATGGCTTGTGATTGACCACCTGCTGTCTTCTGGGAAGCTTGAAATTGAATACTATGTAAGTCCTTACGCCCTGTTTGACACAATCTAGACGTTTACGGCGATCGGCGTAATAGTGATCAGATGGAATCGGCTTTGGAATTGCATATACGTCGCGCGGGTTGTGGAGCCCATGCCTCCCTTCCCTCTACGCTCATTTTTAGTACATACCATGGAGCCTCTCTCTTGCCATTCCCTCCTTATCTCAATCAATCAATTCCCAATTGTACATGTCGCCGGTTATGACATCCGGATCTCTCTCCACCTAGTTGCCATTTTCCTCCGTTATCATCGTTGTGTTGGTGGCATATTATTTTGCACTTCGCCGGCGGCCCCGCTATATTCATTGCCAGCATTTACTTCCGTCAGGTTCGCCTTCTCTTGGCTGGCCTACCATTCTTCGAAGGGATATTGTTTATTCGGGGTAATTTATTTAATGGTAACATTTTCACATTCATACTCTGTATGTGCTTCATCCGACTCTGAGGGTGGTTTCAATGGAAACGGTCACAGGTTCGGAAAATGGCATGCGCTGTTATTTCATGTGATCACCGTCAGGGTAACTATGTTACATAGCGGGGGTTCATCTGATCGGTAGACGGTTACATGGAATCCCTCACCCAAAGAATAGATTGCGGCGTCTTGTTACAGAATCTCTGCGTAAACCAAATACCTCGTGGTAGCCGGTCCGACTTCTTGCAGTAAAGTCACTTTCATATCTTCCTGGTGCTAGCACAGTTCAGGTCGTATGATGAGGGGAACACCTTCTAATGACTCCGACCCTAGCCCCGTTGCACACCTGCGAGATAGTCCAGAAGTCATTAAATATTGAAGGCGTCCATTTGTTCGGGCACCCAACACGTTACTCAGTGGACATGGTTTTCAGGGCCCTCACGGCGTACAGGGTTATTACCTTATCCTTCAGCAGAACGAAACATCGTGAGTTGTGCGCAGAACAAATTATGTGCTCCCACAGGCGGTACTTGATTCTCTTGGTCGCCGGAATGCAAGTAACTCAATCAGTTTTCCATTAAATAATGAACGTTGGACACACAGGAGAAATACATTTGCCTCCGACCAGCACCCTTGGGGCCACTCCACAGAGGGCAGCAACCCAAAACAGATGAACCGGGTTTCAAGTTTATGTTTATGGTCTGGAAGAGGAAACTATACACCATGCCCCTGGAAAGCCCTTCCTAGGGCCTTCTGCGCCTATTATATCGGGTGCGACAGTCGGACGAATATGCTGCGATGGCGAAGAACTTCACCTAGCTTCTCAGGAAACGTAAACAATTAGTCCAACAGTGAAAGTCCAAAGAAAGTATGTCGACCCTGCGCACTGGGCCACCATCTGATAGCACTGTTCAAAGAGGGGCCGGAGCCGTTTGTCCGCTGTAAAAGGATATGGGCAACTCGGCACGATCGGCCGGAACGTTAACATCATATCCAGGTCGCTCTGAATAGTTCACCATCGGGCTTGTTCAAAAAAGGCTGACTCAAGATCCCAGTAAGAACTCGGCGGCAGTGATTAGTTGGTTCTGGGAAGCAGGTCTTAATTTTAGGTGTCAGTGGGGATGTCATTCTGCAAGAAATGGTTGTCATCGATCGAAATAGAGTACTACAAGAACGTACATGTACTGTGCATGATTATCCAGTCTGCGTTTCCAAATAATGTCAAAATATTGGCGCGTAAAGGATATCCACGAGGAGACGCTCAATCGGAAATCTGAAGTATTCAGTTGGCATTAAGTGCGTGGTTCATCCGGGAGTACTTCCAAGATACTACGCCGTAGTACTCTTCCAGAAGGTTTCGAAAAGCTCTGTTCACCCGTTACTGTGGCACAGATGACATCAAAAGAACCAAAGCATTGCGCAATTCTCTAGCGATGACCCGATTAATATTGCGGCACTGAAAGGCCAAAGCCGTCAGTGATGCGTCGTCGCGGAGGCGTATCATGGAGTCGTAAGGTTCGCACAAGAAGACCGGTGAACTTTTTTTTTTTCACGGGCCTCGTCCACCTGCCGTATGTACATATAGAGCAGGTCAAGCTTCTTTGCGCGAGAACTAAACGGGATTTAGTAGCGAAACCAGACGGAGGATATTTCTGATTTTGAAACATTATCGTCCCGGCATCTCAAGGTATTCCCTGATTATGGGCAATGTGGTCGTCATATTGGAAGCAAATAAATTACCTACTCATGCCGCTGTGCCTGTGATCTGAGTGAGAACACATGGCACGAAGACTGTTCGATGCCCGAGGACACCACATTCGACCTTCGTAAGCTTTGTCCGTTGATAGAACAGATTGCGGCAGACCGAGCTCTGAACATAGTAATTTGGAAGTGGACTTGGTCGTGGATATCGCATTCAGAATCTTCGCCTTCGAAAGGCACCAACCGACGATAGTCAACGGCAGATCGAAGTACTTGCGGGCGATTTCCAACTGTGTCTTTGGGCCACATGCGACTTGAAAGTATGATTGTTGCAGAACGTGTTTGTTGTTCCGGTCGCAAGATAGGTACATGAGTAAAATGACCACTGTGGCAGCGTTACCCGACAGCGTCAACCGCAAGCCTCCCGCGGACCCCGAGACACCTTCACTAGGTCTTCGAATTTGACCAGTGTTCCTCCGAAGATATCGAGAGAACTGAATTACATTGGTAGTCACGTTCCAGTAACTCTGCAGTGGAAAAAAAGGCACAAACCTGCCGTATGTCAAGTCCACCTTTCCGCCGGAAAGTCTGTTAACCAGCGAAAGATCATCTACGTCTAAAAGTGGTGTTAATATTGAGAACACGTGTACAGGTCGGAAATCCCAACGTTTCGCTCCTCCGGCATAGGTAGTTGGTATTGTTACCCATTCACCCAGTCCTGAAAAAAAAGGTCGATTCGGGCGTTTCTCGAATCGCATAAACAGAGTGCGTACTTCTCACGAGATCTTCGTCAATACCTTGACACAGGCCTTCCACGTCAGCAGCGTGGATCAAGAACTCACTGACCAATTCCGAGTCAGAAACAAACCAGAGAAGCACGACGTACTTGCCTACAATACTGGGATAGTAGATCGAGAGACTCTGAAGAATCACTTTCTTTAGTATGGAAAGGACAAAAACTTCCAAGATCTGGATTTGAACCTTTGCACACCTCCATGTCTGTGATATCTTGCCATTTATTCATGGCCACTAGCCACTTGTCTCCTCGACGGCGGCAACTAACAAGTCGGCTTGCAGTAGCTTGAGAGTACGGTAAGAAACACTGGCGTACCTGACGTCGATTACTAGCCTGTCCTTGTCGATGGTATGAGATATAGCCTGTAGTCGCTCCAGGGAAAACTTGCCGGCTGGAAATAGGTACGACGTTACGATCACCTGAGACAAGCAAGAGTACAGTAAAATGACAATCGACTTGACTCCTGAGAATCGGGCGAGTCACCTTGCTGGCACCATTGTCTAACCATTCCTGTGCATTGGCATCAGTGACGCCGCCCCCGATCTGCAGGCCGCCTAGGAAAGGAGCAAATCAATAACAATGAGGATTCTGTCAACAGATATGAATGAGCAAGATGCGAGATTTCATGCCTGGCCAAGCAGCTAAAGCTTCTCTTGCTGCATCATCATTTTTGGGACCCAGCTTGATAATATGCCCGCCACAAAGGTCGTGGCGTTTATATAGACGTGTAAAGTCACCTGGGGATTGGCTGCAATGATTGATTATGAATCTGGAGATGAAGGTGAATACCAGAGTGGGATAGGCCTTACGATGCTACGAAATTAGTTTTCAATGCTTCTGGATTGCTGTCCGACAGTGTGCCCCCGACGATCTGCTTCACTTGACCATCGTGTAAATCGATGCACGGCCGGAAAATACTGCGGCGGTCGCGAGTCGACATTCTACACTGTATGGGGCCGGACGACAAACTAATGATGATCGGTCTGAAAATGGCACATTAAGCTAGCCATATCCATCGGTGCAAACCTACACATCTTGGTCTGCACAGGCAAAGGGGGAAATGTATTTAGTTGAGACCGTATGCCACACAAGTGAGTACCCTGACAGACGGAATAAGTTTATCTAGGGCGACCGACGGCTCATAGACGACCGTATACGTATGCAATATGTAGAGTATAGCAACCTTGGAAAAATGACTTATCCACAAGACAACAATAATACACGTACAGATGTGCGAACAAGAAAGAGAAAAAAGAAACGTGATAACACCATGCACATCTCACCCGAGCACATAAATATGTGGACGGATAATCGTGCGAAGCTGTGAAAGAGGTAGGTAGCACATGAAACAAGGCGTCGCATCTACTCCGAGTCAAGTCCGACCTTGATCCCGTGAGTTCAACAGCACAGTTCTGCAGATATAATGCACGTCCGAGGCGTCTGACTGTGGGTCCTCCTATCGGTCCAGCACATTCTAAGACTCCTGCTTCTGTGCCGTTCCCGAGGAATCGTCATAGCTGTCCCTGTAATTGCAACTGTATATGTTGTAGGTGCTGCTGCTCTTGCTGAGCGTGCGGCTGCGGATTTGGCATACAATGTGGACCGTTCATCTTAAACTTTTCTATGATGTGACGTACACCCTCCGGCTCCAACACAACTTTTGTCCCATCGCACCGCGCTTTCTTGGAGAATTCGGTACACAGTTGGTTGACATCCGCATCCTGCATGCATTATATTAGTGAAAATTCTTTGCTTAGCATGGCAAGAGGAGATGGAAGGGGTGCAAAAGAAATAAAGCGAAATGACAAAAAGAAAACAACGCCAACCTTGAAGCACGGGCTGGAAGTGATGCTTCGCCAAGCCTGTAGCACCTCGACGTTATCCGGACTTTCTTCCGTCCTCGGGAAACGCGAGCCCTGACATGAGATAATGTCGCCCTGAGTGACGTCGCTCGCTTTGCGGAGTACCCTCGATTCTTCGCCTCTGCTTTCCGACTCCGGGGTTAGACCGATCGTCGAACACCCCACTGAAGGGCTGGTGAACGGTGACTCTCCGCATGCTGCAATGTGTTTTGCTACGTCTTCCCTCGTAATTCGTTTCTTTAGGCCGCTGTTACTTTCGCCTGCTGTTACATTACCACCATCAGTGCCGTGCCTAGATCCAGATACGGACGTGAGTGGGGAAGATGATGCTGTATTATTTCGCAATGACGGGCTCGAGTTTGATCGTTGTATATCCGGTGACGACGCAGGTGATGTGGATGAAGAGGGCACGTTGGGCTGGGGACCAACATTCGCGTTCGCACCACCGATCCTGGCGGAACCCGCATTACCGTTTGCATGAGATACTGGACTGATGCTCGGAGGTAGAAGTGAATCGTCCACGAATGTAGTCCCGAATTCCATAGGCCCCCCACTATCTTGCCCGCTCCTGTTCCCCTGCGGCGCCCCATTCGGGAACATGCCGCCCGAAAAGAGTTCATCTAATCCATTATTAGATGGGGCGAAGTGTTGGTTAAAATTCGCCGGCGTGAGCGTTTGACCGGTTGACGGTGGCCATGCCTGATTCGAGGATGGTAGAAGACCAAATCTACCAAATCCAAATGCATCGAACGCATTTCCTCCGTTCGTTCCGTTCATGCTCACCGGACTGGTTGTTACCGCGGTCGTGGTCGAAGGCGTCTCAGGGGTGTCCGCAAATGTCATGAGCCAGGGGCTACTCGCAATGGTGCGATATTGGTTCGGAGGCGGGAGGGCATACTGACCGAATGGCGAACTTGAATAGTCCGGTGGCTGTTGCTCCATGGTGACGTCCCCAACAGGAGGCTCATCAAGCATGCTCAACATGCCCGGATCGAAAGTCGTCAATGTCCCCCAGTCGATATCCCCGCCTAAAGAAGATGGCTCTGGTGCACCGAAAAAGCTGAATGGAGATGACGACGGAGGATGCATATTGGAATTGGGGGTGGTGGAAGGGGCTTGGGTGACGGATGCGGACGGAGGTGCAGACTTTGGCACAGAAAAGGTAAATTGAGCTTGCCTGAGAGCTATATTTTCCTGCTGCAAACGGGAAAGGAGATCTCGTAGATTGTTGTTTTCAGTTTGAGCCTCTTCATTTTTTGCTTCGAGTGCTGCGACTTGGTCTTCCAGCTACGGATGTCATATGCGATAAAGATAATATGGTGGTTGAGGGACTCAGCCCTAGTGATGGGACGGGGAACACTTACGTCTTTGACATGTTTTTCTTTACGTTCACGGAATGCTCTTTGTGCGGCACGATTTTGTTCTTTGCGTTTAAGTAACCGCGATTCATCCTGCTGAGCGAGGTAGGCAGAGCAGCACCAAATCTCTTGACAGAACCTCACCTGAGAGTTTCCTGTCGACTTTCGCTTGGAGGACTGCCCCTTTTTGGTCCCGGACTCGTCCACTATTAGAGGGAGGCATGCCAATGAGAGGGATTGTGATCAACAAGATGATGACGTGACACGGACCAGCAAGCTTATTCTTTGGGTTATGCTCCTCGTCAAGATCGTCATCAGAGGCTTTGCGTTTGAGTGCCGGTGTTTCGTCACCTTGCGCGTGATTGTTGCCTTGGCGAGGGTATGAAGAGTGCGACTGACGCCTTGAGACTGAGTCCACGTTATTGGCGGATGGGCTCGGGCTGCTATCGTCCGTGGATGGAGTGACGCCAGATAAAGAGAGCTTTGTGATCGATACGGGGTCTACGTTTCCGTCCTTGTTACTGTCTGAGGGAGTGACTGCTCCATGCGATATGGGTTGGAACTGTTTCTGGAGGAGAGCCAGGAGTTCATCTTCTGGCAATTGTGAGAACTGGGATGGGGCCGATGCCAGATTCCACAAGTTCGTGTAGTCAGACATGGTCTGTGCGCAACACGGTGTGCTGGCTGGTCAGTGTCCAAAACGACGAGCCTGTGCGATGACGACGAATAAGTGCAGTGAACAGTCGCCCGCTCAGGAGAAGCCCAGCCACATCGGTCCGGGAAAAAAAACTATTTAATTATTTTCCTCGCTCATAGCATAACCCTCCCCCCTTATCGATAAATTCTAATTTCCCTGCCGCATTGACGTAGGTGGCCGGCAAAAGGTTGGCCAGGGTTAGCCATGCCCATATCGGGCTTATATTGGTCTGTCTCATTGAAGGTCTCCCGGCGAGTTCTCTAATTGCCGCGATCAAAGCCATTATATCGGCATCGTCCGCGGCCAGCGAGTGACTCGACTCCCGCAGGCCGCAGCCCACAGACGCTCTCAATACTAGTTAGTTCCGACGGTCCTGAACACTTGTTGGAGGAGGATGACACCTCAGATGGTGGTTGCAGCAGCCCACTGGCTTCTCGAAGGGTGTAATATCATGCCACAAAGGAGCCGTTGCCCAGGGATCAGCATCGGTAGCAAACAACGGCCGACACCGGTGGGTCTCGGCAATCAACCCATCACTCCGTCACGGGGACTCGCTCATCGTCCACTTCAAATGCATTCCCCAGTCTATCAACGCGTGCATAGGAGCTTCTTGTTTCACCACCTTGCTGGCATGTGGATCGGCAGTACAACTCTACCGACGGGCTTCAAAAGTCTTAGATGACCAGATGCTTTAGATGTGATCACGGTCGACTCACTGTTACAAGACTCATTCAACCTCGCCCGACGGAGCATGCACAGCCTTTCCACCTACGTTTGAATTGGATTCATTTGCGAGAATAGGCATGACAGGTTTTCTGATTGCGTACCAGGAACACCGCCATAACCCCACAGCTCTCGATTGTCCAAAGCACATCCATCTCGGACCACTTTCTGAAACCAGACGAATGACGCCTACTCACAGACACTTGTTATGCTGCGAATGCATTGCGCATGTAACATGGCACGTCTATCAGTCTTCAAATTGCATGCGCTGTTTATGAAATGTCAAGCTGGGCAACAATCGTTGGGACTGAGGTGCGACCTCACAGACGTGTGCACATTGTGAATCAAAAACGGGTCGGCTCCCTTCAACTCCTCGGTCAACCGGTCACGCACGGCGAGCCTGAGAAGGATCTTAATTTTGGCTTAAGTTCCCAGGCTCATTTCAACACACGTGTGGATTGTGCCCTTGATGTGACGTCATAGAACTTAACTGCGCTCTCCCTTCCTTGCAGGCTCTCCCCAACCGACGGGTTATCTTTGTGCAGCAGTTGATTAGTTTCCATAGTAAGTAGTTATTGTAGCCTGCCACCTTCAGCGCACCTGCGAGCAGATGTTCCTGGGTTTGAATTAGGTTTTATGTAAATCAGAGCCTGCCCCCTGGGGTTGCAGCTACCGCTCCCAGTGGTGAACAACGCACGGGGTTGGTGCCTGTAAGCGGTGTCGAGTTATGGGTCTATACAATATATATACATGTGTTCTCTTGGGACCAAGCTTTACTTATGATCGTGGTTGCGGGTATCCACGTTTAGTATGGCATTGGCTCGTTTGTATGCTTCAAGAACTTACATGCCTGTGTCTACGCCAGCAAACCAGTAACTTACCTGTTTGCTCGCATAGATACGCGTGAGTCCAACGAGTTCACGATGTAGTACAGCAGTGGTGCATTGTTTAAGATTAATCCATTGGAATCGTCGCTAAAACAACGAAGGTTCACCGGCAAGATCCGCCTTGATCACAAGAAGGCTTGTGCTTGTAGGCTTCCATATACGAGCATATTCACCGTTCTGGGCGATCAGTTCATCATGTGTCCCTGCCTCTTGAACCTCCGTATCGTCCATATAACTGGAACAGGCATTCGAAACATAAGTGTCGTAGTTGAGCAGAGGGAATCAGCAGGACCAAAGCGGAAACCCACAGGATCAGATCAGCATGACGTGTTAGATTGCCAAACCGATGCGAGGAGAAAACCATAGTTTTGCTGCCTCTCAGGGTTCGAAGTCTCTGGAAAAGATCTAGGTAATAACACGTAAGAATTCCTGCACTGAGTATGAACAACGAGCGATCTTACCGTGTTCGGCGGTAGGGTCGAGGGAAGCACTTGGCTCGTCAAATAGCAGAAGGCCCACTGGCGACTCGGCTTCGGAAACGAGCGACCGCATAAACGTACGCGCACTAAAGGGAGTAGGACAAAAAAATCAGCCACGTCAGTGTCATCCCCATTAAGGAGATCTTCCTGTCCCAGGCACAGAAAACGAGTATGCAACTAGCAAGATGACCTACACAGCCAGCCTCTGCATTTGACCACCACTCAAGGACGTTTCGGTGGTCTGCATCCTCCCAACGCCGCGGACCATACTGTAGTCGACTTGCCGACCAAAAAGTGTAACGGTTCCTTCAGGAAGGGCAGAGTAGTAATCCTTGACCGGCCGATCAAGATATGTATGAAACCCGTCGGGTAGTTTATCTATGAATTCTTCAGCCCCGCCGAGTCGGGCCGCTTCTCGTACTTTGTTGTCGTCGTAAGAAACGTCGGGGTTACCGAGAGCAATGTTATCCTTGATCTGAGCACTGGATTGAGCCGACAAGATGTATGCTACTGGAGAAGACTGACCGATAAAGGAAAATGCGTATAGTCTTGGAAAAGGATGGCCATCGTGCGACGCAAGTCGCTGAGTTTCAACGTTTTGATGTCCTGGCCATCTATGAGAATAGTGCCTTCGGTGGGATCGTACAGCCGTGAGATCAACTTCAGGATCGTGCTCTTTCCGGAGCCGTTCACGCCGACAATGACCTGCAAATCGGAATCAGGGATGGGACACAGGCATGTAGCGGAATTCTGCAAAAAAAAAAACTAACACAAAGCTGGCCAGCGCGGATTGTAAAAGATACATCACGGAGAGCATACTTGTCGGCTCCGGGATATTTGAAAGATACATTACTGAGAGGGATCGAATGTGAAAGGTCGCATTTCCGAACCAAATGTCCTTACCGGAACTCTATTAATATGCCGTGTTTCAATGCCTGTTGATTCTCGGGGAAGGGTATCGTCCCGTCGACAACTCTATTAGGAATCGTCGAGATCTCGTACAGCTTGCGCACGCTGGCAAACTGTTCGGAGAGCGAGAAGGATTCACCAAACAACTGAAACAGAGTGCCGCTAAAAGAGTTAGCTGTCTGGGTAATCAACGTGAGCGATGCCAAGGAGATGGGTATCGAAGCTGGATACTGAATGGCACGCAGGGTGAACACAATCTGACAATATAATTCCAGAGCGTCCATAGCGCTAGATAGAGTGGAGACCCACCTGCGGAAGCTCGCGCAATGGTTCGCGGAGGATAGATGTAAGGGTAAGACGGTCCCGGACAAAAAATGAACGTCGAATCTCCGGAAAATCCATCGCGTCGTCTCCGACACGAGCTGAGGCATCCTTATACACTGTTTCGCATAAGCCTCTAGATGGGTGCATGAAAGTAAAGTTACTTACGACGGGAGAGATGTTCACCTAGGTTGCCAGCAACGACCTCTTTCCGATGTATGGGGTTATCCACAACATGCTTATATCCTTGCATTCGGATGTAATCTTCATTCTTCGTCGTTGCAGCCCATACTGACCATTAGCAGCTTAACATTCTACTACGAGTGGAGAGCTCAAGGCGGAAACAAACCTAGTGACTGCAATGAGGGCCCTCTCATACTAAACCACTGGAAAAGGGACTGTGAGAAGCTGAGGATGGCAAGAAGTGGGCCATCTGGTTGGTCGCGCAATATGCCAACCAGCACAGACAGTTGCGACAGTAGCCGAATGAAGGTCATGAACATATTCGTCGTGATTTCGATGGTTTCCCACGCGAGACTCGATTTCCACGAAGTCGTCCAAGAAGATTCAAGTTGTCTTTGCACAGCAGGATCCTCGAAAGTGGGTAAGTCAAGACGAGCCATAGCGTGGAAAATGTGAGTAGAATAGTATCGCTTTATGGATAAGTTGAGAGGGGTGGTGATGCGACTGCGAGCATAATGGAAGACCCGTTCCGCTATAGTGCATGCCATGCGGCCTGCTGCGACGCGGAGAAGGACATCTTTGTCCACTGTCCGTTTCTCGACGGCTGTTTCGACCTTTTGGGGTGTTAAAGATAAAAGAGAGGGGGAGAAGAGTAGCTTACCAGTAAAAGAAGTTGGCCGGAATACCTGGTGGAGCCATTGAATGTATCAAGCAGAGGCCGATCCACACATTCGAGACTTACCAGAGAGAGACTGCGGGGACGAGAGACCTAGCCACTTCGACGAGCAGATACAAGCAGATCAAACCCAAGCAGCGTCGTATACTGCATATGTCCTTCAGCATGCGCCATACAAATGGGATTCCCTCGAACAGTTGTGCAAATGTCTCGAGCCTGGAGCTATATGGTATGGGTATGTTATACGGGCGTTCTTCATAGAGGTCCCACACGCCCATACGCGTGTGCTTGACATTCCGGGTGTCCGTTGGGTCAAAAACGCCAGGCCTGGCAAGGGGTTTTCTTCTCTGTCCGAGTCTTAGTCTTCCGGGCATCATCGTGAGCGTCAGCCTCGTGTCTGGTATTCACTGCGGAAAAGCCTAAGCATGCCTTCCAAAACAGGCAGCTGGCACCGCGTCGACGTTCTGAATTCAGCGTCGGGTTTGGTCAGACCAAGGCAGGACTGAACTTGCCCGTTGCTTCACAGGAGATACCACCGGGGACCAGCTGGAACGATGAGCTCGGACTTGTCTTCGCTGCTCAACTCCTCACGCGCTCTGAATGCTCATCTTTCGAGGCCTGACCTTCCTACGGTCAATCTGTCTCTCGACCAGATAGAGGCCCAGTCGCGACGCCTCGTTTCGCGTCAACCTGCTGCTGCGACCGATGCCGACCGCGCGTGCGTGCCACAGCCGGTTACATGCACTCGGCTCTGACTGCTGACCGTACAGGAACTATCTTTTAGCTCAAGCCCACGTAGATGCACCTGCACTCGCTAGTTCCATCGCGCACCTCAATACCTCTACTACCTTTTCACCTCTGCAACCTCTCCAGGACACTGATGTCGCGGGGTACCTCCGTCACGCCCACGAACAGAATCTCATATCAACCATCGAAGAAGGAAGGCGGGAGACGCAGGAAGCGTTCTACAACCTCCTAGAAGAGAGAAGCAGAAAAGACTGGGAGGCGAAGAAAAGGAGAGTCTTCGAGGAGCTTGGAGGGAGATCTTTGGTAGCTACTACGGCAGGAGCAGATGGCAAAGCACTCGCAGAAATGAAGAAGAGCTTTCATTCGAGGGCAAACCTTTCTGTGCGTTCCATTCTGTTCCCTTGGACGCGAGACAGCTTAGTCGCCTCCAGGCAAGCACGGGTCCAAGTCTCACACTACAGATGCAAAGCAAGATGATGGCTTACGACCGGACCGTATGCGAACTCAACGCAGCAAGGTCACGAGGGATGTCGTGTCCTATCATCCATCTCCTTATGCAAGCTGCCGCGAACTTGAACCTAGACGTACGTCCGTCTCTAGTTTATCTTGTGAATATGGGAAATTGAGGGGGATATTCCCAGCCTTCGTCAATGCAGATGGTGTCAAACTGTCAAATTCTCATCAAAATAACTGGTGAACCACCTGCGCTCCCCCCTGTGGAACACGCAGGAGCACACATCCTTAATGCCCCTCTCTTTGAGAGAAAATTCGCGCGGGCGTACCTCGGCGATCCTGAATCGCGTGAGGCAGCTTCGTTGAGGGCTCAAATTGCCCAGGGTGGGCGAGAAGCGCTCGAGGACCAGTTTTGGGGTATTATCGAGCGGGGGATTCAAGCGCGAGCGGTGGAAGCAAGATTGGGCGGTGATCCAAGCGTGGCAAACAAGATCAGAGCGTTTCTCGGTGTAAAGTATTACAAGAACGGCCAATGGGAAGACCACATAGAAGTAGGCGGGCATCTGGTTTTACATGCGACAGTACACTAACGCAGATATCATTAGATTGTAGCAGGTCAACCACTCTGGGCTAAACTATTCTATCTCGTGCGAACTGGCCATGCGCAAGAGGCCCTTGACGAGGCCGTACGCTGCCAGGCTGCCATTGAACACCGCGAGCCCAGCTTCGTGAGCCACTTCCGGTCTTGGATCGAATCGCCAGACAGGCGGTAGGATGCTTTATCGTCATGTTGCCTCCATTCTCACATTTTATTACAGTTTGTCAAAATCCCACCGGGATTATCTTCAGTCGGTGTATAATGCACACATGTTGCATGCGGCAACAACGGATCCATTCAAGCTAGCGTTGTACAAACTCATGGGTCGATTGGAGCCCTCGAGACGCTCCGCCCTTCACGTCACGGCTACCATTGAGGACTGGCTGTGGTTCCAACTTGCAATGGTACGTCATGCGCTCGAAATTGATGTGAAGCGTGCCCACTTTTCTACAGGTTGATGAGGAAGAGGAAGGGGGTCTCCGTGGGCTCATGGAAGTCTTGCTCAGTTACGGCGAACACCACTTTGAGACAGCCAAAAAAGGCGTGTGGGCGAGTGTCCTTCTCATGTGTGGCCAGTTCGAGAGGGTATGTAGTAGGCGCATTCGAAATAACTCATAACTAATCGTGCCGCAGGCTGTCGCTGTTCTCTGGGAACATCCGGAGACAGAGGTCGAGGCCATCCATTTGGCTATCGCTCTTGCTTACCATGGACTTTTACGTGTGCCACCCCGTGCAGAAACTTCAGACCTCAGTCCCCGTGCGTTCTGTTTCCTTTTTGGCGCCCTTGCCCAGCATGGATGGCAGTGTTTAATCCCATTTATCTATCAGTAACAATCTCGCCAGTCCACCCTCCTGCACTCAGCCTGTCTACACTTATCTGGCGGTATGTCCGCCAGTTCGTCAAGATGGATGCCAAGGAGGCGTTACAGTACGTCTATTGTGTCTGCCTTGCGGCTGATCAGGCCAATGGTGTCGGAAGTGAAACCCTTGAGAGCGCCTGGGAACTCGTTCGGAGGATCATCGTCTTGGCTCATTCGGGACCGGCCTGGGATGAACTTGTTGGAGGGTTTAGACCAGACGGGACGAAATTCGTGTGTATTCTCGCTCCTCTATTGTGACTTCAACTTGATAATATACCCATGATTCAGAATGGCATTGTTGAACAGGGCGCGCCCCTATTGCACTTACAGAATATCACTCAGTACAACAATCAAATTCTTATCCGGGCGGCTCGCGAATGTGAAGAGAACGACCGCATCCCAGAAGCAATCAAACTTTATAACCTCGCTGGTGACTACGCCACTGTCATTGCTTGTCTCGCACAAGCTCTCGGAAATACTCTCTCGCTCCCAATGGCCGAGAATGAGAAAGGAAAAATTGTCGAGAAGACGGCGATAGAGATATTAAAACACTACGAGAGGATGAACAGGGCTGTGGGCAAGGACAGGGAAGCCGCCGTTCGCCTTCTACGCGTTAGAGAGGCTATCAACGCCAAAAATGCTGGTCGTCCTGACGTCGCTCTCGAAGTCTGTATGCTTTGTCTGCCAGTTGCAACTCGAGGCTGACGAAGACATTGTCACAGATCATGGAGTCAACCGACCTCATCCCCTTGGATGGCGACGTTGCCAAGATCACTCGCCGGGCGGAGGAATTCAAAGACCTCCATGATGCTCTGCAGCGCAACTTGCAAGTTTACCTACCTCTCACGATGGACTGCCTCGCCGCTTTGCATCAGTCAATAAAAGCGTCATCTGCTGTCACGGAGGCTACCCGACAGATGGTACGTTGCAACTTCAGTATCAGGCTTTGGAATCTAATGTAGGAGATTCTTCAGTCCTTGACCACACTCAGAAAGAAGTCTAGGCCACTAATGGTGTTCGCGGGTATTTTGAAGTACAGAATGTCACCGGATGTGTATTCGTATCTGGCACGGCTGGACGTGGAGATTTCCTTGTAATCGTATGTAGTCCCTCGTTTCGATGGTATTTTCTCACCTCGTGATCGTGGTCGTAAAAACGTACCTGACACTTTATCTGGATCTGGATGCAATGAATGGACGACTAGTGCTGTGTCGTCATCTAAACTACTGGTCACCGTTGCGCTGGCACGAGATCCTCCTCGGCTTCATCTGTATCGCCGCCTGTCAACTTCTTCACCTTCTCCGTCGCAGTCCTGACCCTCATTTGCAAGAACCTCATCTCTGGAGGTGTTTTTCTGACACTGCAGTGGGACGGTTGCTGTCAGGTGAAAGTGAGGTCATGAAAGCTAGTAGGCAACTTACGTGGTAAACTGCAGTCCAATAACCGCTCCAGTACATAGCACTCAAGGCATTATTGAACGCTTCATCTCGACTTACCATAGAGGTCGAGGCAGGAGGTAAGAAGAACTCAGGGGCGTTGGAACCTGCGGTGTTGGGTTCAGAAAGCGAGGGATCATGGGTTGGCACGAAGGTATCAAAATCAATGGGTGCAGTGTTGTCTGCGTCTCCATCAACAATGACATCCTTCGATGCTTTGGATTGCTTCGTAGCCGTGGGTTGCGGAACATTGTACCACCTTGTGCACGCACATGAGAGCCGGCTTTACAAAAAGAAAAACACTTACAACGCAGACTTTTTTATGGGTTCCTTCTTCCAATCCTTCGATTTTCCGTGACATGCCTGATAGAAAGTTTCGACGTTGAGATGGGAAGTGACGAGCGACGAAACATACCTCGTACTCTGCCTGAGCAGAGTTCCAGGCATCTATGAGCGCGGAGTCATCCCATATGTCTTCGTACGTTAGTTCTCTGCTTTCCTCGGCTTCTTCTTCAACCTCGAACTGTGGGTGTTCGTGAAATGCACCGTCCTCTTGCTCATCGTACACCACCGCCTCCTGCAGAGTTCCAGGATCGTCCCAATGCTGAACATGTGCCCCGCGACCTTTTTGCTGGCTGTATTTGCGCTTTTTGGAGGGAGGTTGAGTGGAAGGTCCCCCGAGCCCAGGGGGCTTTGACGGCCCCGATGAATCCTCCAAGTCGTAGCGGAGAAGCTGACGCATCGGTGTAACACAAATCGGCGAAACGCTCTTAGTCAGTAGTTGTATAATGGACTCGACATCTTTGCACTTGTAAGTAACAAATACTATTGCATAACCTGACGAAATCGTATGTTCTACTCCCCAAAACAAGGACGTAACATGAATCTGCAAAGGCTGCCTTCCTACAGTTTGGCAAGCCCCAGGATATAAGGAGACCATTTCATGGACTTGACTTGGTCTACATCCTCTTTTTCTCTCCGGATCTTGTCCATATCTAGCCCTTTAACTTCCCTTGTTAGTTCCTCGAAGTCCTTGTACCTGATCTTTGTGAGGTTGCGGATAACCTTCGGCAGTTTCTTGTGGGCGATACGGACTAACCCCACATCTTTCTCCACTTTTGCTGCCTTTGCCAACCTCATGGTTTCCTTTGCCCATGCTACGTGCGTCCAGACCTTTGTGCCGTTGATGTCTTTAGTTTTTCCGACGTCATCATCCTCTAGCTTCAGCGTCAAAAGTTCGTCCTGATACGTCTCCTCTGTCTTTTCTGCCATCGGCAGTGACTCCCACTTGCTATTGAACGATTTCTCCAATTCCGCCCATGTCGTCCGCTGTTGCAATGTCAACCCGTCATACCACCTCTGAGCCTCGGAGCGCTGGTGCGATGTAATCCTGTAGTGCTGCGATCTTATCTGCTTCTGTCGAGATAGCCATTGCTCGCATGGCACGGTTAAACGCGCGCAAGAATGCCTGCGGGTCCTGAGTTTCCTCCTCATCTCCTCTAAACGGTTTCAACGTTTCCATCGCCGTTGCTATTCGTTTATGCGGTGTGATGCTAGTTCGCGGTAGTACGACGATCGGTTACCGCTGGTGGTGTAAATGGCCCGTACAATGTTCCGCCTCCCTTCGCTTCGTCGTCTGAGTCCAGGCACTCCTGACTTGCAATTGGGGAATGGCCCTGGAGGATGCACAAGGGGTGTGTCTGGCCCCAGATCCTGTTCTGAGAGGAGACCAAAAATTGAGTGTGAGAGTAGTCGCCCAGGGTGGACGTTGTTTCTGGCAAGTTTAAATGGGGCTGTAGCTTGCACAAATGACCTTTTTTGTTTCTGTGGGCGCAGTTTGTCAACTTGTGGCTGTATGACTGTGCACTCAACCCGTTTTGAATACTCTTCCTCGTGTTATCCTCGTTCTTTGTTGTGTTAGTGCGGCCATGTTGTTATTGGTTCGATCTTGTCTGAGCGCTGTTCTATCTGTTTAATGATTCTGATTGGTGCTCTTCCGTAAGTTCGAGTGGGCGCGGTCGATCGTGTATCTAAATCGTAGTAGTGATCTGTAGTACTATGGCCGTCTGCGCATCCACCGTCATGTTCAAATGCTGGCTAAGTCCTCTTCTCCCGACCCTCTCATGACAACTAGAAAACTTCCTAGAGATAGCACTTGACATCACCTGTCTACTCAATGCAAGACATCCTTTGCTACTTGTAGTGCAACGGGCAGCGCACCCGCATCCGATGATGAATGTCTTTTTGCTCATGCCCTGACATTCCTAGTAGTTAGAGTAGGGAACCAGGACTTGCATGGCTGCAAAGCTGCATCTACTTAAGATAGCGACCCAAATTACATGTGGGTACAGATGGACCTACATACACATCACCTGGTTGTGCCATGCATTGTAAGAATGCAATGTCTGCAAAACTTGTTGTCCGCCTTCCTACAACTTGGCGCGCCCAAGGACATAAGGAGACCATTTCGTAGACTTGACTTTCTCGACGTCAGCAAGGATGATCGAGCGACACTCATGGCCGTGGTTGTACCCCAACCTATCCAGCAAAGCTTTCAGCTTCAGACATTGAGACATTTCGAACTATTCACACCTTGATCGGCCGTCTATTCCTCCAGCCGTGTAGAACTCTGGTCGACGTAGCAAACTAACAACTACTGCACCACCAATGCCTATATTGTGTGTCAAGCCATACTTTCCACGTTTATCGAGAGTATTAAAGAGTGCTTTGGCTTGCATAGGGCCAGCCCCTAGGAACTGCGATCAAGTTATGAAGTGGTTCTTGTACACCAAACTCACATTCTCGCAATTGCACTGCGCTCGCCAGAAAAAATGAGTAAACGTTAGAAGAAACGAGGAACAGAATTCGCACTTGTAATGTAAAAATTCATTCCTATCCCAGTGGCGCCCAGCGGGTGCCCTTTGGCCTCAAGGCCACCGCTTGGATTGACGACATACTTACCCCCATACTGTGAGACCCACTAGTGAGTGTAAATGCAGAAGACCACTCCCTTGCGTACCGTGTTGTCTCCGTTATCCACCATCTTATGGGCCGCATCTGGAGCACACAACCCGAGCGCAGGATACATTATAAGCTAAAGAGAGGGGGAGTCATGAAAGGTCGATGAACAGTCACCTGCGCTTACCTCATTGGCTGCGAAGCAGTCGTGAAGTTCGAGGACTCCAATTTCGTCTCTTCCCTTTCCTGGCGCAAAGCCTCCCTGTACAAATACCTTATCGGCACAACGCCGTGTCATGCTGTAACCAACGACTTCCATGGCACTATTCGACTCGAAACTTGTGGGGTCGTCTGTCTCGAGAGCCATAGCCACAATCCTCAATAGCTTGGTTTTCGAGTTTATGCGCATGGACAAACGCTTCTGACGCAACTATGCAACAGGCGGCACCATCCTAGTAGCACAGATGGATCAAATAAACAACGCGTGTAAGGCGGCGTCACCCACGGAAGTTGGGCTGCACATGAACTTGGTGAGCTGTTTGGTGATCTTCGGGGAATCCAAGACCTGCTGTACAGTCCAGCCGTTGCGGAACTGCGAGTAGGGATTGTTCATGGAGTGTGCATGGTTCTTCGAAGCTAATTAAATACCGCCAGAAGAATTTAGGATGCAATGGTGAGGACTGTGCATCTACCAACCTATCTTCGCCAAATGCACTATGTCCGCACCGTATTTGTCGAAGTACTCCTGACCAGCGTTAGGCGAACATCCTAGGCGCACCAGGACCGAAGTTCGTCCCGGCCATCATCCCTTGCTCCAGCTCCTGGGTCTTGTTGTGAAAGGGAGCTAGTGGGGATGGTCTGTCAGGGAAATGGGTGCCTAGGCTTCCGGGCGCCATGCGCTCGAATCCGAGTGCTAGTGCACATTCTACAAGACCCGACTTAACGCAATTGTTTACTTGATAGAGAGCGGTACCACCAGTGGCACAGTTATTATTCACGTTTGTAATTGGAATACCAGTCATCCCAAGGTTATACAATGAGCGCTAAAGGGGGTGAAGCATTGTAAAGCGAACGTCCGGCGTGTAGGAGCACGGCAAACTTGCCTGACCACTGGTGGAGTCCCCATAGCAGTGTCCCACAAATGCGGTTTCGATAAGGTCATATGTTATGCCTTCGAGTATCACGTTGGCAGATGGCAGGGGTAAATAGAGCAATAGGACGTACCTGCATCGAGCAACGCCTTGGTGGCCGCCTCGAGACCCATCTAGTACAGGATGAGCCGTCCAAACGCTGCCGGTGTTCAGTGTAACCAATCAGTGCTCACATCCTCAGTTCGTCCTCTGACCCCTGGGCTATGACAAGCAAGTGAGATGCCAGGTCACGGCGGCAGGAGACCACTTCAAGGCCAACAGACCTTAATAAACGCAGTGCACCCACATCCGACGATGAATGTCCTCCTTCCCTTTGTCGAGGTCATTGCGTTGGCGCTCGTAGTGGAACAGAAGACTCGGTAACATTCGTATTTATAGTGTGTAACACGGTGACCCAAGCTACATGCCGATACAGAATCCGGGTGCCGTTGTATCACAGCTAAATGTCGTGCGAAACTCTCAGCTCACTGGCAGGCAAAACCGAACTTCAGGCCGACTAACAGTCCTGGGCGGACCATCATGCATCATGTACAAAACAGAGATTACTCTCCACGGGACCCACTGCCACATGTCAGTGCCGGTAGTTGTGTCCGTCTGCTATGTGGCCTCCGGCATGATAGCCGAACTAGCGTCATGACCCTCTTCAATGAACAAGTAGTTGATGAGCCTTCTGATTACCTGCCCGAGATCTATAGGTTAGGGTCGATCGCCTCACTAATCACTCACTGACCTCCACAGTTCACACTATTCCCGATCAAACGATACTTGGATTTCAACGAAACACCCAGTGGCCATATGAAATCGAAAGGGGCGGTAGTGAACGGATCCCGTTATGTGGAAGAGCCTCAGAAGCTCGTCGGGAGTAAAATATCGCAGTCTGAGACAGCCAAGCAGCTGAACCGCCTGTGCATCGCCATTTCTTTGCGCTGCCAAAAATCCGTCGAACACCCTGGTGGTCTATGGCAGGAATCGCATCAGTGCAATTTAGATTAGCACCGAGATGCGTACATTCAGCTGTTCGTTCATCTGAAGGATTGAACCCGCACGTTCGACCAGCTGAGTGTATCCTATGGATGTTCACGCCTCGGCGATACTGTCAAGCTAAGATTTTCATACCTCGGGTGAAACAGCATGATCTGGTCCCAGAGGGCAACTACGATGTCAAACAGACGGCCCCACTTCTCCAGAACACGGTCAGAAACCTTGAAGGAAGCCATTGACTCATTATCCAGTTCATCTAGATAATGGTTCAGACATCGTGCAGCCACTGATATCACCGGGTGTTGTGAAGGTATGTGATCCAAAATGTTCAATCGGGAATCGTCACAGCCGAGGAACTTCAGATGTGAAAGTTTGGCCAGAAGGTAGTAGCGCAACCGTGAGTTGGGGATCCCAAACTGCAAAGGCGTAAGATTGAACTCTGCTATTTGGTATCCTAGACGCTTGAGGGTTGATACGAGGTGATACCGTGTCTCGGAGTCCTACCTGTTGTATGACTTCCTCCACTAATTCTGATGCACGGAAACGCACCTGAAATCCGGTCACATTCTCTACGAGCAGGTAACGAGGATGAACCTGTTGTACAGCTAATTGCGGAAGAACGTTGTCGATCAAGTGCAAGAAAGATTGTGCCCGTGGGTCGGATGCGCCTCTGGCATTGGGATTCAGTTTAGTGTAAGGCTGGCATGCTGGCGAAAGAAGCCAGAGATCAGCTCGGAGCTGGGACAATCGTGCAGCAGTGAGGGTTGAGATGTCTGTCTGGCAGAGTATCATACAGGGACACCATAGGGTCCTCCGATCGTATGGGAGGCATTAAATATTGTCAGTGCTGACCTTGTGAACTGTACTAGATCCATAGTTGACACCATACACCTGGCAGGCTATCGGGTCCCAGTCATATGCTGCAATGACCGTAGCAGGTATCTGGCTTCGACTGAGTGCAAGATGAAGACCCCCTGTGCAAATCTAAGCGTGACAACGCAGTAGTCAAACACACAGAGAATATACCTATCCCGCTGTAGAACTCGATGGCCCTCACCATGGTGGTACTACACTGCCTGGAATACCTTAATTAGCTTAGGTAATCGAGAGGGTCCCGCCACACCCCGTCCCGCTCGCTTGCCATTATCTTACATACCACCTTGTTACTTATCGGAACGGGCTGGTTCAGCAGAAACGCTTTGGACGACGTTGGTTTACGATATTTGACGCCGGTGGTATCCTATTCTCTCCCGTTTGGCAGGCTTACTGTTTTCTTGATGACACCCGACGTTCATTCCAGCGAAAACTGCGTGGACGGGAAAATATCTGGCCCGTCTGCATCTGTCGTCATCACACCGGCCAACAATACTTCACCAGAACCATTATCTGGCCTCCCCGGTTGGCCGTCCTTCACCGATTCGCCGTCTGTAGCTCCTGGAGGTAGCCAGCATGATGGATCCTTGGACGAAACAAAATTGCAGAGGTGAGTATTGTACTGGGTGGCTCTTTACTCCAGATTACTGATCTAGCGATATACGCCACGCTGGGATCGTTCAGCTCTGGTGTGCATTTGCCAACCCCTCAGAGGTGAGTTAACGCCCGAGCTTTCATTTTTAGCTAGTCGCTTCCGGTCCGTTGCCCCACGGTGAAAACCGACTATTCTGCACTTTGTTCCCGACTACGCCGTTGACCCTTCATTACTCTGTCGTAGCCCTGCAACCTTATCGTCATATCTACTATCAGAGGCTGAACCCATAGTTTCGGGTGCCCACAAGTGAGTGTATGGCAGTAACTTTGTAGGCGTGTATATTTTGACTTCTTGTAAGCTCGCGATCGGGCCAGCAACCTTCGACTTTACCGTCGGGGTTTCGCGTATATACGTACGTCGGCTAAGTAATGTGCGCCCTAGTCTCGAATTGACGCAGGTATACAAGTACTCCGTCACCCCCACCTCCTCTTCGATCCCTCCAAACGCTTACTCCGGGAACTAGGTGGGTCGTTCTGTTGCATTGGATGTTGGGAACAACATCTGAAAGTTGTTCAGTCCTCTGCCCATGCGCTATCAGGCAGGCAGTTCCCATATGCAGCAGCAACCCCCGGTACTGATGCGCACCCATGGCCAACATTTGTAAGATGTTTAGCATGTTATCTCCTCTAACTTGTTGGACTCACAGTGGTATTAAGGATACCGTCCTCAGTTGAGCCAACCAAAACTGACCTGTGGTGCGTAATTTTATTTCGTAAACAGCTTGCAGTGGAAATTTCTTATTTGGTCTCAAGCGAGTTGTTGCCGATGGGCGAGATGCCCTCGCGTCCTACAACACCTGGGGTGCAACCAGCCTCGATTGATTACTCTGTCGATGTGCCGAATACAGAATTCCCGAGCACACCTCCACGGAAATCACCAACATCAGTGCCTCGGCGCGCGGACGGTGACAGCCACTTGTTACCGCTACAGGTCGAAAATACTGCAGTGGCCAACACGGAAGTTGGGGGAGAACTTGCGCGGATCCGTGCACAACTTGTGGAGAACCACCTTGCGCTTGCCCAGGAAGCAGAGGCGCGGAGACCTGATTATTTCAAGCGAATGAGACGCGCTGCTCTAACTACCGATGCGACCGATGCGGCGCCGCAAGGTTCAGCATTACAGCCCGCCGCTCCCATTGGCATCACCAATAGTCCCATTAAGGGTAGACGCCTCACCTTGTTCCAGGAAACATCTGAGGAGAGCTTCGAAGAGAGTTTGATGGCGGGTGGATACGGGCGCTATGTGAGTAACAATTTTTCAAAAGCCTGAGCCAAAACCGAAGCTTTTCTTCTGTTTACGCCTGTCCTGCGTCCTAGCGCTCCGATGCGTTGCCGTGGAGGAAGCCGGAAAACGAAGTACCGAATGTTGTGGATACGACGGAGGACCCTGCTGTAATGGTCGAACGAGAAAGGAAGAAGAAGAGGCTGGCGGCATTCCGCAATGTCCCGCTTGCCTCCTCGTCGAAGACACAACTTGTTCCCACTGAGATTGAAGGGTGCGGTAGAGTTCTCATAAGCATGGATGCTTCGGAGCCGCCAACTTCTCCCAAACGCAGCCCCTCGAAAGGTAGACGGTCGCGGAGGAAAAAGAGGGTTGCCGCTGATGCACGTGGAGAGAAAGATGGACTTCTCACGCCTCCGGAGGCGAAGCTTGACGCTCCCAATTGGCCAGATATGCACTTCCCATGGGGTTCAAGTTCAACGCCATGCGGGTCACAGAATTTGGAAGAAGAGAGGCTGCGACATATTGAAAACTTCCTCGAACGGGATTCGGATGAGGAAGTTGAGGAAGGGCCGTCTTCGCCTTTACGGAGTCCCGCAGAAGAGATACAAACGGCGCAAGTCAAAACATACCCCGTTCTCCTTCATGCTGGCGAGGCACCGATCGGATCCACGGGTATGTCGGTCGTTCCCAGAGACCCTGCTGATGCGAGGGCGGCGTTCTTGTCGAAGAAGTCCGTTAAGGAGCTCTCACTTCGTCTTCTACGCCGTAGGAATACCGATAACGACGGAGGCGGGGTGGTGTGCATCTGCAACGATCCGGACGACGAGCGGGACTCGGTGCAGTGTGATGCATGCCAGATATGGTATCACCTTGATTGCATTGGGATACGAAGTACGTCAGAGCTTGGCAGGGAAGAAGACCCATGGTTTTGCGCAAATTGTGCGGAAGCAAAGACACCACCACCCGTGATGTTGTCCTTATCAGAGCCCACCTTCGTGCCTACGGACGACAAAATAATTGGGGACACATGTTATGACCTTCCGTTTTTGCAGGCTGGGCTTAATCCGTCGCCGATGACTCACTGGACAAGTTCAGGTCGACAGCCGAGGACACCACCAGACAGTCACGTTGGATTCCAGTTTTCGTCGGGGTCTTCGTGGGATGAACCACCTTCACGAGGTGGACCTCATACACCGCAGTTTCCAAACTCACAGGATGTGCGTGTGTACACCACGCCAGGGCAGGTTGGTTCGTTGGCGATTGAGGAGTCGCCATTTGATCCCACGTCTACACCCTCTCGTGGGATCAAGTTTGGTGCGCCATTTACCACGCCAAAAAATGGATTATGGCAAGGACGTCATCAGGAGTTGTTCCACACACCCACACGACCAGGTGGGATTGCGTTCGGGCGGCCATTTGGACAATATGGATCGAGAGGGGTCGAGGGATCGTCGGGACATTCTACATCTACGCAAGACATCACTCCGGTCGTTCATCACCTGAAGGAACGCGGTCGACCACTAGAATCTCCGTTAGCCGGGAAACGGTCACGGCATAGTGTGGATAATCGGTTGTCAACGTCTCGCGGAAGATGAGGCACGACGCGTTTGACGATTGGATTGATTGCTTTGTTCCCATACTTATTAGCATGGATGGCCATCCTTGTGGCACGGTAATATTGGTGATATAAGATATCGATATGAGGATATGTATGTAGTAGAGTATCTGTACTAGGTCATGTGTATTCCCGTCTGTCCTCGTTTTCGGGCCGCCGCATGCCGTTGCTTAACGTCTGGCACGTGGCCGCCATGCCACCGGGTCCTCGGCGCGTCATTCCGGGGTCTGTACCTACCAAAAACAGGACAGCCTCGCTGACAGTCGCTCATGAATATTGTGTGTGGCACTCATAACGAGCATGATATGTGGGTATAGGACAGATGAGTGCCGCAGCAAGGGTGGTGCTGATCAAAAGAAACGAGTGGATGTTACCGATGCAATTGTTCCCTCGTGCAGGGGCGACGCCGAACTCAGATGACCATAAGCGGTGAATTCGGACCAACAGTGATGGGCGTTCCGCGGATAAGCTGATCTGATTCTGATATTATCCTAGTCCATAAGAGAGAGAGCCTGCAGAGGAGGACATGCGAGGCCGACCTCCGCATGTCAAGTGGAAAATTGGACGGGACATACGTAAGAAATGAAAAGTAAAATAAAATAAAAATTTTACCGCGACCCTGGATGGTTGTTCCCACGGCATGGGAGTCCGTCGATATAACCTCGTCCCCGGTGGAGGGCTTCACCAGCAAAGCTGTCCGGCCTCCACCAAGTTTCTCTCCGCCGTCTCGTCCGCCGTCCACCCCATGTCCACCCTGGCAACCGCCCTTGCTGGCCTCGCCTCAAAGGCACAGGCAAGGATGTCCCGCTCCCGCTTACACTCCTGCGAATACGAATCTACATCAGACGCGTCCTCGTTGGCAGAGGGTGCGTGACCAAGTGTTTATTCTACTCAGTATGACCCCCCCACTCACCAAAGGTCCAGGTTCGACACGCTCACCTTCTACTCGCCGCTTCCATCTTGCACTCCCTTCCACTCTGCGACCTAACGAGCACCTCGCTGTCCTTCTCCCAAAGAACCTCTGGAAGGTATGCAGATTTGGAAATATCCCTGTCTGTCAACCACTCATCTTTCCCCATTCAGCCTGATGCACTGGCTTCCAACTGCGACAACTTTTCTTGTCGCGTGCCTTTTTCGCTTCTAGAGCGTCGTCATGTGAGCAACTGGTTGATCGACCACTTACACGATTACTTTTACTCAATCGTACATAATAGCACTGCAGAAAGTGTGGTGGCGTGTTCTGCCAACAATGCACTTGCCGTACAACTCATCTCCTTGACGTCTCAAATCTCGACTTCCTCTTCCCCCCACGTAATACACCTATCACCACGTTTGACAGCCCGACGTCACCAGTCGTTTTCGAAAAGGTGTGCGACGATTGTTGGGACCAAATCTACGGCCTATCCCGTACCCCTGACTCTCGGCCGTCAACCCCAATGTTGGTCTCTTCTCCCTCGACATCCTCCTCTCCATCTCCGACTTCCTCCATTTGTGCTTCCCCAATAGAGCACCAGCCAAGTCTGCCGTCAACTGGTGTTTCTGTCACGCGTAGCTCCTCCCAATCAAGTGCAAGGAAATTCCCGTTTCCATCAGTGCAGAATTCGATTATCTCGGATCTCGAGCCTACATCTCAGCCTTCTTTCGGAGAACTGGATGCTTACCCCTTGAGGCAATCCAGCATCATCTGCAAGGCAACTGGTGGCGGTCGGTGGGAGCCGAAGAACTCGCCTCCAAGGATTGGCTTGCGCATACCGGGGTGCAAGGCACAATATGAATTAGAGATCGAAAGGGAAGAACAAGAGGAGCGGAGAAGACGTTTGAACCCTATAATACGAGACGGAGGTTTGTAAATGGCTGACTCGTGTCAAACTTGACATCATGACTGATTATCTTTAGATTTTCAATATCGATTTAGGCCGGACCGATCGATAACTCCTGCAAGTCTAGCCAAAAGCCCGTGCCAACTTTCCACCTTCTGATTCCACCCCCTCTTTTTTTCCGTCCTTTCTTGGTTCGTCGATGCTTTCTTAGGGCTCTGTTGTACCATCTGCCGTATATACCTGTTGTGCTTTCGCTTCCATCCGCTGTGCGACATCCTTATTCCTAATTGTGCCCTATGTCCATCTGGCTCTTATGTCTCTAGGCCTTACAAGTTTACTGACGTATGCCCTCGCTATGCATGCTTCATAGTTACCCTACTTGTACTCATTTGTGAAACAGCGTGTGTTATTTATCATATCGTGTAGTTTGTAGCCGCGATGATCAGTACATACGATACCACCACTTCACGCTTGTAACATAATGAATTTGTTCCATCAGTGGTCGTTTGCTTTGACGGCTTGATTATCTCGCATCGATGGCCATAGATTCGGAAAACCTGTCATAAATTTTCGAGTGGCCACATTTGTGAAAATCATAATGCAGGAACCGGTCAAACATGCAACTGATTATGGGTTTCAGCTGCGGGCGATGTCCTTTTGGGAGCTCATTACGCCTTACAGCCACACACGAGGAATAATCATATTACACCGAGTTATTGGCGGAAAGAAGGTTACAGACAGCTGCAAATCTATCTCGGTACAGCGGCACTTTTTCCCTGACAGCTGCTCCAGGAACTCCCGGGGAAGCAAGGTCAACTCGTGTGACATGAAATGGGATTGCGATCGTAGGATAAAGTGTTGCGCCACTACTACTTAAAATATTTGTTCCTCGCCCTTGCCTCTGCATACAGGTCTGGCTTCGGAGGTCTCCCATATCTTGGCTCTTCTGACCCTGCAATGCAACATGTTAGATACGTACCGCCTGCCAGCTTTAATGTGAATTCACCAAAAAATTCTTTAAAGATGTTGGGTACTGCTTCACCCCATGCTTCTCTCCACATGAAGGCACCTCCGCCAGCTGCAAGGTCAAGTTGGTATTTTTCGATGAAGTCTCTCACCGAAAATCCATCACGTTGGTCCTTTTGTAACACGGGAACGGATACCGGTGCCTTTTGGGGAAGAAGAAGAATGGTATACCGGTGGTAAGGCGTACCCTTCTGGGGATGAGGAGGAATGTATTCGGTGTGGCCATTCAGATCGGCGATAGTTGACGATGATGTCGCCGATAGGGGGATATTCGGTCTAGGAAATAGGTTGTAGATGCCCCTTTACGGCTGATGGAGATGATCAAATTGACTTACTGTAGCCAGTGCAGGTATGTCTGGAACGTGCTGTTGGCTTCATCCGGAACGTCTACCAGAAGGATTTATCAGTGTGTGCACGACGTGGTCAGTCGATAAAGTTAACCTGGGTCAACCATCAGTAGTGTATACAAACGCGTGTCCGTGTGGAACACGCTTGTGTAGAGCTTGGGTGGTTTGGCCGTCTGCATCATAGATAAGAGATGGTCCCTAACCTTCAAGAACACATAATATGACCTGTTCAGGAAGTAGGAACATGCCAGGTTCCACAAGCATATGTTTTGTCTTTCCGGGATGACCTTGCGAGGTTTTCCTTGCTTGGGGATACGTGACACGAAGGTCTAACGAAGGACGAAGGTAGGGCACTACATCGGGAACGACAAACATCTGGTGGATGCGTTCCATCTGTGGACAGAGCGTGAAATGTTGTGGGGGAAGGGGGGTGGCAATCAGCACCCACCAATTCGTCGAGTCGGCCCTCTTCCCTCCAGCGCTTCTCGACGATATGTCTGTCGACCGCTATGGACATGTCCGCTGTAACCCGGGTTTGAGAGCTGAATTGCATGACGCGCAAAAACGAAGGAAACACACCCATTCCATTCTTAGCTTTCCAACGAACCTCGGGAAGGTTCACTTGACTCTGGATTTGCAGAATTTCCAGTTTCTTTTCCATCTCCTGAACAACTTCCGTGTTTGGGTCTGCACTGGCTTTGGTTTCCGCCAGAGCCGCCCGCAAGTGTTGTTCCTGCGTCTTTAATGCCTCTGAATCAGCTTTAATGTATTTTAGTGCTTCGTCATAGGCTGGCAGTACTCCGAATGCGAGTGGTCTGTGCCATTCACGAGGACGGTCGCGCGAGATGTTGGGTCGACGCGGCTTGTATGGCCATCGTTTCTTCGCGGACTCGGCAGTAACCTCTGGTTGAGGTGCTTGAAGGGTGCTGTTAGTCCTGGTAAATCTGGCTAATACCGGGACCCGCAATAGTTGTCGACCAGGCAGCATTCTTGCGCGCTGAGTGCAGGCCCGACGCGGAACGGTCGACTGTCAGTTTCCTTTTTTGTCTTTGCCTTGCTGACGTAAGGCTACTAGCTTGTGTAACAGCGACCATGATGTCCAGTACGAAGGAGGGTGCGTCCGGTGCGACTGTGCAACCAGTTCCAGGCATTACAGTGTACGACAGCGAAGTGTTGGAACCAGAGCCAGTTCGTCCAGGCGGACTCGTACAGGATGACAAGGTATGTACGTGCTCGACAGCTTCGTGTCCTCACTCAAGTGCTACATCCGTACAGAGACACACTTTCCGTCAACCTGCGAAGCCAATAGAGCCACCAACGCCACGCGGCTCGCTTCTTGGTCTCGACCAGCTTGCGAGAGAAAAAAGGGAGCAGCAAGCATCCGAGAATGGACCCAGGAAGAAACCGAGGACAAACGACGATGCTGTGTTCAAAGGTGGGTGGTGGCTTTCTCTTGCTGTTTTCGTCTCCTGAAGGTCAACTTGTAAAGTACCGAGTTTGCCAACCTCCAGAGCCAATACTACTAGACACAGAGGGGAAGAGACGCCTTCACACCCTGGCGGTTTGTCCGACGTGGCTAGACAAAGACTGGATGAGCACAGAAAGAGCCGTGACAGGCAAAGAGGTACGTGCTACCGTACAATATCCTCACCCAGACCGTTTAACTTTCCTTTCGTCAGAGGACATAACCGCAACCCAAGAACGAAAATATGACGGTCCTAAGGGTCTTGGAGATTTCCAACGACGATCAAATAGAGACGACCGGATGTGGGGTGATAAACGAGATCGTGGCCAGCGGGACGGGCGGAGCTGGGACTCGACGCCCCGGAGCGAGAGAGGTGGCCGCGACCGTGATCGTGATGCCCCGAGCATAAGAGTGCCCAATGTCAGCTGGGAATCGACACCGAGGAGAGGCGGCGACAACGATAGTTCTGGTTGGGGGGGAGCCAAGAATCGTGCATGGGACGCACCTACGCCCAGGGTTCTAAGAGGAGCGAGTCCGGAGGAAGATGGCTTGCTAGGTGTAGATATGAGGGAGTGGGAAGAGGAACAGCTAAGGCTCGATCGAGATTGGTACAGTGGCGCGGAAGAGGGCTTTGTGGCTGGCGATGAGGAACGGAATCCACTCGCTCAGTATGAGGACATGAATCCGCTCAGGTCAGAACCCGCAGCCAAACCAATGGTCGGTAATTATTGCATTCATAGAGTTTCTAAATACTCATGGATCTACATGCAGAAGAGAATATCCGCCAGACAGGCCCAATATGTGAGTTACCCCCTTGGCAAATATGCATTCCGGTTACTAACGTTACTCCAGAACGCCGACAACGACTTGTGGGAAGCTAATCGCATGCTGACCTCCGGTGTCGCCACTCGAAAAGAAGTAGACCTTAACTTTGAAGACGAGTCAGAATCTGCTGTCCATGTTATGGTTCACGACCTTAAGCCACCATTCCTCGATGGCAAGACCATCTTCACCAAGCAACTTGAGCCGATTAATCCTATCAGAGACCCCTCAAGTGATATGGCAGTTTTTTCCAAGAAGGGTAGTGCTCTCGTGAAGGAAAAACGCGAACAGGCAGAGAGAGCCAAAGCAGCCGCAAAGCTTGCTTCACTGGAAGGGACTTCTCTCGGTAATATAATGGGCGTAGAAGATACGGAAGCAGCAGCTGAAGGTACGTCACTCTTCGTTGATCGCGGTGCATTTCGAGTTGGACATTCACGCAGCCCTTTCTTTGTCGCAGCCGCAGCCCAGAAAGCTGCAGCTTCAGGTCAGAAGGAGGACTACAAGGGTGACTCTAAGTTTGCAGGCCATCTGAAAACATCTACTGGAGTCAGCTCGTTTGCGAAAAGTAGGACGCTAAAGGAACAGAGAGAATATCTTCCTGCTTTCGCTTGTCGTGAAGACTTGTTGCGGGTTATCCGGGACAATCAAGGTTTTTTCTGTTTTGTCCATTGCCTAGGACCGTCGGACTCATAGAGCTTCTCAGTGGTCGTCGTCGTGGGTGAAACTGGTTCAGGCAAGACAACGCAATTAGCGCAATTCCTGTACGAAGACGGTTATTGCGCGCACGGCATCATTGGATGCACACAACCTCGTCGTGTCGCTGCCATGTCGGTCGCCAAGCGTGTCTCCGAAGAGATGGAGGTGTGTCTGCCATCGTTGTCCGTTTATCCCTCAAGGCTCACAGTATACGCAGTGCAAGTTGGGTGGTCTCGTTGGGTATGCTATTCGGTTCGAAGATTGCACTTCGGCAGAAACAAAGATCAAATGTAGGGCGTTTCTTCTGTCGAAAATGAATCACACACCCTAATTGCCTGACATTTCTTTAGATATGACAGATGGTGTCCTACAACGAGAGTCTCTGAACGAAGGCGATCTTGACCGCTACAGTGTCATCATCCTTGATGAAGCTCATGAACGGTCGCTCAGCACTGATGTTCTCATGGGTTTGCTCAAGAAAAGTGAGACTCTTTCGATGTTGTGTTGGTAATCTCTCTGAGAAGAGTCATGTAGTCCTTTCCCGGAGACGGGATCTCAAACTTATTGTCACTTCTGCGACGATGAACGCTGAGAAGGCAACGTGTGCTGTTATTTGAACTTTTGCATTATTAACCGACCACGTACAGTTCTCCGCATTCTATGGTAATTCCCCAACTTACACGATCCCTGGCCGTACCTTTCCCGTTGAGATCTTTCACTCTAAATCCCCCTGTGATGACTACGTCGATGCTGCAGTTAAGCAGGTCCTTCAGATTCACCTCTCATTGCCGCCTGGTGATATTCTTGTGTTTATGACTGGACAAGAAGACATCGAAGTTACTTGTCAAGTTGTCGAAGGTTGGTTCGTTCTTAGCGCCGCAGGCGTTTTATTGAGTCGTTCGATTATACAGAGAGACTCTCTCAGCTGGACCAGCCTCCGCCTTTAGCTGTGTTACCGATCTATTCGCAAATGCCGGCGGATTTGCAGGCGCGTATTTTTGAGCCCACGGCTGATGGTCGACGGAAAGTCATCGTTGCCACCAACATTGCGGAGACCTCCCTAACAGGTACGCATTTATAACAGCGTCCCTTCCAGACCTCGGACTGACCGCATTGCAGTTGATGGCATTCTATATGTTGTGGATGCGGGCTATTCAAAGCTTAAGGTGTATAATCCCAAGGTTGGCATGGATTCTTTGCAAATTACCCCTGTCAGCCAGGCGAATGCGAATCAACGAACTGGTCGTGCCGGCCGGACTGGTAGCGGGTGAGTCAAGTGATTTTTTTCCCTCTCCGCTTTGGATGCCAATGCGTTTCACGCAGGTACTGCTATCGTTTGTATACCGAAATGGCATACCGTAACGACATGTTTCCGAATACGATACCCGAAATTCAGCGTACCAATTTGGCCAATACAGTGCTGTTGCTCAAGTCTCTCGGTGTGAAGAACCTGCTAGAGTTCGATTTCATGGATCCCCCACCTCAGGTGATTTCTATCAAGTCTCTCAGGAAGTTTTACTGATTTTCTTCAGGCGAATATCATCAACTCCATGTACCAGTTATGGGTCCTTGGAGCACTGGACAATGTTGGTGACTTGACTCCCATCGGACGGAAGATGTCAGAATTTCCCATGGAGCCTTCCATGGCAAAGATGTTAATCGCATCCGTTGAATACAAGTGCTCCGCAGAGATGCTTACTATCGTGTCGATGCTCTCGGTGCCTAGTGTATTCTACAGGCCCAAGGAACGGATGGAGGAGGCAGATGCTGCACGAGAGAAGTTCAACGTGCCAGAAAGTGACCATCTGACACTACTGAATGTTTTCAATCAGTGGAAGGGCCATGGGTATGTCCACTGCTGCTGTTTGCCGAGCGTGTGGACTAACTAACGAGTAGGTTCCGCGATGAGTGGGCTTCGCGACATTTCCTTCACCCTAAACTACTCAGAAAAGCCCGCGAAGTACGCGCTCAGTTGGAGGATATTATGAAGTTCCAGAAGATGGAAATTATCTCGGCGGGCACGGACTTCGACGTTATCAGGTAAGTATTTTTTTCTTTCTTAATCCCTAATTTCACGATTGCGAGGGCGGTTGACTAACTTGCCCACAGAAAAGCTATCACAGCAGGTTACTTCCACCAGGCAGCACGTGTCAAGGGTATCGGCGAGTACGTGAACATCCGAACGGGACTCCCAACGCATCTCCACCCTACCAGCGCCCTCTATGGCTTGGGATGTACGCTAGCTGTCAGTTGCAATTGCTGACTTACGGACTTACCCCTGTGTAGATACCCCAACATATGTAATCTATCACGAGCTCATCCTTACCTCCAAGGAGTACATGACGCAGGTCACTGCCGTCGATGCGTATTGGCTGGGTAAGAATATATTTATATCTTGACTGTGAGCATCGCTGATTTCCGTATGTTCAGCTGACCTGGGCTCCGTGTTTTACTCTGTTAGAGAGAAGAACTTCGATGACGGTGGCATGCGCCGCAGGACTGACCGTGAATTTTCCAAGAGAGCGGAGCTAGAGACCCAAATTGCAAAGCAAAGAGAAGAGTACGTCTATACTCCATAGATTCGATGCAGTCCGCTGAATGCAAAAATCTAGAACTGCCAGAAAAGAATCGGAGCAAACCCTTGCTGCCAAGACATCTAGTGGGTCCACGAAAATCATTGTGCCAGGTACGCCAAGACATCCGGGTCTCCGCGTTGGTCAGACACCTCGACGGAGAGTGGGTATATGAAGACATAGATGTGTGTGTATATACGGTTGTGTACTACTTATAGAGACGAGCAGAAACATTTAGCATCTGCACCTGCCTGCTTCAGGTCGGCATAACACCTGTTGCTAAGTATTGGGGAGGTCTGAAGCCGTTCTGGATTCTTTACCATCATGATCATCTAGTTGACTCGCCCGGCGTGCAAGTGACATGGAGGGCCCAGCGATGTCCTTCGAGCACGAGTCCAGCGAGGGGAAGCTACACCACACATCGCCGCTGGAGACACTGGTGCGCCGTACGTCTTCGCGACGACGTGTAGGCCATAACCAGCGCGGTCGTAACGACATGCGCCAAGCCACGGCCGCTGTCCCTTCACCCATTCCTCACTTTCCGGTACCCAGACCGTCCTTGGGCTCTCCACCGCGGCCGTTTGCAAGCCAGAGCATGCCGGACTCCCCGTTGCTTCCATTCAAACTTTCGCAGTTCGGCGGCGAGTGGGACGACTAACGCTAGTGTGCTGCAATACTACATGGGCCAGAATTCCAAGTCTTCCCTTGACGAACCAGACGAGACGTTTTACTACGACGACAGCAGTCTTGTTTATCCGGGGGAACGCGAACAGCCCCACGTCGTACAGTCCACCAATCACACACCACAGAATCCTGGTCCACAAATGTCAAACGGCAGCAGCCAACCGATACCCTCGAGCGCTGCAAACCGACATGACTCGCCCGAAGCCGAACCCAGGACGTCCTCGTCCACCGTACCAGCGGTCTTTGTTTCATCTCCGGAAGACGAGGCTGATCCACCACCCCGTGCACCTACGCGCCAGCCGATAGTCAGTAGCGGCTCGCCGCGATTGAATTTCTCTCGTCCCGGGAGACCACCTATTCTGTCTTCCGACGAGCAGAAGCGACAGGTGCTTGCACGCAACTCTCAACGGCCAAATTCACCTCGGACTACTCAGTGCCAATCATCACATTTGCCAGTTGTACCAATCACTGGAACGCGTTACAGCGCGTCGCATCTATCACTGGAGCAGCACGGGCCACATTCCAAGAATGGGGGACTCCCTACTACTAGTGTTCGTCCCAATCCTTCAATTTCGTCTTCTTCGCAGGCATCCGCGAGTAGCAGTTACCTCCAATCGCACCCACCAGTGCTCCGACCCGGGCCGTCCACTAGCCCATGTTTGACTTCGTCTCAGGATCATCGACGGGATAAACTCGGGCCGACCATGACACGCTCGCTGTCGCCGAGCCCACCGAACCTCAAACCAAACTCGCAGAGTAATAACGCCACTTATACGCAGTTTCAAACACCTTGGGATTACGTTCAGCTCGGAATTCAATACCACGAGTCAAATCGCCTCGAGGACTCGGCAGTGTACTTTGAGAAAAGCGCAACGGAACAAGGCGGATGCGGAGTAGGTATGCTGATGTGGGGTCTGGCATTGAGGCATGGTTGGGGTTGCGAGAAGGACGAAAAGTGCGGGTTTAAATGGTTAGCGAAGGCGGCGGAGTCGGCTGTCGTGGACCTGGAAAAAGCTAGGCAAAGCAAAGGGTTCGATGTAAAGGCCGTAAAGGTGTGTCTGCCTGTGGAATGTTAAGACTAGCCCCTCACCCATAGCGATATCGTAGGAAGAGCTGATTATCGCCATTTACGAGGTCGGACAATGTTTTTTCCAGGGCTGGGGCGTCCGTAAAGACCAAAAGATGGCTGTCGTAAGTGGCATGCATGTGTCCAATTTACCACGAGCTGATCCTGTTTCTAGAGCTACTACAGAGTCGCTGCAAGTTTGGGAGATGTAGATGCACAACAAGACCTCGCTTTCTGCTTGGCTAATGGTAGAGGGTGCAAGAAAGACAAAAAGGAGGCGGCCAAGTGGTACCGGGCTGCGGTAAGGACGGTCCACATACTGGCTGAAGTTTATGAACGGTTTGGTAGGTTGCACAGGGAGCCAGCGATGTTGGCATGGCATGGATATACAAAGATAAGTACAAGGGCTGAGTGCACCCCCACTTTGTCGATCTGATTTGATGCATGGGGCACGTCGACGTAGTACACACTCGACGACTGGATGGCTCCGCCGTGGAGGAGGAGCTACTGGTCAGATACCTTTGGATACCAGTGAATATTTGGAAGGAGGAGGCGCATGATATACTTGCAGACTAATGGCTACATGTACAAGTTTCCATCCCCGTTGCATTCGTTCCTACGACACTCTTTTAAAACTCCAACTTGTCTAACCATTCTCCAAGGAATCACGATTTGCCCGACGTATCGGCCGCCGGTACTGAGGCGAGGGCCAAGCAAGAACTCCTCTGAGTTCACGAGTAAGAGATTGAGCAGCTGGTCCGTGCCCACGAAGGTACCAAGAAAGACACGATTATCGTTGGTGACAACGCGCAGAGTCTGGTTGAGCAATGCCCTCACAGCTGTGATTGCCGGTGAACTCAAGGCAGACGGGTTGGCCGAAGTGGACATCGCCAAGACGCGTGTGAGTGTAGTGGAAGCCGACAGGGAAACTCCTGTTCATGAATCCATTTGCAAGTCAGGTTTCGCTAAACATGCAGGGCCAACACAACACCGCCGACACGCACAAGTATTCTGTGATCTTACCAACTTACAACGAGCGCAAAAATTTACCAATTATTGTCTGGTTACTGGCAAAGGTGTTCGCAGAGCAGTGCGTGGGTGTGCTAAGGCTTGGGTGTGTGTTGACTCGGTCGGGAGATCAGTGATCTTGCATGGGAGATCATTGTCGTGGACGATGCTAGTCCAGACGGTACGCAAGAGGTTGCCAAGGAGCTTGCCAAGGTATATGGGGAGGACAAGATAGTGAGTAGTCGTAGATGGGGATGCTCCCGCCATCCGCTGACTATTTCAAGGTGCTGAAACCTCGTGCGGGGAAGCTTGGACTCGGGTTTGTATGGCTCGCTAACCATGGGGTTGGGATAGGCTAACTGTCTCTGAAAGAACGGCGTACGTCCATGGACTCAATTTCTGTACCGGGGACTTCGTCATCATCATGGACGCAGACTTTTCGCATCACGTATGTTACCAAGCTGGACTATGACGAAGAGGTTGTTGACCATGTGCACATAGCCCAAATTCATTCCTCAGTTCATCAAGTACGTTACCATGGCTGTTTGGCCAATGTGCACTGACAGGGCTTGCAGGTTGCAGAAGGCGTATAATCTGGACATTGTCACTGGCACGCGGTACCGTTCAACGGCGACCCCTGCATTGTCCGACGCGCAGCCAGGAGGTGTTCATGGCTGGGATCTGAAGCGCAAGCTCGTTTCGAGAGGCGCCAACTTTTTAGCTGCCACTGTGCTAAATCCTGGTGTTAGCGACCTCACAGGCAGTTTCCGGTCTGTCTCCAATTAAAATTTGTGCTGATCACCCAGCGCTGATGCAGTTGAAAAGGCTATATCGACTACCCGTTCTGCGACACATTATCTCCTTGACGGTGTCCCGGGGATATGTATTTCAGATGGAGATGATGGTTCGGGCGCGTGCATTGGGATACACAGTTGGAGAGGTGCCTATCACCTTCGTAGACCGAATATTTGGAGAGAGCAAGCTGGGTGCTGACGAGGTTATTGGGTACGCGAAGGGGGTCTGGTCGTTATTCACTACGGTTTGATAGAGTGGCTGTGCAGTCCAGGTTGACGTCATGGATTATAAGTTGGAACTATCGAGGACTCAGACGGCATCAGTACTCATCTCCGAACTTTCTAGCTGGTGTATGGTGCACAATGAGTCTAAGACTAGATGTTCTGAAATCGCTCACCCTGGACGATCGCAAGTCGGTTTCAAACACGTCATCGACACGGTCCCAGCCTGAGGTAGACACTGATGACGAGCTCATCAACGTTGTAGGTGCTCAAAGTCGTCATTCGTGTGCGATCGCACTCATTTCCGTTCCAGTTTTCGTCTCCAGGAACACCTGCGCGATCTCGCGCATCTTCGCGACCCGCATCTCGACCTGGATCACCAACTCCCCGCTCGCATCTGCGTGAGGGCTTGGCACCGTTGACATCCACCAGATCGCGGTCTACAGACCCATTGAGGGCATTTTCAACACAAATATCCCAGCGTATCTTTCGTTGGCTAGATGTCTCAGACCTCGCAGCGTGCTCGGGGGTTTCGCGGAAGTGGAACAAGAGCCAGACACTCAATTACAGTATGTATTCATTGAAGCTTGTCCGGAACGAGACTAACTTGGTATACAGTGTGGTTCCTACAGTGTAGGAAAGAGAGTTTCCTTGAAGATGCCTTGCCTCCTGGAAAATGGACTCGCAGGGAGTCCAGGGAAAACTGGGTCCGTGACCGATCGTGCTGCGAGACATCGATAAGCTCATGTTCCACTGTGCACAGCGTCTCGCGTACTCGAAACTGGTTTCCAATAAATCGACCCCTTCGTACCCATTGCATCCGAGTGGTTCGGGACGGACTTCACCATCGAGGAGGGGCTACCAAACACCAAAGGAGAGGAACGAAGAAAGGTGGAGACTCGAAGATGAAGAGCAGAGTCGCCCCAGTAAAGTGGAGATGCGAGAGATGTACAAAGAACTCGGAGGAAGAAAGGCGAAAACCAAGGTCAAGCTAGGTAGCACTGGTGGAGTTAGGGACAAGACTGGTTGGGTGGTAGACAATGAAGAATGATAAATCCGTAGACTTCTGGAACGTCACCACCACACGAGACACTTTAGGAACGCGAGTGTAGAGATTCGGAAAATGCCATGCGCATAAGTTTAATAAAGCGATATATGTTCCCCGTTTCTTTGAGATCATTCAAGAGGATGGGCAAGGTGGGGAGAGGGGGTGTGGTGGTGATCACTAAGTGAGTGTGTCAACATCTTTTGACAAGGCGAACAAGCGGAACAAACCGTTGTATGATGGAGCTGCAACGTCAAGAACAAAGCTGAATTCTCTATCTGGATTAGCTTCGTCCACATGCGAGAAGCGTATGAGAAGCTGGTCGGCTTCAACTCCCTCTATGTGGCAGCATAAGCACGACTGGTAAGCCGCGAACTCCGTTGCCACTTCCGCCGCGTGGGTACGGAGGATATCCTCCTCACGCTGTCTTTCTGTATGTTTCCATCCGTCAACCTGGATGGCTCAGCTTGAGAGGGAAATTCGCTTCACCTCGTCGAAGGTTTGAAGCGATTGCACGATATTGTTCAACCTCTGCATCTATAACAGCACATTGTTCGCGTATGGATGCGAGTTGGTGCTTGAGCACAGAAACGGACTGCTCCGAATCTCTCCGTTCTTCCTGCTCCTTGCTGAGAACTGGGAACTGGTGAACGGAGACGACGGGTAGGGAATAAGAGGGTAAGGGTACCTGCCAGCAACTCGATCTCCCTTAGCTTGCATTGGTTTGTCTCCGCCTCTACTGCTTGGATCCTCTCAGCGAGCCGCCTCTTGTCAGCTTCTTGTGCAGTTCTGTGCTTCGTAATCTCAGCGATGGCACGGCTGGTGTAGTGCGTGACGGCCTTGAGGAAATTGCCCGTCGATATCTCATACGCGGAGAGTCTTAGGTCGATTTGAGGGTTTGGTTCTGCGAGGACCGACGCGAGGTCGACGTGTGTGTGTCTCATGCTCATGCTCGGCCCTTCTATACATGCGATTTGGCTAAATTACAGGACTTGGACGCGTTTGGGTCGCGCGTCGTTCACGTGACTTGGAAACCATGCGCTGCACCTCCATTCCCTGTAGATCCCAATAGATATACCACGGGATCTTGGAGATGGCAAAGAAAATCGCGACATCGCACTATCAAGACATCCATATGGATACCGCCAAAGGAATAACGATGGGGCTTCGAGACATTCATATGGGAACAGCCAGAGGAGATCAATGGAACGACGATATCAACATGGACACCACCAAACAGGCCACGACTGTGAAAGCCACGGGGCTAAAGCTATGGGAGAGGGAGCTTCTAGAAAGCTCGGAAGTCAAGCGAAAGGCAACGGTGGCTCAGCTTTGTACGAATTCTCTTCTGTCTTCTCAGTCTGGATCTTATCGCTGATTGTGGCTTTATTCGATCGAAGATTTTTTGGATTACTACTTTCAATGTTTGGGTTATCTTGCGGCAAGGAAGGAGAGACGAGCAAGATTCGATGCGGATACGTCCAAACGTCAGCCGACAGCCTCAGAGTTCGCTGCAGAGTTCAAGTCTTACTGTGGACGTGAACGTGTGTTACTACGGAAGCGTCGCGCAAAACTCAGGGTCGAACAATTTCACATCATAGCGCAAGTCGGACAGGGTGGATATGGCGAAGTGTTTTTGGCTAGAAAGCAGGAAACCGGGGAAGTATGCGCTCTAAAGAAGATGCGGAAGCGGACGTTGTCCAAGATGGATGAAGTACGTTGAATATCGCGACCACTGTATAATCGTTGATATATCTTTTCAAGGTGAGACATGTTTTGGTAGAACGGGACATATTGACGGCAACCAAGACGCCTTGGCTCGTTCGCCTGCTCTACGCCTTTCAGGACTCTGAAAACGTATACCTCGCGATGGAATATGTCCCTGGTGGTGATTTTAGAACTCTTCTCAACAACTCTGGAGTCTTGAAGGAGGAACACGCTCGATTTTACATAAGTGAAATGTTTGTTGCTGTGAACGAGCTTCATAAATTAGGTTACATCCATCGCGATTTGAAGCCCGAGGTTTGTTTCTTAGAAATGTCGCTCATTATGTGCATTCCATACTTACGAACCACAGAACTTCCTGGTGGATGGCACCGGTCACGTCAAGTTGACTGACTTCGGCTTGGCTACGGGTGCTCTGAACCCAAAGCGAATCGAATCTCTGAAAATAAAACTGGACAAAGTCAAGGACAATCAAGTCGTATATCGATCCACGCTTGAGAGGCGATCGATATACCGTTCTATCAGGCGCGAAGATCCCCGTTATGCGGATTCCATCGTGGGGTCTCCCGATTATATGGCACCTGAAGTTCTACGCGGCAAGCCATACACTTACTCCGTGGATTATTGGTCTTTGGGATGCATCTTTTTCGAGTTCCTTGCTGGATTCCCTCCGTTTAGCGGAAGCACACCTGAAGAAACCTGGACTAACCTTAAAAACTGGACGAAGGTGCTGCGAAGACCAGAATACGACAAACCCGAGGACCTCATTTTCAACTTGACGGACATTGCTTGGGATGCCGTAACAAGGTGAGAGGTTTGAAGTCTTTATTGATGCTTTTTTAAACCGCATCATTTAGGCTTATTTCGCACTCAAGCGTCCGCTACTCGTCGCTGACGCAGGTAGCTGGACATCCGTTTTTTGATGGCGTCAAGTGGGAGGACCTACGTTCTACTCGTGCTCCGTTCGTTCCGGCATTAGACTCGGAGATCGACACAGGTTATTATGACGATTTCACGTCCCCAGAAGATATGGCAAAGTATGCTGAGGTGCAGGAGAAACAGAAGAATGTGGAGAAGGTTCGAGAGAAGGATGAGCCGACCTCCAGAGGAGTGTGGGTGGGTTTCACGTTCGGTAAGAATGGCCCGAGTAACAGGTTTCTGGCGGCCATGGATGACACGGGTCGTGAGGACGGTGCTCTAGCAACGATATTTTAACTGATGTAGTGCTACCATTTGTGCTGTGGTTACTCATGGGGAATTACATAAGCCTCTGGAAAGGAAAGTTTCAAACTCCGTCGAGCTGCCACTGCTTTGACCTCGAACCCTGCTCAGCTGCGACGCCTACCCCATCTGTCAAAGTTATTCGACTAAGATGAGCCTGCACGACAACGAAGATCTTGTCAATTACGAGGACGAGGACGACGTTGTTCCTAACGGAGCTGCTGCTACGAACGGGGCTGCCGTGTCAGCAACGGCAGATGTTGATGCGGAAAAAGAGAAGAAAAACTTCTCAGGCATACATTCCACTGGCTTCAGGTATGAATTATGTGTTCTCCTTCGGGGGCTTGTACTGACCTCTGCGTTAATGCACAGGGACTTCCTACTTAAACCAGAATTGTTACGTGCGATCAGTGATTTGGGCTTCGAGCATCCCTCCGAAGGTATGCTCTTCATCCAAGTCAATGCTACGGTCTAACTAATTTAAATGGCAATGCAGTTCAACAAGAATGTATTCCTCAGGCAGTTTTGGGAATGGATGTCCTCTGTCAGGCAAAGTCGGGTCATGGCAAGACTGCCGTCTTTGTGCTTGCGACTCTCCAGCAGTTGGAGCCCGTGAATGGAGAAGTATCCGTCATCGTCCTCTGCCATACCAGGGAACTTGCGTTCCAAATAAAAAACGAGTATACACGGTTCGCGAAGTATATGCCAGACGTCCGCGTCCATACTTTCTATGGAGGCACTCCCGTCCAGAAAGACGCAGAATTACTTCGTGACAGGAACCGGTGCCCCCACATCGTCGTAGCCACTCCAGGTCGGCTGAACGCTCTCGTCAGGGACAAGATTCTGGACGCAAAGAATGTGAAACACTTCACGTTGGACGAGTGTGATAAAATGCTTGAGCAACTTGGTCAGTCCCAAGGGGAATTCGGCTACTTCCGATGTCTTCGCTCGCCCCTACAGAATCTAACTGCCCTCGCCTCTTCTCCGCCCTGCAGACATGCGCCGAGATGTTCAAGAGATATTCCGAGCAACTCCTCACCACAAGCAAGTTATGATGTTCAGTGCTACGTTGTCGAAGGAGATTCGAGTCACTTGCAAGAAGTTCATGGCGAACGCAAGTTTTCTTTTGTCTTGATTCCGCATCGTTATTCTTAGTTGTTTTGACAGCCGCTTGAAATTTTCGTCGACGACGAGACTAAGTTGACTTTGCACGGCTTGCAACAACATTACGTCAAACTGGAGGAGAATGGCAAGAACAGGAAGCTGAATGAGCTGTTGGACACGCTTGAATTCAACCAGGTAGTTATTTATTGGTTCGATGGAGTTGTTTATTCTCACATGGGACACAGGTCGTGATCTTCGTAAAATCAGTCGCGCGAGCAATTGAGTTGGACAAGTTGCTGGTGTCGTGCAACTTCCCCTCCATCAGCATCCATTCCGGCCTCGCACAGGAAGAACGGTAGGAACTACACCATTGCTACCATATCTTTCTTCTCATTGTGTTGAAGTATCAAGCGTTACACGGCTTTCAAGGCTTTTGAAAAGCGGATACTTGTTGCCACCGATATTTTCGGTCGTGGCATTGATGTGGAACGAGTGAACATAGTGGTGAACTATGACTGCCCTCCAGATGCAGATAGTTATCTCCACCGGGTCGGCCGTGCCGGACGCTTTGGCACTAAAGGCCTCGCTATTACCTTTGTCTCCAGCGAGAGTGATCAGCAGGTGATGGCAGCTATTCAATCTCGCTTCGAAGTTGCTGTTCCAGAGTTGCCAGAGCATATCGATCCCGCCAGCTATAGTAAGTTTCCGTTGCCGTTAGGTCTATTGCTTCGCTAATGGGTTTGCAATTGTGTAGTGACGTCATAATCAGTTACATAACTCACAGTATGATTGCAATTTGTGTTCCTTAGTTTCCTATGTCAAATGTGTGTAGTGATATACTTCGTCTGAGCTTTCTGCTTTATATTAACTGTGGACTATGTGCCTCAATTGTGCTTTCCTTGCTACAAGCACAGTTAGTGCTGTTAGTTGGTGCTTGTGCTCAAATCACTAAACCCGTGTTGAATGGCTCCTGCAACTGATTGAGGATGTCATATCCATGGCACTGTACAACTAGAATAAGGCTGTTTTGCATGGCAGGCACCTTGTTTACTGTGTTCATGTTCACACCCAATATTTAACCCCACAATGCCTTATAACATATCTCTTCATGGCTAGAAGACTAGAGACTTGAGACATTGCACATGGTGCCACAATGCCTTATAACATACATCTTTGTAGGTAGAAGATTAGAGATTTGGAGTAACAGTGCCCTGCTGATATGTATCCAAGCCAATGTCAATAAGATCCCACCATGCTTGAGTTGCACAATCCATCCTCTCCAACCACTGATCTTCATTTTACAAGTGCTCACAGAGGTGTTGTGTAAACAGCCATTCATCAAAGTTTCTTAGCAGTTAAATGTTTTCCCAACCATGGCTATGGGAGAGAGCAATGTAGGCATTGAACAGGGTAATTTTCCCTGTGGGCAGTGAAGTGATGTCAACAATGCAATACTCAATCATTTGCACCTGTGCATGGTAATCAGTGAAAGTGAACACAAGGGTGATAGGCAGTTGGATCCATGTCACAGTACACTTGTTGCCAGAAGTCATTGTGATGGTGAATGTTCTTGAAAGAGGTGTGATGGGCAGTACTCCCATCAGCAGACCAGGGAGAGACTCCACTTTAGTGTGCCTCATTTCCAAGAGGACAAAGGCAGGCAGATACTGCAACACAATTTGATGTGATGCAGAAGGCTGCACACATTCTCTGGGTTGAGGACAATGTCCACAATATGACCTCACACTCTGTTTTCCATGCCTAGGTCAGTTCTGATGGCAAGCTTGATCTCATCAGACAGCCCAGAATGTTCCTGTCTGTTGTGTGTGCACCCTGTTTTTGGTTTAGTAGCCACAGCGAATTTTTTGGGCAATGACAGAGGACACCCAGCTATGGAATCCCAAGCATGGCGAATGACAAGATAGGACCTGTGGTCCCCTGAACGAGATTGGGCACACAATGAATTCCAGCACATATGCACAGCATGCCACAGTGTGACCAGTACAGTGTTTCTCCATGGTGCCTGTGAGAAATCAGTTGCCAGACATCATGGGTCAGAGAGCACCAGCCCTTGAAGCATCAACAAGTGATGGTCTTTGCAGTTTCTGTGATACACATGATGCAACAGATCCATCCAACTAGCATCAGTTACCCACACTTGAGTCTTCAGTTATATGATGATGTCAAACTGTTCAAAGATCTGATGACCAATCAGCTGATCCTCTGTGTCCTTTGCAAGATTGCAAGGCCAGTATAGAGGAGCTGATGTTTTTGCTGCCATGGGTGGAGATTGGTGCAAATCTCTGACAAGGATGACTTTCAACCTGCCAAATGGCTCCTCAGATGCAGAGCTTGTACAGGCAGACCTTGCATGACAGATGATGTTTGAAAGTTTGGCAAGGAACTCCCAGGAAACCATGGAGATTTCATCAATAATCAGATAGTGTTTGTCTTGCCAATACAACTCCAAGGCCTTCAGAGTCTGTGCTGATTGTTTCCTGCCATTGAGTGGGACCATGCCTGAGGAGATGAAGACATGATCAGCAGAGAGTAGTATAGTGCAGACAAAAACACAACAAACCTATGAAGTGTGATGTCTTGCCATTGATGACTGATGCCACAATGCCTGTGTAGGCAGCCTTAACAAGCATCCCCACCACCCCTCATTGCATGAAGTTCTCAGTGATGGTCTGAATTGTTTTTGATTTACCAACCCCCCCCTCTCCAGGTATGACCATACAGTGGCTCAAAAAACTGTCCACATGTTTGTATGTTTTACATTAGTTATGACTAAACACAATAACCCCTAACCCTAGCCCTAAACTATGAGTGTATGAAATAAGGTACTTACTCTTGGCTTTCTATTGGTCCATGAATCAAGTGATTTGGATAGGAATTGATAGAATAGCAGCCATTTGAAAATGACATGTCATGCAGACAGTTTTTTTGACTTTAAGTTTTGATTACATAGTATTGAGTTTAACAAAGTTTAGAATGCTGTGAGGTGCTTACTAATGCTTACATGGCATATCACATGGTCTATTTGATGATTTGTCATCATACAAACAATGCCAAACAATGAATTGGGTCCATCAAGGCTCCCTCTTCTACCCCAACTCATGAAACCTTCCTCCTGGTCCATCTGGGCCATTTTCTCAGAGTAATCCCCATAAATATTGGTGCCCACTACAGTAATGTCATCAGGGTATATGTCCAACACAATCAAACCCTTAAAAAATCTGCTTTCAGTCATCCCTGTGCTGTTTCCCCCACCAATACCTGACATGTTCTGCACCTAATCAGTACTGAGACAGCTGGAAATGCCATGGAGGTCAATCTGGCACATCAGAAAATGATGAACAAACAAAACACCTTTTAACCAGTGCATTTTCACCACAGTTCAACTAGTTTCGATGCTGGGGTGAGACAAAACATTCCTGTGCACTTCAGGTGGCATGGGAAGCATGGCTAGACTGTGCTCTCAGTTGACTGTGGATGACTGAGAATGGGTGATTTGGTTATATAAGACCATAGGTAATACTCAGGGCTAGATGGAGTGATGGAATATCCCTCCTAATAGTTCAGTGGACTATCCCCTCCAGGGCACCTGGACTGTACTGGAGAGTTTTAGTCTACCCTAGCCCTCAACCCAGCACCCCTGAGGTGGAAACCCACCAGATAAGAGGTGATTGGATTGTTGGTCATACCACCATGGCTTTTTCAGCATTCTCAGTACTGATTAGTTGCAGAACATGTCAGGTATTGGTGGGGGAAACAGCACAGGGATGACTGAAAGCAGATTTTTTAAGGGTTTGATTGTGTTGGACATATACCCTGATGACATTACTGTAGTGGGCACCAATATTTATGGGGATTACTCTGAGAAAATGGCCCAGATGGACCAGGAGGAAGGTTTCATGAGTTGGGGTAGAAGAGGGAGCCTTGATGGACCCAATTCATTGTTTGGCATTGTTTGTATGATGACAAATCATCAAATAGACCATGTGATATGCCATGTAAGCATTAGTAAGCACCTCACAGCATTCTAAACTTTGTTAAACTCAATACTATGTAATCAAAACTTAAAGTCAAAAAAACTGTCTGCATGACATGTCATTTTCAAATGGCTGCTATTCTATCAATTCCTATCCAAATCACTTGATTCATGGACCAATAGAAAGCCAAGAGTAAGTACCTTATTTCATACACTCATAGTTTAGGGCTAGGGTTAGGGGTTATTGTGTTTAGTCATAACTAATGTAAAACATACAAACATGTGGACAGTTTTTTGAGCCACTGTATGCAGTTGATCCAGATTGTGTCCATCAAGAATTGTTCCAAGTGCCAGTCTATGATATCATATGCAGTGATGTTGGTCATGTAATAGATCATCAGGGTCAGTTGTTAAGTTTGTGACTGGGTTCGGGGGTCAATGGCCAAAGGCTGAATGCCAGGTGCAACAACCCTTGGTCTTAGCTTGTGCAATAGACCCTTGCACAAGCCAGGTTGAAGTCAGAGAGAGCCAAGGGGGGGGGGTCAGGAGTGAAAGCCAAGAGTTGTCTCAGGCTTGAGCTAGGAGCTGAGGGGTGAACTAGATTGATATTCAGACTGAGGAACTTAGTACAACATACATAGAGTATATATACTGAAGACCAGCAACCTGAAAGCCAGGGTTACTGGTGAGGGACTAAATAGCAGTGCAAGGAACTAACTAAAAGTCAAGTGAGCAGGCAGGGATTGGAGAGCCAAAGACAGACACTGCCTCAGCACAAGCAAGGGCAGTACAAAAGCTAACTAGAAAGGTATAGTGAGGAACAGAGTTCATTTTGGTGTTCAGCATTGACTTGGTGTTCAGAACCTAAGACCAAGCTGTGGGTGTCCTGGCATATGACATCAGTTGGCTGCAGTGCCATTGATTCCTCAATGAGTTGCACAAGCAAGTGCAACCACTATCACCAAGGAGTGTACCATTGTTGGCATCCACACTGCCAACATCTCTCTGAGGATCAGATGGAAAAGTGAGCAGTGTCCCCCCAGATTTGGCTACCATTGCCTCCATCTCCTTTTGCCACAGAATGAGGAGCTTGTGGTCATGCACAGTAGAAATATGAAATGAGGTGGAATGTTCACAAGAGAGAGATGAATTGATAGAGAAGACCCCTTGGCAAGTGCTGATGTTGATTGCCTCCTTCGCATGCTTCCATTCCTGAGCAGATGTCTGTTCTCTCTGGAAGTTGTTGAGGTCATCCTCTGTCAGTGTAAGGCTCTCATGAGCATCCAATTTGTCAAAGCAGCCCGACTCATCTGGCAGTTGAGCATCTTGGAAGCTTTGTGAACTTTTCCCTGCCCTGTGATCAGAGGGGGAGGATTTGCATGTGGTCTTGGACTCATAATAGTATTGTATCCCTGCAACAACATGTCTGTGCCAAGGTTCCATTTTGTCCTTGAAATCCTCAAATGCATCAGACCATGATGCCACCTTGCCCTTGAGGTCAGAGGCCCAACACCCTGGCTTTAACAATGCCAATACACATGTGAGAAAGTAATCACGAATGCTGCTGTCATCAGCATGGGGAAACCAGGGTCCTATCAGGTGAGGTAATGTGTTGTGTTCACTGGCATGACAGATGTGATGGTGTGATTTACACCTTGGATGCTCCACTGAATAGTACAGTCACAGATGTGCAGGCTGCCCACATTTGGGCACAGAATGTGTGTGTGTGTGTGGGGGGGGGCCAAGAAGGTGTATATTGTTCCTCCCATGTATCCATTATGAATGCCAAATGACAGATGTCCTCTAATTCTGGTCTGTGAGGGACATAGTCTTGCAACTGTGAGCAAGGAAACAAAAACCCTGCAGGGGTTGAGCTGAGGGTAATGATGACATTATCATCAGTAGAGTCATCAGCAGTCCTATTGATGTTTTGTCCAACTCTATGAAAGTAGTTAGGAGGGTGCTCAACATCAAATGGGTCAATGAACTTACCCACCAGAGGTCATGGTGTGAAGCTCAGGAAACATCATTTTGACAGAGGAGAATAGTGCACTGGTGTACAAGGCAGCATAGTTATGTGATGTGAAGTTATCACTAAAGCCCATGAGATATGACATCACCTGTGGACCAGACAACTCCATTTTGTGATTGATTATGTTGATGCAGCAGTACAGTAGCAAGCAGTTCCACTCTCACTGTCATGACCATGCATTTATCC